GGTTGCCATCAATCATCGTCATCATCATCATGATGTTACATCCTCCTTCCCTCCCCGTCCTCATCAGCACCGACCCGCCCTGAGTCCCCTTAGTCCGACTCATCACCCATATCATTATCCGAAAAACCCTGGAATTCCTCCTCCGAATCATCATTACCTGCCTTCGAAGGCCCAGCCTCCACCTCCTCATCGGACCCGGGCGCCTCATCCTGCTCCTCGATCTCGAATGTGGCGCTGATGTCCCAGCGGTCGCCCTTGGCGCTGCGGCTGACATATTTGACGAAGCGGAGCGTGCCACTGTCGCGTAGCACGATGGTCATTTTGTTCCACGTCGCCGCCTGGAAGAAGAGGATGTTGTCATCATCCTCGCTGCTCTTGTAGATGGCAGCATCACCGTCATCATCCTCGTCGCCCGCCATATACACCTCATGTCCGCCGACTTCGAGCTCGACGATGTCATCGACATCCTTCATTTCATCGTCGCCATCGGCATCCACGGCCTTAGCCTTGCCTTTGCCCTTCCCGTTCGTTGCAGGCTCCTTGCCCTTCTTGCTGCTGCTAGCCTGCTCCTCCTCAGACGACTCGCCCTCCTCATCGTCATCCTCGTCATCATTGACATCGCCCCAGCCGTCGGTGGGCGTCAGGCCGATGTTGACCTCCAATCTCGGCTTTCCCTCGTGGCCGGTAGCCAAGGTGTAGTCCTGGCCGCGGCGGAACCGGCGAGCTACCAGGTCGTAGCTCTCGATCGTCGAGCGCGTCGCCATCTGCAGCCACACGCGGAACTGCCGTGACGGCAGCAGCACCTCAAGCAGCTCCTTGAGCGGCGAGGGTTCGATTTCCTGCTTACCAGGCTGCATGTAAAGGTAGCGGTGCTTGTGCGGCGGCACGGCGACCTTCCACGGGCCGGTCTTTTCGAGCTTCTCACTGTCTTCAGGCAGCGGCTTGGCCTCCTGCTCCTCGATGTACTTGCGGAGCTTGGCTGCGAACTTGGGATGCAGGATATCGGCCAGCGTGATGCTGAACTCCTCCTCGAACTGGTCGGCGATGTTGTCGATGGTATCGGGTACCAAGTATGTCGGTGAGATGTACTTGAGCAGGAACTCCAGGTCGGCCTCATCCAACGGGAAGTCATCACCTTCCTTGGCGACAATCTTCTCGACCTCAACGGGGTTGGGTAGCGGACGGTCGTGCTGGTCAGGGTTGCCCTGCAGTTGCATCAATCCGCTCTTGTGGGCAGCCTTCTCCTCAGCACCCTCTACGTAGCCCTCCTCGCCGGGCTGGGGGAAGTGGAACCACCCGCTGATGGCCATGCGGATACGGCCCGCATTCTTCTCCAGCTCCTCCGGTGTGGAGGCATGATAGACCTCCTCGACATCATGGAAAGACTCGCCAGGCTGAACGGCGAAGAAAGAGAGCTGGTTCCACGCAGGGGGAATGACCTTGACGACGTCGGGCAGCGGGGTCTTGGCCACCTCGCCGTCCTTTCCCTCACGATCGATGACAGGGAATAGGCGCAGGGCACCACCCCATTCAGGCTGCCAGGGAGTCTCTGGATCAGTCAGGTACAGGATGTAGCTGACCTTGCGAGAGCCGATGACATCGTCATGACACAGGAGGTAACAGCCAGGGGTATAGACGTTAATGGCCATGTCGGTCTTACGGCCGCTCAGGGGGCCGCAGCCGGTGATGTGAGAGACGAAGTCGCGGAAGGTCTTGGAGTAGAGGGCATCGCGCAGAGCGAGCAGCGACGGCAGCTTGGCAAGGGCCTCATCCTCAAGGCCGTCCAGGTTGGCTAGATCGCCGCTCTGGTGGATCTTGTAGATGTCGGTCTCCTTGGGAGTGAAGTGGACGTTGGCCTTGATCTCATCGCGCACCTTGCGCAACAGCGCATCGTCGACCAGTTCCGAGATGACGCAGTGCTTGTACGGCCACGACTTGGCATACTGCGCAGCGAATTCATCGGCCCTGTCGAACAGGCCCTTACTGAAGCGGGCTTTGGCATCCTCCGGGGACAGCGCTGGGCCAATGGGTCAGCAAGAGATCGTCACCAAAGACGGCGCACACCAGACGCAACCAGCAAGACGTCACAGCTCCCAGCTAGGCTCTGAATGATAGACCTTGGGATGGAACGGGAAGGGGGGTCTCTTACAGCTCTTAGCCCGCTTGATGATCGGCTTCTTGCCGTCAGACGACGATCCTTCCGCCTTTCTTTTCATCTTGGACGGTCAATTGAGCAGGGCGAGCGTAGTGAAGAAGGAGGAAGGAGAAAAAATTCGCAAGGCGTGTGGGCGCGCATGAAGCACAGGCGCAAAAGGGCCACGAGCTCCCGAGAGATGGGCTGATCTCCAGATAAAAAACTGCGGTGTCGCACGGCAGAATTGCCCAAATGTGGGGAGGTAATCCCTGTCGCTGGCAGTGCACAACTTTTTTAACCCCACAGTACGATTGTGCCCCGCCAATTTTTCCATGACCCCGCCAATTGCATGTGCTTGTAAGTGCTCCTTCATCTCTTGCTGCCCTCTCCCTCTTCAACTGAGAGGCACCGGTTGCTCCAAGTCTCTTTGTCTCGCTCATAAGTTTTAGCTTATTGCAATCTCAAGTGCAAAATCATCAAGGACGCAGTCCCCTGATTGAGATTGATAGAAACTTGGCTGATGATGACAGCTTGTGCTGCCATCCCAGATGCAGCCAGCCTGTTTATCTCCCTGTGAACAACGTTGAGATAAGCAGATAAAAGCTGCTTGGTACTGCTCACGGGCTCATCAGACTGCAATGTTTCTGTTTTGCGCAGCCTAAAAGGACAGTGTCCTGTCATAAAGCAACTCTCTTCCCCTACATGGCACGAGGCAGTTCAGGAGGATTGACCACAACCTGTTTCACCGAGAACTGCATTGGAATCGGCAAGAAAGGGCCCGATTCCCGGTCCGTCGTACCGTCAGACAGGCTGTTGTGGAAGCGGGTCTGCGGGAGCAGTCGGACAGCCGAGTGATCCATCATGTTTCCCGATGCGGTGGCCCACATCGGGACGGGCGACGTCCTTGGCGTCCACGTAAGGCCTGGCATCATGGTTATAAGTTGTGACCAGGCAGCTTTGAGGGCCTCGTAGTGCTTTCATTGTTCCTTGGCAACATCATTCCTTAGTTACTCTTCCCCTGAGATAGATACTACTATCTCTCTACTTACAAGACCCGGAGATTCCTCATGGCGAAGCCTTTGGATTTAGGCCAGGTGAGGGGAAGCTTCCCCGCACTCTCGGCAGGTCAGATCTTCTTTGATAATGCTGGTGGCACTCAGATCCTCGGGACCGTTGCTGAGAGGTACCGTTTATTTCTGCCTTGTTGTCTAGTTGCTAGTGAGATTAATACAGGCATTCCAGCATCCGGGACTACCTCCTCAACACCAACGTCCAGCTGGGAGCCAGCTATCGTGTAAGCAAGCTCGCGACAGAGCGCTATGAACAAGGATATGCAGCTGCAGCAGAATACATTAATGCTTCTCGCGACGAAATCGGTGTGTTGTACCCCCAAACGCCTACCCTTAACCAGTACACCCCCCCTGACATCTGGCATCAGTCATTGGGCCGTCTACAACCCAACTCTTTCGCAATGTCTCCTACGCCCTTTGCTTCGACCCAGGAGATGAAATAATCGTGTCTATCCTCGACCATGAGGTCAACATTGCTCCATGGGTTGACCTCGCTGCCCGTCAGAACCTTGTCCTCAAGTGGTGGAAGCCAAGTACTGAGACCCCTGAGGACAGGACAAACCCCAAGTTGCGACCTTCTGATCTTGGGGACCTTCTGTCAGACAGGACCCGACTGGTAACCTGCACACATGCAAGTAACATCCTCGGGACAATCCATAATATCAAAGCGATCGCTAAAGCTGTCCATGATCGATGTCCCAAGGCATTGGTTTGTGTCGACGGCGTGGCATATGCACCACATGGCAAGATCGATGTCAAAGATTTGGGTGTGGACTTATACTCCTTTTCTTGGTACAAAGTAGGTACCAAATCACTTCACACTTAGATCTATCATCCTGCACCTGTACTAACCCCAGCAGGTCTTTGGCCCCCACATCTCCATCCTCTACATCTCTCCTCCTGCTCTTTCCCAACTCCGTTCTTTAAGCCCAAGCTTCATCTCTGCCCGCACAGCAGAGCAGAAGCTCGGTCTTAATGGTGCTAGCTATGAACTAGTAGCCGCACTTGCCGTAGTGACAGCGTATTTCTCCGAAAAGTCCAAGTGGGACGCCATCGCTGCCCATCAAGAGACATTACAGTCCGCTTTGCTCGACTACCTTGCGTCCAAGGGAGACGGTGTTACTGTTTGGGGAGAACGTAGTGCTGATCCAACTATTCGTGTGCCGACTGTGAGCTTCACGGTGAAGGGTTGGTGCTCTAGAGAGCTTGTTGAAGCAGTCGAAAGAGTGAACCCAAGATTAGGAATCAGATCAGGGTCGTTTTACTCGATTCGGCTGGTACGTGAGGTGCTAGGATTGGACCCGGTAGATGGTGTGGTGAGGGTTAGTATAGTTCACTATAATACCGGTGAGTTCTCTTCTTGAAATTTAGCAGGAAAATGCTGACTGTGTGAGATAAAGTCGAGGAAGTCAAGGAACTCATTGATACCTTTGATAAAATACTTGCTACCAAGACGTAGTCTATTTCGGGGCTAATGCTCAAGATTAAAGCAGGATACGAGAAGCCTTTTGGTATTTCAAACTTTTAACCGCCACACAACATGCAGACAAGGTATCTATCTATCAGACTCAGTGCTATATGATTTGGGTCAGCTGTACCTCATTGCTTGTTGATCCTCTTCTCAACCGCTTCCCTCAGCAGGGAAATCACGGCAGCAGGGTCTGGAGCGCCGAACACGGCACTGCCAGCAACGATGACATTAGCGCCGGCATCCGCAGCTTGGTCGATCGTGCTAGGACCAAGCCCTCCATCGACCTCGATGTTGAGTTCCGGGTACCGCTTCCGGAGTTCCTCCACCTTGGGCAGCTCCGACGCCATGAACTTCTGCCCGCCGAAGCCGGGCTCAACCGTCATCACGAGGACCATCTACACCAGTTAGTTCCTAACATCAGCCAGCATGGCTCCTCCTGGAAACATACGTCAGGCCTCTCGGCAGGGTCTTCAGCCTCAATGATGTCGTAGAGGACGTCGACCTTGGTGGCGGGCTTGATGGCAATACCAGCGAGCATGCCCTGCTCGTGAATAAAACGGATCAGTTCGCGCGGGCTAGTTTTCTCGTCTGACTTGGCCTCGGGGCTCTCAGCAGCCGTCGAGTTGATGGCAGCCTCGTAGTGGAAGCAGTACAGGTCGCAGCCGGCCTTCTTGAACTCCTTAACCCACTTCTTGGGCTGTGGAATTGGGTCAGTGTCTGTTGTCGCCAATGGCAAACTGGCACCAAGCCTTACCTCGGCGATCATCATGTGGCAATCGAAGGTACCCCGGCCGTAGCTCTCTGTAGGCTTGTCAACGTGCCTACGAATCTTAGCCACCACGGGAGGGCCGAACGTGAGGTTCGGGACGAAGTGGCCGTCCCTGAACAGATGTGGCGAGGAGATATGTGAGCTTCACTGGATGAATCGGATTGGGACCCGGGGAGCGTTTTAGGCTTATGTGTCGCCAGGTTGTGTGTGACCTACATGATGTCGACATGGAGCCAGTCAGCACCGCGCTCCATTGTCCTGGCGCACTCGGCACCCAGGTCGGCGAAGTCGGCCGAGAGGATGGACGGGGCAATGATCGCCTGAGGAGCCATTGTTATATATGGGTGTGTTGCTGATGAGGTTCTTGTATCGCGTGAAAAGACAAATGTTGTAGAGCCTCCTGAAAAGCGAAGCTCGCACTTGGGATGAAAAAGCCCCCCCCTTCAAGCCCGGTCCAAAACAGCACAGCTTTGATCGACGTTTTGGCGGGGGCGGGGCACCATCGGACCCATCGGCGGTTCCAACGCCGCAACAAGGGGTCAATTTGTTCCACCTCACGCGTGGGGTCTTGAGTCTTGGCATTCTAACTTGGCTTGTTTTTTTTTGGGGGGTGGGGGGGAACGTCCAGAAGTCGGTGGGGAGCTTGGCCGATGGATGAGCTGACATCACTTTTTGTTGGACAGCGGAGTTGAGAGCAAGCCGGACTCATTGTCGGATTTGCTTGTGATCGCCTCAAAATACTCTCAAGGCTCTGAGATCGAGACTAGCAAAAGGACCTCTAGTTCGTATTGCTTTGGCCAATTTGCGCCATCCAAGTTTCTGGTTTCCACCTCAACACTTTACCTCCTATCATGGTCCACGAGTAAACTCAGACTTAGCAACAGATAGCCACGCTCATATACAACTCGCGGCGAAATGGCGTCCATCCTTTCCAACATCCCTCTGGTTGGCTGGCTGCTGGCTTCTAGTAAGCAGCCCAGCACAGTCAATGTCCCGCCCGTCGAAGTGCACAGCATTGCCGAAGGAAACATTGATAGGAGGAGGCGCACCCTCAGACACCTCCTCCGTGCCAACCATGTCAACCACTCCATCCTCTACCATGACTTGCGCTTTCACAACCACCTGCCGCATCTCCTGGCCTCTTCATATCATCTGGGTGCCTTGACGCAGCAGCTCTATCATTTGTACGACGAAGAAGCAAAAACCCTTGAGCCATGGAAAGACTCTCCCCATGAGATCTCCAGGGACGAGTGGCGAGACTTCTTGGGCGCACGCCACTTCCAGCGAGCCTGGGTAGATTTCTTTGATGACCAACTAGCCATGAAGTTTGGTTGGAATTGGAAAAACCTGATGGAGGAGTACATGTTCCAGGGTGATGAACCACTGATCAACAGTCTCATCAGCGGCCGTATGTCTGCCCTTCACTCGTTGATTGCCCAGCTATCAGTATAACCAACTAACATGATCATAGTTGGTCACCCTTTGATCCATCTTGGATATGCCTATGAGTTTGACAGCCGCGAAGTTGCAACGGAAGCCCTTGGTCTGGCTGCTACTTGTTACGATTTTCTTCACAAGTATGTCGACGATCCTGCCTACACCAGAAAGGCTCCCTTCTCCTCCCGATCGCCCCTTGAACTTCTCGACAAGCTCGCTGCGGATAACCGCTTCGCCTCGTTCTCGGTCAAACCCTATTCTGAAGCTACCTTTGATAGCTTCGAGTCCCTATTTGGCGCACACGAGGAGGAGCTTCTTGAGTACTGGAATGCCTGGGACTTGCCGGCTTCAGACAGTGATATCACGATGCAGTTCCGCGAGTCTCAAGAGGCGGCTGTGGCCATGTTAGTTGCGACTGTCCGGCCAAGCACACACTCATACAACTTTTTCATGGTGCACGTGCTGACTACTAGTCATGCCGTGCGCATCCTACTTCCAATGGTGCCAGCCAAGTTCCACGTTAGCCTGGTCAGGCAGTGGTGGCTGCTCGCCTTGGCTGTGTACGTGTCTGTTGGGCGGCCAAAAATCGACCTGGATCTGATTCCAGGAGATCTGGGAGGTCAGAGCTGGAAATATGTGGAGCAACAGGCGTTGACTTCACAATGGGCGACAGACGTGCATTATGTGAAGGGCAAGTTTCCGAACCTAATGTTTGAGGTGCTGAGAAGCAACACACTAACAAACTGACCGGAAACAGCTCTAAGGGCCATGAGAGAAGCTGCCAATACCTGGGGAGATGTCCATGAGAAGTATCTTGCTGCCGCCATTCGCTTTGCCGATGACTTCAAGGGTTGGGTGTTTTAGGCGTTAGGTTGATATGCATAACTATTATCGGATATGGGCAAACAAGGTATGCAAAATGAACCTATGGAAGGTTTAAGAAGGTTTCTGTATATTTAGTTGGCATTTTTGGCCTGTATTGTTAATCGGAGACTGGCAAGGTTGGTCTGTTGATAATCCCACGTGCTCATCAATTTTAACAAAGCCTTCTTGTGTACATGGCCTTAACTGACTGAATTGGGAAACAACGTATGTTCAAGATACGTTAAACAAAGAGAAAGGATTTATATTGGATAAGTTTTACATAGTAGATTATTATGTACACTGGCTTCCATCCCACACGACACAACGTACTGGGACAAGTTTTGTGGTGGCAGTGTTCCAGGGTTAGGGTTAAGCAAGGATTGAGACTGCCGTTCTAGGTTCCTGTTTGAGTGCATGCAAGTGCACGTCAAAGCTACGCATCTGCCTGGCACCACCTACCTTGCTCATCCATAAACTCTCTGCTCCATGCAATTGGCACTCTACGCCAATCCGTGCCATTGATGTTCATCACTAGGATTTTAAAGCCTTTCATGTAACCAAATGCCCTTTCTTTCGACCCAGGAGCATCCGCAATGGCGCCGCCCGCGAAGCGACGCAAGCGCGCCATCGTTGAGAGTGACGATGACGAGTACATGGACAATGGCCCACAACAAAAGGCAGAACATCAATACAAAGACAATACCCTGACCCGGTTTCTTTCTCTATCTCCCGAGAAAAAACCACCATCAACAACCGCCAGTGTCCCAGTCGACCCGTCCAGCCCGCAGCCGCGAAAACGAGCTGCCGCCGCCGTCAAAACGACCAAAGCGACCACACGAAGCCCAAATACAAGCCCAATCAAGACCCGAACAAGGGCCACACAGCAACGGAAGCGCAAGGCCGAGGAAGATGACAAGGAGAAAGGCGGGAAGTCTGGTAATCTCTTGACATTATTCTCCCAGCAAGCACAGAGAAGTCAGTCGTCCCTGCACAGTAATGGCCACGGTACCTCCAAAACAAACAAGACTGCCAAAGCGATAGTGGACGACATTATTAGCGACCCCATATCCGTATCAGACAAGGACGACATCATTGATGACGATGACGACAACATTCCTCTGATCAGGTCGTCTGCCACGGCCGCCCCCTCGAGTCTGGCCAGCAGAGCCAAAGCCGCGCAGAAACGATTTGCTTCAACAGCACCCTCGAACACACAGCAAACTAGCACGCAAAGCGCTGCTGGTACTCTATCGAGCAATACTGGAGGCAGACGATTCCTTCGGCCGGCCCCGCGGAGCAATGGCTCTCAGTCATCGACTCTTGCTTCCACCCCTGCTACCATCCCGGATGGTAATGACTCCCGTCCATGGCCTGAACGGTTCGCGCCAGCCGATCTCGATGAGTTGGCTGTACATAAGCGCAAGGTGCAGGATGTTCGACGCTGGCTGGACGATGTTTTTTCTAATCGCTTGCGTCAGCGCTTGCTGGTGCTTAAAGGCCCCGCTGGGTCAGGCAAGACAACTACAGTGCGGCTGCTTGCACGAGACATGCACTGTGAAGTGTTAGAATGGAGAAATCCAGCTAGTTCATTTGGTGCTGTGGGTATGGCTGGATACCAGTCGGCTGCTGCGCAGTTCGAAGAGTTTTTGGGACGGGGTGGGAAGTTTGGCCAGTTAGATTTGGAAGATGAGGAGGAGTCTCCGCTTCCTCCTGCTTCTTCTTCAGCCACAGCAGCAGCAGGGCCGGGGTCCGGGTCAGAGAAGAAGCTGATTCTCATTGAGGAATTTCCGAATACCTTCATGCGCTCGTCCACTGGATTGATTGCCTTCCGGAGTGCAGTGATGCAATATCTGGAAGCCAACACACCCCCGATGACAAGCTTCGGGTTTGGACAACCAGCGGGTCCTATCACACCTATCGTTATGGTCGTTTCGGAAACACTTCTCACGACGACGTCGGCTTCAGCTGACAGCTTTACTGCACACCGTTTGCTCGGCCCTGAGATCCTCAGACACCCCGGAACGGGTGTGATCGAGTTCAACCCCATCGCGCCAACATTCATGACCAAGGCACTTGAGCTCGTGGTGCAAAAAGAGGCCCGCAAATCTGGGAGAAAGCGGACCCCTGGTCCTCTCGTCCTACAGCGGCTGGCAGAAATTGGCGACATCCGAAACGCCATTTCATCCTTGGAGTTTCTGTGTCTCAAGGGCGATCACGAAGCTGACTGGGGCTCCAAGGTTGGATTCTCAAGACCAAAGAGAGGAGCCAAGGATCTTCCGGCACTCACCAAGGGTGAACAAGAGAGCCTTGAGCTTGTATCGCAGCGAGAGGCGACCCTGGGCATATTCCATGCCGTGGGGAAAGTAGTTTACAACAAAAGGGAGGAGTTCCCTTCGGGCTCTGTGGGGGAACAGACGGAGAGGACTCTACCCCCATACATGGTTCATCTGGCCAGGCCCAAACGCTCCGAGGTAGCAGTCGATTCGTTGATGGACGAGATTGGAACCGACACGCACACATTTATCTCGGCATTGCACGAGAACTATGCTCTGTCATGTGAACAGACCGGCCCGATGGACCCCAATTCCTCGCTCGACTACCTCAATGGCTGCCTTGACTACCTCTCGGATAGTGACATGCTTTGTCCGTCATGGGATGTATTTTTCGGTGGCAGAGGCGGTTTTGCAGGAAACGCGGGCTATTACGGCAAGGACATGGGAAGCCACATCTTACGGCAGGATGAGATGGCATTCCAGGTTGCCGTACGTGGGTTGTTGTTCTCATTGCCGTCACCCGTCAAGCGTTTGGCCCACCCCACCGGCCGCGGAGGTGACGCCTTCAAAATGTTCTACCCGACCTACCTCAAGCTCTGGCGTACCAAGGAAGAGATAGAGGGTCTTGTAGATGTGTGGGCGACCAAAATGCTTAAGGGCGAAGTCGGCGGTCCAGGCCCGCCGCCGTCTCAATACTCCCAGCTCACCGGCCCATCTGCATTCCTTTTCAAGTCTCCAAGCAAGAGATTTCCCAACACTGCGTTAGCTCACCATCCCAAGCCCCAGCCACCCACCGTTGTTACCGCAGTCACCAGCGACCATGTCCGACACTCTCAACCCCCACCTCCGCTCTCCCTCGGCACTGCTGCCCGGCAGGAGCTGCTCCTCGAGCGGCTGCCATACATGACGCACATCGCACGGCGCCGCCGAACGTATGGGACGACACATACTCGCGAGCTGGAGCGTATTGTCTCGTTCCATGGCATCGGGACGCTTGGTGCGGGAGAGGAGGAAGGAGAGGAAGCGATCGCGGATGAGGAGGCTACGGGCACCGGCTTGGTCGCGGGGAGTGTGTCCGAGGTGGTCAGCTGGGCAACGGATCGCCCTGTGGAGGAGCCCCCGCCGAGGAAGAAGGGCGGATTAGTTTCTATCTTGAGGGGTAGTGATGATGGCCTGGGGTGTCTGTCGATGCAGGGGCTAGTTATTAGTGATGATGACATTGAGGACGATTGAGAAAGGGTGTGTAATGAGAGTGCGAATCTGTTCTCTTGTGAGTAACGATCAAGGGAAGGTAGATGAGATGCTGCAGCTTAGATGGTAGTTTGATACCTCAGCTTAGATGCTTATTTCCTCTTCTATATGCACGCAGTTCTTTGCTGAGCATACGTTTGCTCCTCGATGGAAAAAAGACATCATGTGCAATGTTTCTGACATGGATACAGAAAGATCAGGACCATGTATGTTAGATGCCATGGACAGGATCTTCGCCATACATTCAAGATCTTTGGATCGATGTCGTTTGCATGATTCAGCTCTGTTATCTTCCAACGTGCTCTTGATAAAGAGATTCAACTTTAGACTATTCCATTTGGGTATGCAATGTAGCGATCTTGAACCATTGATGATTGCTGGCAGTGTGAACCTTGATGGCTACTTTGGTTTCTCTCTTATCGATAGTGATAAGATAGGCCCGGTTTTCGTAGTCACAGAAGCGAGCTTTATAAGGAAAAATTATCCAAGACAACTATTGGAGTAGGCCAGCTCAGACCGAACTCATTTCCTGCCTTTTACCGGATGTGACCGTGAGTTGGCCTGAAATACTCCCTAACCCAATCTTTGGAAACTCTCTGGATATCCCAGATTCGATTTACACTTTTGCACTTTGGTTTTGCCCACACTTGATTTTTCCATACTATTGCAAATTCATCCTAAGGAGTCTGCAAAAACGCGTGCGATTAATTTTTTAAAGTTTTCTTTTTTGTTTTGCGTCCAATTTCAAAGATGTGCATCTTCAGGAGCACCAGCGCCATCTTGGTTCTTAACGATGGCCAATGTCATCACAACAGCATCACCACACCCCGCCAACACAGGTTCCTCTCTACTTAAGCGCTTGGAGCATCTCTTTGCCGGAGACGATACCATCTCCAAATCATTTCCAATTCTTGCCAAGGGTGATTGACACGCTCCCCGCGCGACGACAACGCCCTTCTCCATCGCGAATGCGGGGTCGGCAAACGACAATCCAGGAAATGCCGATGTTTTGCGTGGCGTCCCTGGGCAACTCAGCTCGGCCATTCCTAAGTAGGAAAGTTGGAGAAAAGATGGAGACGACCTGGCTTGCTGGACGCTGGGAAATACTGGCATTTTCTCGGTCGAGTCGGTCCCCCCAGCTGCATGCAACCTCGGCTCGGACAGCGGCCTCGTGTGAGTCGCGCCCCAGATTCGACGAAGCGTCGCCGCCCTGCCTCGGCCTCGGATGGAAACAGCAGTCAGGCCAGCGCTGCGCTGAGCCCAAGACGTGGTTCAGGGCCTGTCAAAACGCTCTAGGCGCGCTTTCGAGACCTGTGATTGGCTGTTTTCGGTGGAACCGCGACGGCTAACACCGTGCTGGGCCAGCCAAGTAGCGGTGGGCGGGGATCCGGGGAAGCTGGCAAGAAACAGCCAGGAGCTGGACCAGGAAGTGAAAGAAAAGGGCAAGAGAAGGCTGGCATCCAAACACACATCAACAATCAACATCCCACTTCTGTGGCTGTCCTAGTCCCCTGGACATCCCACTCACGTCCTCACACCATCACCATCCCCCTGGTAGCTGAGCTCGTCGACGACGCCGACCACGACAACAACAGCACCACATCGCGAGTGTCGACTGCCGTGTCGCAATGGCTGGCCGCGTGCGCCAGCCCATCAACGTGGGCAACTTGGAGCGGTGGATCTCCAAGCACGTCCCCGAGATTGAGCTGCCCATCGATGTCAAGCAGGTGAGCTGGATTTGAGCCCTTCGCATCTCGCCGTTAACAGACTCGCAGTATCTGACCTCTTTCCAGTTTGGCTTTGGCCAGTCCAACCCAACCTATCAGCTGACCGCGGCCGACGGCCAGCGCTTCGTGCTGCGCAAGAAGCCGCCGGGTCGTCTGGTCTCCAAGACTGCCCACAAGGTCGAGCGCGAGTACCGCATCATCTCGGCCCTGGCCAAAACCGACGTCCCCGTGCCGCGCGCTTACTGCCTGTGCGAGGATGAGTCTGTCATTGGCACCCCCTTCTATATCATGGAGTTCCTCGACGGCCGCATCTTTGAGGACCCTGTGATCCCCAATGTGTTACCCGACCACCGGCGCGCTATCTGGGCCGATGCTGTGCGCACCCTGGCTAAGCTTCACCGCATCGACCCTAAGTCTATCGGCCTCGAAAACTTTGGCAAGCCCACGGGTTTTTATTCGCGCCAGGTCGCTACTTGGCGCTCGATCTGCGATGCGCAGGCCCAGGTCCGCGATATCGAGACTCGCGAGCCTGTTGGCCAGCTGCCGTTCTTCGAGGAGATGATGGAATTTTTCGCCGACGAGAGCCAGCAGCCTGCCGATCGCGGTACCCTTATCCACGGCGACTTCAAGATCGATAACCTGGTCTTCCACAAGACCGAGCCGCGCGTCATTGGTGTCTTGGAGTAAGTATTTTTTTTCTTTTTTTTTTCGGCAAACCCCGTTTTCTCAGTCCAAAACTGACCCTCTCTTGCAGCTGGGAAATGTCCACGATAGGCCATCCCCTCTCCGACCTCTCCAACCTCCTAACCCCCTACTTCACCGCACGCCTCGACCCCCGTCGCTCGGTCAACGTGCACCCCGGCTTCCTGCCGCGCGCTACTCGCGGCCTGCCAACCCACGACGAGATTACGGCGCTCTACTTCTCGGTCGTTGACCGGCCCGAGTCCTCTTCTCTTGACCTCGCCCCACGCATCGACGACGCTGTGCGCCAGCGCGAGCTGCAGTGGGCCCAGGCCTTCAACATATTTCGGCTATCAGCTATTTGCCAGGGCATTGCTGCTCGTCAGGCCGGTCGTCAGGCGAGCAGCGAGCAGGCGAGGCGGTATGGTGATGCCCGGACGCCGCTGGCTGAGTTTGCGTGGGAGCTGGTGCAGGAGACGAAGAAGACGGGTCAGGTTGGGCAGAAGGGCAACTCGAAGAGTGAGAATAAGGGGAAGAAGCAGGATGCTAATGGTGGCAGCAGGTCGTCGAAGTTATGAAGACGAAGAGGCGAGGAGGTATGTGTGTATATAATGACGAGAGCAAGTGAGCGAATGGGACTTTGTTTTGGATAATGATATATACGCATGTTTACTTAGCATATGCATACACCTCCCCCCCTGACTGTGTGAACACTGTCAGTCACACGTCGGTGTTCTGCCTTTGTTCTCGATTATCTTTCTCCCCCTCGCCCCTGTATTCTCTGTCAGGCACCTGAACATCCCATAGTTATCATTATTGTGTGACATCACAGTTGTGTCCAGCTTAATCTGATCCTCTCATTTGCAGCTGCTTGCACGTTTTCTATACAAGTTACTGTCCCAAAGATTTGCTGTTGTTGTTCGCGGTGTAAAAACTGAAGCTGTTGCAGCACAGGTCTTGTCGGTGTCATCGTCGTCGTTGCTGTTCTCCCAGCTTTTGCCATCAGCTTGCGACCTCATCTGAGGTACTTCCACACGCGGCCGAATCGCTTCGCCGGCTCTCTTGCTTGAAGTTGACCCTTTGGACGAGCTAGAGGATTTCCGTCCTCCAACGTCATGGAAGGCTTTCAACCTGTTCCATAACAGCGAAGGAAACCTGGCCAAGATACTACATAGCCAGACCACCCACCCTATCAAGCACGCAGTCAACCATTCAATTCTTCCAATTCTTTCCGATCCATGGATCTTCTCATGCTTCTCCGAAACTCTCCCGTCTACCGGATGGGTCTCTTCCTCATCCCACCCGGGGCGAATGGGATTTAAAGCCCGAGGACTCTTGGCGGCCTTTGCTTCGCTTTCTCGAGCTATTATCTGATAAAGTCGTCCATTAGGTGTGACCTGGCCAGAGAGGGCCAATTTCTCTAGGTCCGTAAGCGACTGCTCATTCAAAGTGCTTTTCTCCGTGACTAACCAGTCGTGTATACAACACGATGGCTGTCTTGGCTGGTGGTTGAGAGAAAGTGGTGAATATGTGGTATGGCCGGCGCTGGAAGTCAGAACATCAGGGCCTTGTCGACCAGAAGGATGTAGATGCTCCGACTTTCCGCCTGCTGACTCGAAGGGTGCAGGCCTCGCAGTTGGTATTTCCAGCGGAATGGTTTCCAGATTTTCATTCTCCATCGCCTCTGGGAGCTCACGGGCAAGTTTGTCTAGCTTTATGAATCTGGGATACGGTCCTTCCCACTGTATCTTGGCCACGATATCATGTTTGTCTTTATTGCTGCCGAATTTCAGTCGTCGTTTGATCCTGTCGGATGCCTTTGACAGTTTGCCCTTGATGGTGACAGCCATATAGAATGCCTTGGCATCGTGTTCGAGTACGAAAGCCGTTTTGAATATGTTACTATACGAGGGCTGTCGGTCCAATGGATTGTCCTTCAGTTCCCATACCAGCGTATCATCCCTGTCCTGAGGCGTTAGTATTCGAGTTGTATAGCAGGAACCATGGGAGCGTACCACAGACCGGCCGTCTTCGACGTCAAGTGACTGACAAGCTTCCAACGGCTGTTTGTGTGTACTTTTCTCTCGCTGTCCACACCGAGCCCTCCGGCTCCATGGCCGAGCACCTGAACTTCAGAGACGCAACGAAAATTCCTCTTTTCTTCCACACGCGTCGGTGTACCAACCAATCGCTGCGGCCCCCAATAAGGGGTGAATCTGATAGGACATTCGAAGGATGATCTCGGTCTGCCCTTCTTGACCTGGCCATCGGATACTGTCAATGTAATGGTTGCTGACTCCAGTCTGCAGTCCGCGGGCTCTTGGAAGTCGAGGTCTAAGTAAATGACGCCAGCCGGACTGTTGCAAGTTCCTAGGACACCCCATTTAGATTTTGTGAACAGAAACCGGCAGCTGATATCGATATTTCCGATCTTTGCATGGCCCATTCTCACGGGAGCGTTCGTGGTGTCTAGTCGTACATCACACCAGCCATACTTCGACCGTTTCACGGCTATCGCCGGCTGGCTGACTGGTTGATCCATGTTTGCGGTGCTTTAATTTTCACGAGTCTCTGGACAGGTGGCCGTTGATTGCTCACGAAGATATGCTGGTGGTATGTAAATAATATAAGAAAACACACCTCCGGAGCCAGACGGAATGGGCATTCAGACGTCCCGCATCGATTTTTTTTTTGGTTCTTTCGATCACTTATTGCCACACCCACTGCAGCAGGCTCTTCACAGCAGACGCAGGCCTCCCAAGTACGTAGTCAACTCAGCCCCGGCCTGCCTATCGAGTATTACTCTTACAGCCTTGTAGTCTTACTTGTATGCAGCACTGCAACACACGCCGCGGCTATCATGCACTTCGGTGGCAATTTTACACGACGTTGACCTATCAGAAACTTGCTTCTGAGTTCTCGGGCAACTGTACACAGGCCGCTGGATTTGGTCCTTTTGACCTGGAACCGACGGTTCTCTCGCGCTGATTGAAATTTCGTCGACTCCCCCCTCCATTTTCTGGCTCATTTTGGCTCATGGCCATCACAGGTAGCACCGCTGTCTTTTCGCAAGCCACACCCACTACAACAAACTCTCATACCCCACATACATAGAAGGCTTACGATAAATCGCCAAAACAGTTAGAACTCTCTTTATGAACCTGAAACAAGAGACGACTACCGTATCTCAGTCGGCGTCATGGCTTTCAAGCCTCGGCCCAGTGCCCCTGTGTCCTTTTCAAGGTCGTATCATCAAGACAAACCCGAAATGATGACTTCGGATAGGGACCAGTTGAACGATCTGCTTGCCTCAGAACACAGACCATCGGATAGACCTCTTGTGCTTGTTTCTCTAGACTCTCGGCCAAGGATTGGTGTGCGCAGGAGCCTCGAGATACATGACAGAGACACTACTGATGACATTCAAGGTAACGCGAGACAGTCGAGAAGAGTTTGGAATGGTGAAGAGATACGCGGAAGATCTCATGTTTGGAGGCGGTCAAGTGAATCAGACAAATATGACCGACCTCAATTTGAGCAATTCAGGGTACCACCGGGGCCCATGAACATAAACCAATCTGCCCTAGATCCCCCAGAGCCTAACGCTACTGGCAAGCAACAAACGGCATTCTCATTTGTTCATGATCCGTCCAAATCAACAGCGGACGTAACAGTGAAGTTGGTGATGGAACTTGAGGACGACTTGGAACTTGACGTGGAAGAATTCTTCCGTCTCCGACGACTTGGTCGTTTCAAAGATGCAAAAGAGTATTATAAGGCAAGACTGCAGCACCACAATGATCTGCCTTATGTTCGCCTGATCTACGCTGAGATGCTTTTTGCTACTGGCGATTACGCTGCATTTCACACTGTTCCACGAATGTTCAGCAGGAGCCAGGATGAACTTCATCATTCACATGACTCTCTCATTCAGAGGAATCATGAATTCTTGTGTGTTCTTGTTCAGAGTAGAAACCTTGAACCCATCGACTATGGATACGTTAATGAGCTTATTCGCGACTCCTACAGCCTTTTAAGGAGACAAATGTCCATCAGCTCGGCAGAGGTATGTTCTTAATCGTCGCGTTCTATTTAAGCAATTATCTAACTAAACGCTGGTAAGATCCAACTATTCTCAGTCTCATTACTTGTGCTGTATCAAGAAGAACTTCATAAGTACCAAACGAATAACCTGATAACAGATGCGGAAACACTCTGGAACTGGCAATTGGTCTATGATGATTTGCAACAGAAGAATTGCGTGTGGGATCTTAGAGATCTTCTCGTAGCCATGGATCTGGTATTTGGCTGGGAAGATACTCGCAAATTGGTCTTTGGATCCGAGTCCGACGACGACATTTTCTCTTCCATCATAAACAACTGGCTGGGGCCCCAGTTCGACGAATCTTCAGCTCTAGGTCTTTTGGATCTCTTCACTTCGTTAATTCTTCAAGACTCGAGCGATGACTTTGCACAACGTAATATCTTGCTCGCTCAAAAAGCGATCAGTCTAGTTCAGTCTTTACAGCTCCACGATAAAGACCTGATGAGGAGCAGACCGTATATCCGGTGGCTGCTGGCCAAGTCACTTCTCGAGATGGAGCCACCCCCTGGACGGCTGTATGGTAATATCCTACAAAGCTTCAGAGGGTTACTGATCAATCAAGGGAAAGGTCTTAATCTGCCATTATACGCCCCACGAGACCGAAAAAACAAGCCTGGTTGGGATGTCTTCTCCAAAAAGCCAACGACTGATCTAACTGGCGTACTCGAGACTGCTGCTGAAACGGCACTCCTTCTTGGTGACTTCGCGCTCAATACGGAGTCTATGAAGTTACAAATCCTCCAATCTCATGAGCCAAGGCCATTGATGGATGCACTCTGTCGTTTCCAGCTGGACACGCAAGGAGACAAGGAAGGGTATATGGCCACCTGCTTGTCTAAATACATTGTGTCCTCGGAGGAAAGTGACCTCGCAATACTTCTCGGACGCCTCATGCCAAGGAGAAGTTTTGCGCCTTTTCGAGAATGGCCAAACCGCGCGTTGAGTTGGGCATGGGAGCTGATTACGACACACCTCTCATTTCCCCATGAGGATTCTGACAGCTCAGTTGCAGCCGAGTATGATAATGCCATCACACGACTACTGGAGCGAACGATTTACGACCCTCGCAGAGTTTTCCCAGCATACATTGTGGACTTTGCCGTAAAGGAGCTCGGACTTAGGGCCTTGTTGCACAGAGATTACGAAAACTCCTTTTCTCAGTCCCCCCCGGTTCCACCTCTTTCCTCACCACCTCGTGTTGCTCCTCTGAAAAATCACTCAGAACATCGATATGGGAGGCATTTCAAATCGGAACCTTACTGGGTTCGAGAACGGCAGTATCCTCTTTCATCTGATCTACCCGTACGCCCCGCTGCCCCGGACTGGTGCGCTAGCCGCTCAAGACCAGGGTCCAACCAGATTTACACGCGGCCAGTTCCTCCATCTGATCCTGTCACTTTGCGTGATGGTGGTTCTCGACATGATTATGGAGGAGTTCGTGTGCAATCTTGTTCGCCCTCTGCATCAAGAAACCCCTTCCTACAACATCCCGCCCAGGTGGAGGAGGACTTTAAGCGGGCTTTCCCAGAAAAACAAATACAAGAATCTCAGGATTATGGATACAGTGACTCATATCTAACAAATATTCTGGAATCGCCTTATCGTTCTCATGATTATTCTTCGTATCATATAGCCGACAACCCTGGAACCTACGACTACAGCCACTACTCAACAGCCAACAGCGCTGGCTCTTCATACAATCCAGGAGATCATTACCACCGATCTCCATCTAGATGCCGACAGTACTTCAGTGGCTTTGCATCCTATCATCCTCAGCTTGGAGATCACCGTCAACGTTGCGCCACTTGCCAGCAACCCAATTATGACAGCTCAACCACGGACCTTCATGAAGATTCTGAGCACTCCCTTTCAGACTCTTCTCCTCCGTCCCTTCACTCCTCTGATACTTGGACCTCGAAGCCTCTTGATTATGATACCGAACAACCTCGTTCTAGAAGAACAAAAAAGCAGCCTATTGTACGCTGGATGCATCCTCTAGTACCAGCACCCCCTCCTCGAGAGAAAACTTCCTTGGATACCCGTATGGAGAAACATTGGAAAAATCGAACTAGTCCAGCTGATGGTCACCATCAGGGGAGGAAGCCCAAGTCCATGCACACAGTTGTATTTGATCGCGGCAAAAGTGTGGAGAAGTGGCTTGCAGGCTCGTATCCATACGCAAGCTCAGACTCGGGCTCCGATGAGGAGAATGATTATGTAGAAGATGACGGGTTCAAGGAATACGATGATTTTGATGACGAGGAAGGGGAAGAAAGTACTGAACAAGATGGAGATGAGATCAACTATGAGTCTGAAGGAGCACTTGTGATGAATGATGACTCAACACTGTTATCTTTCCTGGAAGATATTCGCTTTTCCAGGCCATACCGGTACGAGAAGCCCACAGCCTGCTCGGTTAGGATTCTCACTAAGCAACGTGATATGATCGATGAGATCTCGAAGGACGCGGTGATTGACAGCAACAGTCAACGATCTGAAGGAAACAACGAGGAATTCATGCCGCAAGTGATTCCTCCTAATGGGCCTGAGACTGATAGACCTTATTTTGACAAGGCGAAGGAGGAAAACCAGAAACAGTTAACTCCTAGCTATGTGCCTTATTTGCACATACGATATCCATGGCTTCTCGAACTGATGTTGCGCCTGCAACAGCATTACATTGTTCCTAATCACACCAGTGATACAATCGTTAGCGGCGGGCCAGGAATTACAACACTTCCAAATCATAGGCCGACTGAGGATGGTAGCACACGCATTGAAACCGCTGTTGAATCAGCTAGGAGCGAAGAAGTTTTCCAGGAGCCAGTCAGTGGTCAAGGTGAAACAGCCAGATCTGGACCCGGTCCGATTGCTTTCACAGAAGATTCGCCTGGGCCAATTAACAACCCAGATCCTATACTTTCTACAGTTTGCTCGGCTACGGAGCCAGTATCCAGGACTGAAGTAGCCACTGGGACAATCGTTGACCAACCCCTAACGGCAGAGCCACTCGATGCATCAGAGCTAGAAGAAAATGCAACCTTACAGAGTTCGCGGTTTGCAACAACTGCACCAAAACCACCAAGTGGCGTACCGAAAGACATCCCCGTGAAGTCATCAACGCATCCAAACTTCAAGAAGGAAAAGGCTCGAACTCCTGTATCGTTTGCCCCGCTTGACGATATCGGCAACGGTACCACAAACACCTCCCAATTTAAACCACCTGGAAGTCCGGAATCCGCTAATGCAACTTCAGTTGATCCTACGCTCTCTGAATATGACTCGGCCATGGCAGATACGGCAACATCGGTTCATGGTCAAGTCACTCCAACCTCCAAAACCAACTCTACCAACTTTGGTCCAACAGAGTTTGAGGAACCTGGTAGCGAAGCCCAAGGCTATTCTAGTTCAGTTTTTGTTGAATTTTCAGCCTCAAGTGACAAAACGGTGACTCCCAAGGCACGACAAGCGGAGAATGGAACAAGCTCTTTTGATATCCATTCTGACACACGGCATGAAGAAAACAAGAGAGGGCGAAAAGAATCAGGAGAGTTTGAAGAAGCAACAAAGGCCAGAAAGAGTGTAAGAAGGCCAAAGAGAAGAAGTACACAAGAGCGTCTGGAGACTTTGCTAGGTATGATCGGTGAGCAGCCAACGACGCAGATCGACACAATAGACTCCAGACTCGAACAGGATCCCTCGTTGCGATTTTGGATATGCGACAGTAGCGGTCGAAACAACGACGGAAACAGCAAAGACTTCATTAAGAGCTCGTTAGCTCAACGATTCAAGCCCAAATCCCAAAAAGGGAGGGTGGAGGGCAATAGTAGGAAAATTGGCGATCAGGCAACTGAACCATCCTCTTCTGATGGTTGGACTTCCATGCCCAAGCGATCGCTATCGCGGAACAGGCAGTCTTCAAGAGACTCATACAATGCTATCTCTGATCATGTGGTATTAGATCCCCAGCGAATGAGTCCGAGGAGGAGGACATGTTCCATTACTGAGCAAGCTGAGTCAGTGATAGCTGATACAAACGAAGGAGTTAGTGCCGATCAGAACTCTGGAAAAAAGGGAAAAGACTGGACGTCAGAGACGGTGAAGGCTGAACAGAGGGAAGCCTGAAAATTTGAGAAGTCGTTTGTCGCTGGTATAAGCGGTTGCTTGTTAGTCTAGATTTGACTCTTTGATTCTGGTGGGCACGGAGACTGTCGCTTCATACGCTATCCCTACGAACCTCTGCGCTGCCGGTCGTTTGTGACCAGTTTTCCAATTAAATCAGGCCGTCTTCGAGTCATGAACTCCTTTTGCTTGGGAAAGTGAACTCTTTTGTTGATATGGCAACGCACGTCTTTTCACTTTCGTCATCGTCGTCCCCGTTTCGTGTATCGTTTTGACCAGCTTTTGAACCTACCCGAGGAAATCTGATAGTAAACCTAGCTGGTTTCCAGCTTTAGCCAGAGTTGTCCCTCCCGTTTGTGTCCCTCGCGCCTTTATCATGCCACGAACCTTCATCATTGAACGACTTGGGCTTGCGGGCCATGAAGAGCAAAACTCCTGTCAGCATGCTTTCAAACCAAAGAAGAAACATTGGCCCTGTACTATTTCTTTTCTCGTTTCTTCCCTTTTCTCTATCACTGTTATATTTGTTGATGGTTGATTTCACGGTGCCCTTGTTATCTGTGCGACTTTCTTGGGATTCACGATTGTTTGGTGCCTCTTCACCCACCAGTAGTGTTGGGTTGCAGGATGATGAACTTTGGCGAACCTCATCCTTTCTGAGGTGACATCCTTCGTATGGAGGTTGTACCGGGGGTAGATACTTGGCAGCGATCATCAAATCTTCCAAGGTCGGGCCGCCGACTGCAGTGCAAAACTCGCCGCATCCACCAACCTTCCAGGCTCGAATGCTAGTGTCCTTGACTGCTGCTGTCGAAACCCCTCCAAGTCCATTAGCCTTCCGGGTTCAAGGTGTCGCTTGTCGTGCATCTGTTGCTCGATAAGCGATGCAGAAGAGGGAGGAGAGGCAACGTTTGCCGATGTTAGCCCGTAGAGTGTTTGTTGGGAAAGCTCAGCAGCAGTTGGTCGCGAGTTCTTATTTGCAGGAGCGAAAAAAAAAACTAGCAGACATCACTTTTGGGACCTCGACCAGAGTGTCGCTGAGGTTCTCCAAATCCATGGCGGCAGGTAAGTTTGGGCAATGGGATCGAGAATGAACGAGCCGAAAACCCATATAGCCACTGGATAACTCGAATATGTCTTCTTTCTTATCCTTTATTCCACCAGGCCTGAGTCGGTGCTTTATCCTATGTGAACGTTTGGATAACCTGCCGCTGACTTCAATCGTGATATAAAACGTCGTTTCAAAGTGTTCAAGAGGAAAAGCTGTGTGAAATAGCTGATGTACATTGGCTACCGGTTGGCCAGCTATGCTTTCCCGTTGCTGTCGAGTTTCCGACTCTGAAGCCGGTAAGTTTGAGGCTACAACACGACAGCCCATAACGACTACTAGTGTTCATTCTTCAACAGACACTGATGCTGATGATAGCTCCGGAATCGTTCCAACGTCAAGCAACAAACAGGTCTTAATGATGTCCCTTCCTCTATCGAGCCTGGCAACAAACACAAGGGGAAGGTATGTGAATTCAAGGATATGGCATAACTACCAACATTCAAGTGGTTCCGAAAAACCTGTCAAAAGTATCATTACCTCTGGGTTTCGAGGAAGCCTTTAAAAGATAACGGAAAAGTTGATAGCAGCAAAGGGCACAAATTCCAGGATGAAGTCAGTCTTAAGTAGGCCAGGAACAGTAGGATGATGGTAATGACACCTGCAATCAGGAAGGTAAAAGTTTGGATCAGCGACCAACCACTAACACTCTAACGAGGCGGAACAGACACAGTAGGGAATGCCACGGTTCCAATAAGAGTAGAGTGAAAAGATAAGGCCACGAGCTCTATGCGACTCTACTCATCCCACAGCGCTCATCGGCCTGCTCGAGCTCCTGACCATTCAACCGGCGAGAACAAGTAACATTTCTTCCTCTCGGCAAAATAACCCTAGTTTTGTCGCAAAGAAAATAAAGGGGATCTGGGATACCTCCGACTTATCGAGAGGACGAACACCTGTTGAGTCTGATGGGCGCAAGGTTGGCGATTGATCAAGAAGGCCATCGGCGTAGCTACACTTTAGCTATGCTTTAGGTTGGATAGTAGGTAGAGGTACCCGGTTGTCCTTGTTCGTGCGGGCGGAATCTCGATGACTATTCTGGAAGCTTCAAGAACTTTCAGTCTCGCTTGAAATGCTGGCCCTCCAAGCATTGTGAAAGATGGCAGATGGGATGGATGTGATTATAAGTCCCTGCCGGGTAGAAACCCTTCGGTTCATAAATCTATACCCACAGGAGCGGTTGCAAACCGAAGACCAAGATGCCAAGGGGTTGACAAATGGCAATGATGTCATCGGCCTATGAATTACCGTTGACCGGCAGCTACTGGCCGGAGTCCTGGCTCACGCGCCTGTGACCCCCACTCTTGAACTTATCTTACCTTTGCTCCGCATTTTGCTTGTCTCAGCCTTAACTGAAAACAGTTTAGGTACTTCTCAAAAGCACTGCAGCGGGCGAAGATGCGGTACTTTTCTATATATCTGTTAGAGGGGCCAGGTCTGCGGCCCACCGAATGCTGACACTCATCAGTTCGCGTTGAACGGTATTTGTTCCTAATCAAGCAATTCTTGCTTCCGCCGTCCCGAGCGCGACGGCTGCAGGTCGCGTTCGGCATGGATCATGTTAGAAACTAACAGCTACAAGCCACGACGTTGTTAACAAAACCGAATTCAAGAATCAGTTTCGGGGAATGGACCTGGCCCAGTATGGCAGGTTGAAGTGCGGTCAATTGGGAGTATGAAAGATTTGACAATGTAATCGAGGGTTGAAAGCTGTTGTGTGCGGCGGTGGTGGACCCTTATAGGTTAAGTACGCAATCAGTGGGCCCCTGAAACCTGGCCTTCGGGGCTGAAAATCTTGTCCATTTGCAGATCCCGCGCCGATTCATCACAGCTGCTTTCCCACAGGCCTTCCTTGGTGGCTGCACACACGAGTCTGGACATGTGTGCTGCCGAAGCCGCTTTCAGGATGGCCCTGTTTCACTACACTATTAATATACTGCGCGGCGGCAATTGAGTTCTTCATGACACTATGTTGGCGCTGAGGAGACAAGCAAAAGTCCGGACTCGCAAAGAAAAGCCGCAATCAACTTTGTCTGCAGTCGGAAGAGCTGGAAATTTAGAGATGCGGGTTTTGAAATCTAAAGGATTTTACATGTGAAAGTGTAGAATTGGCTGGCTTGGCTTCTCGGACATGGTCAGTTTGGGCTCATCGGGACTCAGACCCTCGCGGTTGCGACTGGGTGCTGCTTCCGGCCAATCCGGGCGGGAGAACCCGCGCTGCTCCAAATCTACCCGTCCTTCCGGATTTGCAATGAGGTATTGGCTGATATTCTCTTCTCTTTTTTGAGATTTCTCTTTTTTCTTCTGTTTTCTCTGCCACCTTTCCGTCTCTTTTGTCTGTATCCCTACCCCTCACGTTCCTGGCATCCATCCAATTGCTTGGACTGCGCCAGGCCATGGTGCCCTGCCTTACGTCAATCTGACTTTCCGGCCTTGATAGCACACGTCTTCCGGGCCACGTCGCGCAATTCCATATCTGCGCTGTTCTTTGGATTACAAACTGAGACAAGATTTGTTGCAAAGAGCCAGATCCTCCAAAGATATTGTATACTTTACACGTCATCGTATCATCACAAAGTCTTCACGATTGCTCCTCCTCATTAACGGCGGACGCGCCCACACACGGGAACTGTCCTTCCCCCAGCCATAGGCTCTCTTGTCCCGGCCCGAGCCTCTGCTTGGCACCCTCTCGACCCATCCGGGAGCCTATCGGAGCTGACTTCGGAGCTGAACGGGATCGGTTAGGTTTGGGATTGGTCGGGTGTTGCGTTCTGTGGTGTCAGTGCTTCATCGACGGCGGAACTTGGCCCACGTGTGGTCTCGCTGCCCGGCATTGTGCATGCCTACGTGCCGTAGGTGAAGATATTGGCCGCAGAACTTCATCGACACACGCCTGGGAATAAGTGTATCATCATGTCCTTCGTCCGGGCTCTCCAAATCCCCTACCGCGAGGCGCGGGATGGGTTTTGGGGAGAGCAGACGTCGACCCTGAACTGGTGCGAGGAGGTACGTAACTGTACCTTTTTAAATTACAGATCCTTTAAATCTCCGATGATCTATGGTTTAAATTGGATTTAAACTTACAATCAATCTTCCTCCATGCCCTGATATTCAGGGGCAAGGGGATAATGTGATCTCCACAGGATTACAACATCACGTTCTACTGCGCCGAGCTTGTCAACACACTCACAAACCTTGTCTTTATGTGGCTCGGCATCAAGGGCCTTCGTAATGTCCTGGCATACAACCACTCCTGGGTGTTCACCCCAGTGTATTTGGGATATCTCACCGTCGGCCTTGGGTCAATGGCCTTCCACACGACCTTGAAATGTTTGCACCCCTGTGTTCTCTCTGGCTCATATCGTTTCAATCTTTTTTTTGTTCTTATTTCCTCATCTCAACGCTATGGTCACAATTGTCTTACACGTCTCGTGTTGTTACAGATGAGATGCAGCTCGCCGATGAGCTTCCCATGATTTACACGGTATGCATCATGGGGTTTGCTGCGTTTAGCTACAGACGGTCCGTCAAGGAGCAGTTGCTGGTTGCTGCTTGCATGATCTCAATAGCCGTCTTTGTCACGGTACGTTATAAATTTCCTTTCAAGTTCAAGGGAGACAACTGACAGAGAGACCAGGTTTATTATCTCCATGCCAAGAATCCCGTCTTCCATCAGGTCGCCTACGGTCTTCTGACGGCAGCTACGATATTCAAGGGCTTCTACGTCATGGAACATGACCTGCGGCCCGCTCTGCGCAAACGGAATCCGGCAGAGTGTGATAAATACATGCGTGAGATGTGGACTCTGGCTTTGACCGGTTCGCAACACCTTATCTGCAATATAAGAGTAAAAGGGTGAAGGTGTGATGCTGACATAATACGTGTTTTCTTGCCTTAAGGTCTTTTTATCTTCCTCGCCGGGTTCTTTTTGTGGAACATGGATAATATCTTCTGCCAGCACCTAACGGCAACTAAGCAGCAGCTCCTCCTTCCATGGTCCGTCCTTTTGGAAGGTCATGGATGGTGGCACGTGTTGACTGGTCTCGGTACGCTTGCTCCCTTTTTGTCATCCCCTCTTGCAAGGTCACACAATGCTAACATTGGAAACAGGCGGTATGTGACACCTGCTCGGGAACTACTAATGAAGTATGACGACTAACACAGAGAACACTACAGCTTATCACATGATTCTGTGGCGTGTCTGGCTCACGCGGTGTCTCGATGGTAGCGAGAAAGACTTCGTGTTGGACTGGGTGCCTTTGCGCAGCATACCGCAGGTCGTACCAAGGCGGCAGCCGCCCTCGCCGTCCAAACTTCTTCCAAGGGAGAAGACCCAGTAACCTGGTTTTCTCAATCGGAGATCGGGTTGTTTCTGAAGCTACACGACAGACGGGTATTACGCGTCGCAATTCTTTGAACTAGGGCTTGGCTTGTATAAATTACTATAATCCAGACTGACCGAAGTGCAGGCTTTGTTGGGCTCTCGAATACGACTGGTTGGATATGGACCCTATACAGCGTAGGGTTGGATGGGAAGACCGGAGATGGGAGTGGTCAGAAACAGGCCTTTAAGAGATTGGATCTAGCTTTTGTTTCAGTGTATTTTATTAATATTTTTGAAATTTAACGAAAAAAGTATACTTGCACACAAGGTTCTACAGGTCACTATATGTGTTCAGCAGAGATTGTCCAACTCACAATGTGTGTCTTTCAACATACTACTTTCTTACTCGTTTCCTGTGTAACACAGTTCTTGGCACTGTGGATCTGGGCAGGGCAAAAGTGCTGACAGCAGCCAGCAATTGGAGAGACAGATGGCGGGTTGGCAACCACAGGAACTTCTCATTTACGTTGTCACTAGCGATCGCAGTTTGCATCTCGACACAACCCTTGCGCAACGCCAGGTTTATAGGCATTTCGCAAGTCATAGCGGAGCAGATCTAGTCTCTAATCGAAAATGTCGCTAAGTACAGAGGCGTTGCAGAAGGCAAGGCATCTACCCTGAGCTCACTCATTCACCCCTCGAAAACTCACCACAGCAGCGAGGCTGGTGAAACGTTGGGCCGCAATAAACAGATCACAAAACCAGACCTGTTTCCCATATACAGCGTTTGATGCCACATACACACAGACAAAATGTGGAGTGGAAAGCTAACGAAAGGCCACGCAACAGCTTGTGCGGGAGATTGAGTCCCAGGCGATTGCGGCACAGCAGCAGATCAGCCTGGTGAGGACACAGATCGCGGCCAAGCAGCGGGAGATGCGGCTGGCGCAGCTGACGCGCAGCGAAATCTCCGCACTACCCAACGATACGGACGTCTATGAAGGTGTTGGGAAGATGTACGATTCAGCTTTCTCGAAGACTCCACCACGTTCTTCTATCATGGCTAACCGAAGGGTGAGCAGGTTCGTGGCGGTGCCGGTGCCGGCGATGCAGGACAAGCTGGGGGAGCAGATCAAGACTCTGGAGGGCGAGGTAGAGACGATGAACAAGAGACTACACTATCTAGAGACGACTGCGAAGAACAGCCAGGATCACATCGAAAAGATCATCAAGGGCGGTGGTCAGTCATAATCATAACGGTCCCTGAGAAGCGGGGGAGGGGCTGATGGCTTGATACGGATGTTGCTTTGGGGGTTTGTCTTGGCTTCGGCGTTGTGTAACTTCGAGGGTGTAGCCGGCGCTTGGTCTTCGCAGTACAGAACCGGAGAAGTCGGTTGAACGGCTACGTGTCAGCGTTTCTACGTTGCATGCCTTGAACTTGTGCTCTTTATGCGAAAGAAAAATAAAAGCCTTAGAAAGACTGCATAATGAGGGGAATGCCGTCACCCTCGGACCCTGGCGATCAATAGCCGTGATGTTCACACTGTGCAGAACTCTTCAAGCGTCTGGGCCGTCTGGGTGGGGTCGGGTTTTATCGCTGCCTGGATTGAAGAGGGGCAGCTCCTTCGGCGTCTCGCCGGGTGGCGTCAACAAAGCATTTTACCAAATCAATCTATTGAAAGGAATAACGTTTCAAACATTTCCGTCGTATCGTTTTGGTTCATGTAAAAACTGCATCTCTCTATCATTAAGGCGCTAAGGTCGCTTGCCAGCAAGAGATGTTCGAGCTGCAGCTCGAGCGGCAGCTGAGATGCTGTGCCAACCCTGGCCTGCCCAAAAAAAAGAGACAGCAAGGGGGTGAGATCGCACCCTGGCCAACCAGCAGCCTCCTCCAGTTCGCAGTCGGCGTTTTGCTTAAACGGAACTCTGCAAACGGAATGATCGCCATCTGTTACCTGTTATCGATAATTGTAAAGCTTTCGGCTTCGGTGTACCCAGAACTTGATCCAACACCCGCCACTACAGTGAACCTACAGTGTGCTCAGCCTTAAAATACCCAAGGCTTTGCTGCGCTGCAGTCCCCAATTGACCTTCACGTTCTCCATAACGTGCCAAGGAACTGATCGATCGCTGCTGATGAGTCAAGACCAGTTGTTCTGCCATATCCTCTAGGTTTCGGGGTTGTCTGAAGCCCGGGGATTGAATCGTGAACAGCATAGGTTTAAACTATCTTAAAGTCCCATCGAAATTCTCCAGTACGAGCCGACACATGCTATCTACTACGCTCACAGGATCCTTTTGAATCATCATCTTGAGTCCAGTCTGTATATCACGTCTTTATCAGCCAATGCGACACGGTACACTTACCAGCCGCTCTTTGGCCGGACCATCCGGGTGCAACACCTTGATCCAAATGAGTGTCTTGATGCTCCCCTTACGGGTCGCTTAGAGTGTTATTCATTCCGTGAACTCAGCAAAGAGGGAAAATTGTTGAAGAACGTCTCAGCTCCAGAAAGGTTTGTTTGTTTCTCTTACGTTTGAGGAAGCAACGATAAGCCATGCATGCTTCTTCGTCTTCTTCGAGAGTTGCATTCAGATACTCAAAGCACCGAGTTTCAATGCCTTCCTATAACTCTTACACATGATTCGTTGCTTCGTCGTTATCGATCGCTCCGCCATCAGCGACAACTTCTAGACGCTGAATCAGATTCCGCTGAATCTGTAGATATGATGGTCTGGGCGGATGCGGTTTGTATCAACTAGGAGGAGCCCCTCGAACAGGGCCATCAGGTAGCCCTTATGCGCGACATCTCTTTGCTGGCAAAGCAAGTAGTAGTCGACTTTGGCGAGGACGACGGAACTGTAGGACCGGTTTTAAAGTTAATGGCTAAATGGTGGCGAAAGAACCTCTGGAGAGGGGTGCTTCTGCCAGGAGAAACGCTAGGTCAAGATTGTGTGATGACGCCAAATTTTGCAGCCTGGAGACTTGGATCTCGCATCCCGCATGATGACGATGAAAAAGCTCGATGGCTAAACGCAGAACTGCCACCAGATGAAAATCCGGTATGGGCCAACGTTGGCCGGTTTTTCTCGAGGCTCTGGTTCACGCGACTGTGGGTTGTCCAAGATTTTGTGTTAGCGAGAAAACTGGTCTGCATTTGCGGTCAGCAGAGAGCGTCAGAGCTGGATCTCATTGGTGTTATACTCTATTTCCCTGGTGCTTGGATTCCGGTTGGCAGGAACTTTACCAGAATGTCTGCCAGCTCACGATGGAAGCTGGTTCAAGATGCTCTTCTTTTCCGGTCAATGGTTTATGTTCGCCAGGCCCGCTACAAATGGCGTGACTTTGTAGCCTTGATTCAGTTAGGGCTTCCACCCCATCCTTCAATGGCCAGTTCATTTCTTCATCTCGACTTCTACAGTTTGCTTCAATCGTTCCAACTTTCAAGCTCGTCAAGGAAGAGAAACAGATACTTTGCCCTGGCAGGACTGGCTTTACTAGCAGACCTAAATATCGATAGGCAAGAGGAGCTTCGCCCAGATTACGAATCCCCCCTCAATGCTGTGATATCAACATTTGGAAAGTTCCTATGGAAGTACTATAGAGCAACAAATATCCCCCCGACGATGCTTGTTAACGCAGGGCTTGAGTTGCAGGAAACCCCTGAGATCCCGTCTCGGATACAAGACTTCACCCACACGCCTGCGTGGCAATACGAGATTCCCAGATATGGGTTTTCCATCGTGAGCAGTGTTAGCCCTCAGCAATATCATCACTACTACAATGCGGCAGGGGGGGGGTGGATTTTATTCCATTTTACCATCACACCAGGCCTCGATCACATGGTGACACTCCGTGGATCATGCGTCGACGTTGTTACTCCGAAGGAAGGTTTTATGGAGGGGCGAAAGCTGCGGCGGATAATACCAAAGAAGCTGTCCAATGGCCTACTATCGGTTCTTATGGATATGGTTGATACTATCATAGGGTCGGGTTCGGGTTTGCGATATAGACTTGCAAACTATGTTGCTGACGCTCTTGTGCCCGGAAGTGAAGATTTTGAGACTCCTCAAGCACACAATCCAGCCTCACCGTTCATGAAGGAAGAAATGCACTTTTCGATGCCTATTGGCTTGCTGGCAATGGTATTAAACGTTACGAGCATACAGAAAAGTCCCAGATTCGAAACGACTATGCGGAAGGGGGCTTTTTGTGGTACTTCTGGTTGGAACACAGGTTCAGGCCGGCAGTTAATATTAACACGGCGGAACCGGATAGCTAATGTGCCCGACTAAGTCAAAGATGGAGGACGAGATCTGGATCATCTATGGTATCAGAATGCCACTGCTTCTTCGAAAGAGTATCGACTTTCCCGGTTGTTATCAATTTGTGGGGACGTTGTTATCTTGATGGCATGATGCAAGGAGAAGCGATGGATATGGGATTCGAGGTTCGGCAGGTGACACGGGTCTACGGTTTATTCACCTAATCTAGTTGTCCGTTGGAGAAATTTCTTCTAATATATATCAGATATTTTTAACATGTTTTAACTTGGCAGTTTGGTCAGTGCCAAAAAACCGAAACGGAAGAAAGCTGGGGTCTCTTCCGTTTCTTCTTCCGTTCCACAACCGCCTTTCAACCCAGTGGGTCTAGGCTCTAGGCTACCGGTCTGTCACGCTTGTGATCCTTTCCCCGCAGGCGGAGCCAAGAAGTCGAGCCAAGACCCTGATCTAGCCCTACGAAACGCAGCTCCCCCAGCCGCCGGTGAGTCCCGCGTCTCGCCGTCATGCAAGTTGCGGCGGTTGGCGCTTGTTGCGAACTGGTGAGGCAGGTCCCTGTCGAGTGTCGACCTTGGCTCGGAAGTTGTGCTCTCCGCTTGCTATGGGTTGGACCGACCGATCGGCGGCTGGGCTTTAAAGCTTCTTGGTCTACTGGATATTATGCAGCTGTTTTGGATGAGCAAGAGAGGGGACACGAGGCACACGGGTAGGATGTGCCACCGATGATATCAGTAACAATGGCACATGAGAGATTCTACAGGTAGGACGGACGACGGTGGAGGGGGCCACAAGGCTGAAGCAACGGGATGACGAGGGTGGAATGATCGAGCCTTAAGTGTATCACTGTCCATAGCAGGTACTTGGTGCTTGCCTACCCCTCCAGCGCCTTCCATCTTTGTCAACCCTCAAAAAAACCCCTCCTTTTCCAGTGAGCAGCGAACGGGCGGAGCACCCACAAAGCAAAATGCAGGTTGAAATCGCAGTGGAATTTAGGGTTCGCGAGTTTTTTGCGCCTGTCGCTGCTGATACTTCCCCAGCCCCCAACCACCCCTTTCATTCATCAGCGTTCTGTGGCCCTTGTCGGAAAACCCAAGCATCTTCATATCGCTGGCGGCGGTGCCGCCGACTCGCATGCTCTCCTCCCCACACACTTACGGCCTTGCAGGCCGGGTACAGGGGTACGGACCAACCACAGCGCAGTCACCGTGTGAATAGCGTGGACGAAGTCGTCTTCACACCCTATGGCCCGTGTATCCATTACTTCGAACAGGACCCGATGGGCACCTTGGTGCCTGTGGCACCGCCCTAGCAGGCTAACGCGATGCTGTGTATCACCCTCGTGGAGCCTGTTTCCAGGCTGCCATGGCGCCGTCACGGTGTGGTTGGGGTCACATCGTCCACGAAAATGTCCAGTACCAGCACTTGTCAGTCACCGCACTCACATGAGCACCCGTTGTTGTTGTTGACCCACGGCACACTGGTCCCTACCTCCAACTTCCGGGCAGCAGACGTACCTCATGGCTACTCACGGCTGCCCATGTTCCCTCCTCCTTTACCCCCCCCCCCGGCCTGGCCTGCCTTGGGTCCTCACTCCTTACACCCTCCCCGCTCCCTGATCTTGATTTGCCTGCGTGTCCTTCCGTGCCCACAGCCAATGCAGCCAGCTTCCTCAGCAGTAGTCGGACGCCCCTCGTACGCCCCAGAGCTGGATCCGGCAGCCCATCACCCCAATAAATGGGCGGCTGACACCCCGCTCTGCCCTTGGCTGTTGGCCGGCTTATGATCCTTCTGACCCCTCGTTCACCTGTGCCGCTCACCTTTACTTACCTGTTCTGCTCCTTTTCGCTCTCCTGTTCCAAAGCATCCCAAGTCTGAGCTCGCATTTCCTTGCGTTGAGAAAAAGTGGAGTCGTTCCCTGGCCCTGTGTACCGAACACAATGTCGCGAGTGTCCGTCGTATCCTCCAGGCGCTATTCCTCCTCTTCTCTGAGTGATGATAGCAGCAGCGAGATCGTCCATTCCCGTGACCAAATCAGGATAGTCCGGGAGCGCGACCGCTCTCGCAGCCGTGGGCCCCCTTCTCGGGTCTCGTCGCCGCCCCGTCGTCCCCATTATATCCAAACTGTCGTCAGTGATGTCCGCCATCGACCCCCTCCGGTTGGCTTCTACGCCTCTCAGCCGGGAACTCCTCACTACAGAGATGAGCGTATCGTAGCCGTACGCGAGCGCGAAGGGCGTCACACACCCTCGCCGTCCGTTCCTCCGGCTGCTCCCTCAGCTCCGAGCATCGTCATCAATCAGTCACGCACCCTCATCCCCCGCTCTCACCGCGAGTCGGATATAGAGACTTCATCTGATGACGAGGCTTATGCCCTCAGTCGTCGCCGCAGCCGTAGCCACAGGCGCCACAGCTCCCGTCACAGCCGCCGAAGCAGCACGTCCAGCGACCATAGCAACTTCGACGACGCCCGGCAAAAGTGGGAGCTGGAGCTCGCTCGTCAAGAGCTCGAGCGTCTCCGCTTCGAGAATGCTAGGGCCGAGGAGGAGCGTCGCAGGGCCGAGGAGGAGCGTCGGCTGGCCAAATGGAGCCAAAACGCTCACGAGCTGGCCCGTCTGCGTGCCGAACTCGAGATGCGCGAAAGGTTGGAGGACGAGGCATCGCGGATTGAAAAGAAAAAAGAGTCTCAGGAGCTGACCCGACTTCGGGCTGAGCTTGAGGCGCGTAGGAGGGCTGACGAAGAGGAATGGCGAAGGGATAGGTATAAGGAAGCTCAGGAGTTGGCCCGACTGCGCGCTGAGCTCGAATTGCGTGAGAAGCTGGAGGAGGAGGCATTGCGCAAAGACAAGTTCCGGGACAACAGCGAGCTTATTTCGATTCGTGCCGAGTTGGAGCGCGTCAAGCAGGACCAGGAGCGCCAGCGCCAACAGAAGGAGCGTGAGGAGCAACAGCTCCTGCTAAAGGACCGCTACGAGCTGGAGCATATCCGCCGATCAGAGTCTGAGCGTCGGCGTGAGGAGCTTCGGAAAGAGGCAGAAGAAGCCCGTCGGGCTAAGGAAGAGCTAGAGCGCATCAAGGCCGCTGAAGAGGAGCGAAAGCGGCTAGAGAAGCTAAAGGAAGAAGAAGAGGCTCGTCGGGCGAAAGAAGAACTCGAGCGCATCAGGAAAGCCGAAGAAGCAGAGAGGGAAAGGAAGCGCCGCGAAGAGGAAGAAGCGGCTCGCAAGGCCAAGGAAGAGCTTGAGCGAATGAGGAAAGCCGAAGAAGAAGCTAAGGAGAGGAAGAGGCGTGAGGAGGAGGAAGAACTCCGTAAGGCCAAAGAGGAGCTCGAGCGTATCAAGAAGGCCGAGGAAGAGGAACGGAAGAGAAAGCAGGCTGAAGAAGAGGCCAAGCTGCGGGCTGCTTATGCTGAGTTGGAGCGTATCAAGGCCGAAGAGAAGAAGAAGGAAGAGGAAGAACGTTTTCGGAGAGAGCTAGAGCTGAAGAAGTGGGAGGAAGAGAGGAAGGCCGAGGAAGAACGCAAGCGTAAAGAAAAGGAGCAAGAGGAGGCCATCCTCGCATTCAAAGCCAAGGAACAAGAGAGGATAGAGAAGGAGAAGGCTGAGGCTGAAGCTCGCGAGAAGGAGCTGCAGCGGCTCATACAGGAGCGTTTGATCGCCTCTGGGCTGGACGAAAAGGATATCGAGGCGATTGTGAAGAATGAGAAAGCCCCCTCAGCTAAGGAGAGGGAAGAGGAAGAGAAGAAAAAGAAGGAGCAGCAGGAAAAGCAGCAGCAGCAGCAACAATTGGCCCGCCAGACTTATACGCGCATCTCGCTCAAGCACATCGAGATCGATACCTTGGCGGCTTTCAACCTAGACTGGGAATGGGATTTGGTATGTTCCCAACCCCTTCCCCCCCCCCCCAAAAAAAAAAAACACTCCCTCTCCCTCCTCTTTCCTAGCCTGCGTTCCCCTGCATTTCATACATATCACGAGAATATGCTAACTGAGTCTGAAGGAAAACCCCGGCCATGTCCTCGTCAAGCGCTGGATCCCCGACGCCGAACAACGCCTCCTGTTCGAACATACCCGGACTCTGCGTTCTGGGAAGAAACACTCGCACTCCAGGTCCAAGTCGCGTGAGATCGTTCTGAAGGTCGACCATGATGATGACGACGACCACCATCATCACCATCACCATCACCATGATAACAAGTACGAGTTTGTTCGGGTGAAGAGGTCGAAGTCGAGATCGTCGAGGTCAAAGTCTCCCGGTCTGCTGGTGTGGATGGCTGGTGGCATGCCTAGTCGGTGATTCATGTACCATCCTGCGACTTGAGGGTGATATTTGATGTTCTATGATCTTGTTTGTGACAGATACCCAACCAGTTCTGTCTTTGTGTTCGGTGTTTACAGACAAACTGCCTTCGGAATGTTGTTGCTCATCTACAGATGGGAAGGAGAGAGCAGAGGTGAGATGCAGGGGTGCAGGAGTTTGGAAGAGTTAGGCGAAGACGGCTGTTGGTTGATGAGCACATGATCAATGATTGAAATTGTTTTTTTTTATTTTCATTTGCTTTTGAGCAGAGATGTTCGGTATCTGATGAGTGTCATCCAACCTCTCGTTAACCCTGTATTCCTAGTATTTGATATTTTTTTTTCATGCTGACCCCTGTGCCCATCTATGACGTAAACCCCCTGGACCTCTCTTCTCCTAATTGCTTCACATCCCGGCATATCGTACAAGTTATGGAACATAACTAATCGAGCGATACATCATGAAAAGCGTATAAGTACAATATCGTACAGTCCTCCGGAGCAAAAGCCAGTTGCAAAACACCGCATGCTCTGATATTGCCCGTCGAAAACCAAATCCAGGGCTGCAATCATCAATCATGAACATCGTAATCATCACTTAACACTTCACCTCAGGCGATGCTTCTCCCCCTCCTCATCATGCCCCCTGGCCCACATAACCTCAGCCCGGCGTATCAACTCCTCATACACCGTCCACGCCAGCGCACTACTCAACGCCTTCCGGCTCATGCGCAGGGCCAGCCCATCAAACAGCGACCGGAACCCGTCCTCGCGGACCATCAGCACTGCACCAGATACCATATTCCGGTACTTTCTCGGCTGCAGCTGGATCCGTGTCTTGACCGCATCAAACGGGTTCGAAATAACAGAACACAGAGTTGCAGAGAACAGACCCGACGCAAAATTGATCGTGGCCGCCCGTCGCGAAGACATCATCGCCCTCTCCACCCCGCTACCCGTCTCCACGACGGCTGGGGGGCTATCACGCACCACTTTGGTCAAAATTTTCTTCCCTTCCTCGTAAAAGAGCACGTATAACCCGGCGTATGGCGCGTCGCGCACCGTGGTCGCGCCCACGCCGCTGAAGAAGCCGCGCACGCCCTCCCGCCGGTGGATGTCGCGCGCGGCCGAGGACAGGGAGGTGTACTGGTAGAGCGTCGATTCGTAGCGCACTTTGAGGACGGTCAACGGCATGAGAAGGAAGCCGGCGAAGGAGCGGGCGATGGCGCCCGAGAGAAGGTTGCCTGTCTTGGAGAGTTTGGGGAGGGAAGAGGAGGAGGATGTCGTTGTTGAGGGGGTCGATCCCGACCCAGACACCGGCGTCAAGGTCGTGGTCTGGTTCGGGGTTGATAGCCAGGGGACATGTCGTGCCGTCCCTTGGCGAATGGCATTCAGTGAAGTGAAGTATATTGCTGAGCCGAAGCCTGTGCGTAGGGCGGACGGTAGGGCGCCACGCCAGAGGGCGGGGATTATGCTCGGGGAGGAACGAATGTCGGCGATCGCGGCACGGAGGGAGTTTGCGCCGCCTGCGCGCTGCTGGACTCGTGTCTTCAACAGATCGAAGGGCTGCAGAAGCACGGCTGAGAGCACACCGGAGCCGAGGCCGGCGACGAAGTGGAAGGCTAGTTGGAGAGTTGGTTAGCTGAGGCCTGTCCCTTTACTTGGGGGGCTGTTCGCAGTGTAGGACATACTCGACTTCGAAGCTGCCTTTCGGGAGCCATCGGACATTGCGGTGACAGAATAATGCTCCCTGTGTGCTTTCCAGAACGCGTTTGAATGACTCTCCTGATCCGCTTGTGGTGGGTTATGTCTCCTCTCAACGATCGGGAATCGGCGAAGCGTTCGGCTTTTGGGAGTCCGCTAAATCTTTGTCCACGCGGATATAAGTCCGGTCATGATGATAGAAACGAGTCTCAGGGTTCACGGGTCCATGGCCACGACATCGGCGGCGGAGATGTGTTGTCGTGTTCAGGCGAACGTTCGATGAATTTGCGCGCGACTCGAACAGCCCCACCTGTCTCCGGCTTATGACGGCATCGCTCATCAACGCGACCCCGGTGTTGCCGGCGCCATCCGAACGGGCGTCGGTTGTCTGGCACGGCAACAATGCACGAGATGGGAATCAAAAGAATCAGGAATCGTATTAATGGGATCGCGATGTTGATAAACACTTCCTGTCTCTCCCCCAAACTTCCCTCCAGTGATGCCCCGGCGCACAAACCCCCCCAAGCCTCACACCCAACCCTAACCCGCCCTCTTCCCCTCTCCAACGATGCTCTCCAGCCTGCCCGCCAGCGCGCGATGTCTCTTGACCACCTCAACCCATTCATCCTCTGCCCCAGCGCCAACGTCCAGAGTGGCCAAGAACAGACCAAAGTCACCTCCTAACCGGCCAAGACTGCCCGCACAGTACAGGACCTGTGTCAGCAGGCTGTCGCGCGCAGCTTGATCCTTCACCGTCGGTAGGTACTCGCGCAGTGTCGAAAGCAACATCTCCACCAGATATAAGGGGAATGTAGCAAGCGCGGAGGGTATTGGCTCGAGGGGATCAGAAGTGCCGTTTTGGCAGTTCTTGTCAGCCGGTACGGTTCCGTCTATGGTCGACGTGGCAGGTGCTGTTCCCGGTGGGAAGATGCTTCGGAACATGGAGATGATGGCGAAGCTCTGCTCGCGGAAAATCTCGATATAGCGTTTGAGGTAGCGCTCTGTCTGCTGTCCGCCTGACCATGCGCTGCTGCTCCCGATGGTCTTTTGTCGGGATTTTTCCTGGTCGGCGAGTTCGCGTAGTGGCTCGAGGGCCTCGAGCATCGTGATGAGCGTCATTAGCCGGCAGACAAGGAATATGGCGCCGAGGACACGTTCTTGTGCATCATGTCCTTTCCCAGATGTGGTTGCATTGGCAGTAGTAACACTGCCAGTAATGTTAGGTTTTGTCGAAGAGAGGACTGATGATGAAAAGACGGATGATGCAGCCGCGTCGAGGTCGGGCAAGACTCTCCTAAGCCAACTGATCGTCCTTAACGATGCCGCCAGTTTCAGTCCGGGAGCTTTGAGCGACTGAATGAGGTTAGCGGCCATGGTACGCATGGCTTCATCAGCCTGGCTGGCAATGGATGCCACCAGCGGTGAACTTGGGTAGAGCGAGTGCAGCCGACGGATAAGGCCGTTCAGGTCCAGAGCAGAGGAATAGTTGACCGGCGCAGTCGAGATGGCAGATGACAATAAGGTTGGCAGTTCTAACACATCCACAAGGGTTTCGACATTCCGTGACAGCAGCAGTGCTTTCTTCCGGCGGGCGAGCACCTCGTTGTCGCTGTTCTTGTTGTATGTGGTCGAGAAGCGCACCGCTTCATTGTCCAATTTGGGGATTGAATTGCGGAGCTCAGCTGTGCTGGCCGCTAACGAACTTAGAGAGCTGCGAAGTGTGGCATGGTGACTCGCTGACTCGATTATCTGGTTATGTGACTTTTTGGATAGACCTTGTAGTAAGAGTGACAGGCCATGAGATGTGCGTGCCAACGATTGAGGCTCTGTCGATGAGAGTGAAGACAGCGGTTGAGAAGCCAGTTCCGTCAGATATTCTAGCAAGCTTGGATCTGGCGGTAGCTGGTTGGACCGAGATTCTGGAGGAGATAACAAGTCATAAAGGAGATCTGCCATCTTGAAAAGCTGATCGGACTTAGGTGAGGTCGTGCGAACAACGGTAAATGAGAACGTGGCACTAGATGCGGATGCGCGTCAATTTTCCCAGCTGATGATTATCCTTTTTTATGCACAAACCACGCTTTAATGACAATAAAACTTGAGGTTTTGGTTGATCAATCCATATAAGGTGTTCACATCTCTACACTCTTTTATGGAGTAGTGCCAGTAGCATGAACCCATGATATGTACGGGTTGGGTTGGCTGAGGGTGTTAAGGTTAGGATTGAGTACAGTGTCACACTGTATTGGCACTGTTTAACGGATCCCGCCTATGTAAGTGACGTAAACATTCCAGTGCACCTTACAAACGAGCTCATCTGGATTTTCAAATGGGTAGGAGCTAACTTCAGATCAATAATTAGCATAGCTACAGCTGTTTTTTTTCTTATTGTTTTTTCGGTGAGGAATTCTTGGCTTATGCAGCAGTGCCGTATCGAATGTTGGTCGATGCATACGCGTAGCAAATCGGAGAATCCATAATCCGAACTTCTCAGTGATTCCAGGTAACTCGAACAAGCGGTACTGCGCCGCGTAACTTACAATTGATGGTTGGAAACACGGCGGCTTGGTTCATTCGTTGTCCCTTCTCAACCACTGTACCCACGGACAGTTCGTTGTCCAAAAATTCAATTATCCCCGTCGATCGAACACGATATTTAATGAGCTCGATGCTTTTGAGCCTCCTATATACCAGTTTAGACAACTATTCTACCACTCCTTGATCTGTGAGCGAGGAAGATAATTTAGCGACATTCCTGTTTCATCAGACAACACTGGATCAACTTGAAATGCCTATCTAACGTTGACTACTGGAAAAGCCTTAACTAGGCATGTCATTTATTGGTCTCGCACATGTATCATGGGCAGGAATGAGGACTGATTGTCCCTCTTGAGCCATGGGGACAACTGTTGACACCAGATCATTCACTGAGGGAAAAACCAGCTGGCATTTCACTTGGTATCTCGGCTGGCATCGATGCCTTGTTTTCGAGCTCCATTGCTGAGCATAGTGCTTGAGTTATCCTGTCCAGCCTCATGGCAAATGGATATGAATCCGGATCTGGCAAGTAAATCTTCGTCATGATATGCTTCTCCCTGGTCTCCACACTGCTTTTCAGCCGGGTCATCATGTCATCGGCTTTCCTGCATAGTCTGCTACTAGTTTGGATCGTCATAGAAACTCTTTTGCATTATGCTCCCGTGAGAAGACCGTATGAAAGGAATTGGGATACGTGGGTTGCCGCTCAGCCGAGTTATCAGTGGGCTCCCAAACAAAGTATGTTAATCCTTGGCAGCTCGTCAATTCCTATACAACCCTTCATGCCAACAATCACGATCTGGACAGTAATAAATAAATGATGTAAAATGTCAAAATAGCTTACCATATTCCGTTCTTTGGCAGTTGATACCCAAAAAAGTTCCATCGGTAGGTGGTAACAACCGTTGTCTCTTTATCCACTCCAAGCCAATCGACTCCAAGTACAAGTACATCTGTACTTAGTGAGATATGTTTTATGGTCGTCATCTTGACGGGCGTTTCTGGACCACGAATATCCTTAGGACCATAGTAACGTGTAAACTTTGCTGGCCGAGATTTATCAGATGGAACATCCGGCATCATGTTTTGTTGAGCATTACAGTAATTGCATCCATGTAGATGATGCCTGCCGGACTGTTATTGGTTCCCGTGTGGATTTAGTGAATAACAAATGACAGTTGACATGGACTTTCTTAATCTTTTCGTGGCCGCATAAGAGCCCGGATTTTAAATCATTAAATATCTGGAATTAATCGGCAGGCTCATACCGACTGTACCGCCCTACATTCTTGTCGACACAGATGGCTGGTTGGTCGTTTCGCTCATTGCGGCTCTGGTTGCCCACGAACTCCTCGCTGTGCTGCCACGGGCTGAAGATTCACAAAGGTAATGTCTCGATTATTCAGGGCACAATCCGGTCAAACACGTTTTTTTTTGAGAATCTTGGCAAACATTTGCTTTGGAGAGTTCATGCAGGCATGGTAGCTAAAAAAAAAAAAGTCATGGTTTACTCACCTCATCGTCTTTCCTTTGATTACTTACCAATCCTCTGTTGCTTTGTAATATTTATCTAGCAGAATAGTGCTTCATTTTTTTAATCGGTGCGGTAGCTGTGCAGTCAATAAGTCTCCTTGATCAGCCGGCCATGGAAATATCCCACATGTGGGATCATGATCGTGCCGTCACATCCTTTAACACTGACCAAGCCCGAAATTGCTGCTGATCCTTGGCTTGTTCCTGTTCAATTGTTGCAGTATTCCTAGTAGCAGCACAGCAAAAACCCACTCTGGTTTTATTGCTTTTACATGAGTTCAATGCAGGAAGATATATACAAGTATTTAGGTCCCAGGATAGGGCCCCAGCGCGAAAAAAAGTCTCCTCCTGATCACAGTACAGCCGGTGACAGAACCTGTGAAGAGCGGTGGGACGCTTAATATTGGTGCCTAAGCATGAGTTTAAAGGACGAATTATGATGGACAGTAACTGCAGAGGAAAGGCGTATTCTCCGATCCAAGAATCTACAATCACAATATGCATGTGAGCAAAGTTCATAGAATGATATCATAGGCAAGGCCTATCTTCTCATTTACTCAACCCCATCGAATTGATTCCTAGAAACAAAAACCACCAACCGACACCCAAGCATGTGATCATGACAATGCGATCCCCAACTCCGCCGGAACGACCGAGATAGGAAACCTAATGATACAGTTGTACAACAACAACAACACCCATGTGTCCCTTCCCTCACTCTATCAAGGCCCAAGAAACGAAGTGTGCTCAAGGAACAAGTTGCTACTCCAGGTACTGAAAACTAGGTGGTACCTTAGGTAGATCTATATATAGTGTATGCGTGTTTCCACAACGTCTTAGGTTCATCACAGAACCTATTACTCTATTAATATCTCATTCTTCCGTCCTCTCCTTTCCCCACTCTATCAAGGCACCTCCACATGCTCTGACTGCTGCCTCGAGTGCCTGCCGCTAGTGGCAGGCGAGTATTCGCTGCTGCTGCCGTTCTCGGCCTTACCGGCCGTCACAGCGCCCGTCTTGTCGGTCCACTTGCTGCTGGTGATGGGATTGACATGAAGAAGGTACATGGTATCAATCTCTTCGAGGGTGCGGTCCTTGCTCTCGATGAGGAAGAAGAAAACGACTAGGACAAGGGCTGCGCAGCAGCCGGCGAAGACGAGACCGTACAGGTAATCGATGGCATCGGTGATGAAGCGAGTGAAGAAGCCGATCAGGAAGTTCCACAGCCAGTTGCTGGCCGTGGCAAGGGCCATGGCCTGGGCGCGGTACTTGGCCGGGTAGAGCTCCGCCACGACAGCCCACACAAGGGGACCCCACGTGGTAGCGAAAGCAACGATGAAGAGGCACGAGAAGACGATCAACACATTGCCAGCTTCGGGAGTGTTGGCCGGGTTCTCGAGATCCAGCTTGAAGTGGCCGACGAAGGAATAGATGAAAAAGCAAATCATCATCCAGGCGGCACCGGCCATCAATGCGTTACGGCGACCGCAAGCCTTTACAACGTAGAGGCCACCGAAAGTGCAGAAGACGTTGACGGACCCCAAGATTATTTGAGTCACGTAACTGTCCTTGAGACCGGTAGCACGGAAGATGGTAGTGCCGTAGTAGAAGAAGAAATTGACACCCGTAAGTTGTTGACCAGCCTAATATGGTTAGTGCCATACTGATCTTGGGAAGGGGGAGAAGGTTTCTTCTTACCTGTAGGGTAATACCAAGTAGCGTCCGGTACAGCATGCGGGGGCCGGTGAAGATCTCATACCAGCGCGTCTCAGCACCAGCCTTCTCCTCCTCCAACTTAGCCCGAATCTCATCAATCTGATGGTTCACAGAGGCGGCGTGGATATCGAGGCCAGCCAGCCGGGCGATGGTACGACGGGCTTCATCTTCGCGGCCCAGGCGGTAGGCGTAACGAGGAGACTCAGGCAGCACCAGGATACCGGCTCCCAAAATCAGGGACCACAGGAATGAAAGACCGTTGGGGATACGCCACGAAGCGGAGCTCTTCATGTCGTGGGTGCCGTAGTTGATCATCTCGGCCGTCCAGATGCCGAGGGTGACAAAAAGCTGATAGGTAGAAATGAGGAGACCTCTAAGGATAGCAGGGCTAGACTCGGACTGATACATGGGGACAACGACGGAAAGGGAGCCGATGCCGAAACCAGTGACCAGGCGGCCGATGGCGAACTGGACCCATGAGGAGACAGAGGAGATCTCAATAATGTTGCCAATGCAGCAGAACAGAGCGGAAGCCGATATGGTCAGGCGACGACCAAGGATATCGGCCAGACGGCCGGCGATCAGGGAGCCGACAAGGCAACCGGCCGAAAGCAGGCCGACGATGGTGCCTTGGCGGGCAGCACTGAAGTCGTACTTGCCGGCCTGGTCGTTGTAGACACCGAAGCGCCTACCATAATCCTCCATATCGAAGAAACCCGAAATCTGACCGCTGTCATCGCCGTCAGCGGGTCAAAGTCATGTGACTTGGACAGAGGTGATGCTCGTTACCCAACATAACCAAACATAAAACCACCAACACTGGCAACCAGGCCGAGGAAGATGGCCAGAAACGTCACCTTCTGCTCAGCAGCCAGTACGGCCGCAGAGGGGCCATGCTGAGCACTACCCGAGGAGGGAGTGTCAGGACGCTTCTCGGTAGCGTCTGGAGAACGCTTGGTCATCGACATGTTTGTCGGCGTCCTGCTTGGTGAGTGATCGATGGACCAAACGGCTGCTGATCTAAGAGATATGGAACGAAGACGATGCTTAGATGGGAGTATGCGCCCTGAGCCAGCCTTTTTACTTAGTTGTAGACAAACGGGGTAGAAGCCCTATGCCCAGGGGGGATTATACGGGGACCAATGCACCGGAGATGGAGCCCCACGGAGGGCAAATTCAAACCCGATCAGCTGGGCACATGCTTGCCGAAGACTTGGACACTGGAAGGCGCGAAGAATGGTGGAGCACGAGCTTGCGGTCCTCCACTGCCCATTGATTAGTTTCTGGTGCTTAAGCACCCAGTCGGTAGTTGAGAGTTCAGCTACCAGTGCTGTCGGGGCAGCGAATGTCGGGGTTTTCCCAATGAGCTATAGCTCTGCCCCTCCCGTCCGTTTGATCAGGAGCCAGCCCAATTCTCCTCTTGGTGATGCAGAGCCTTCCCTCACCTCGACATCAGACCTGTTTAGGAGGACAGTCGCCATGTGCCCCCTCGTCCCTTCATCTCCTAGGTTATCTCGCAGAGCAGGAACAGCTCGCCACGGGCAGGTTGGACACCAAGTGTAGGGTACAGGCCCTACCTACCTTAGTTCAGCAGGTGTGAAAAAGCAGTGCAGAAGGTCAGGGAGCCTTGTGTCGTCATAGGTCCTCAACAGGACTAGTGGAGTGACGTTATTCGGCCCGTTCGCAGTCAGAACTGGCGGAGTCCATGGCGGCTTGTCACGGTGGAGCGGATGGCAATGGTTCATCCTTGCAGTCGTCTCATCGGCAAGTGAAGCTGTCAAGCACTTCTGCAGCTTCTCATCTCATTTTCCTCGTTGTATCTTCCAGAACGATCGCTCCGACGAAGAGAGTAACCCGTTTTTTTGGAACCCGACAGTAGCGTGCTGGTCGGCAAGCTACTGCAGACGGGATCACATACTCTTGCCTGTGGTATAAAAAAAAAAAACTCCGGTCTCTCAACGAACAACAATCCCCTATGCTGCCGAGCTGTCTCGCTTCACAGCGTTTCGAAGAAACGTCACCAGCAGTATGCAAAGCCTGTGTACATTTCGCACAGCAAGTACTTGAACAGTACATCCCCAAGAGAAATTTGACAAGGCAGTAGTTGTCAAACCTGATATCCGGCCGTAGATAGAATTGCCAAAAGACCCCTTGCCTCTAAGAATAGGTATCAAGAGGCGAGAGCAGCTTAAAGTCCAGCATTGGACTACGAAAAGAGCAGCTCTAGAGACCAGAGCAGCAGAACCCAGCTCCTGTTCGGAGGAAAAGCTTCACTTGAGACCGAGATAGGGCGGACAAGAATGTTTGAATGACATTAGAGATTCCAGACGTCCTTGAGAGGGTGGAGGCCGAAGCAGCCCTGGTGGATGCGGCTCGCAATAATGTTCCAGGATGACGAGGACCGGGGCCACTACGAGGATGTCATTCTGTTGCCAAGCCTATTGGTGCCGGCAGATGTGATCGCTGCTGTCAAAACTCGTCAAACTCGCATGTCCAAGATGCCGATCTGCCGAGCTCGTCTTTACTGCCGTCCAGCCAAACCCCCCCTCCCGGGAACTCGAGAAAAAAATCGAAGCCTTCACTGTCGTCATCATTGTCAGCAGGTCCAAGAGAGAGGCTATTCCAGGCTCAAATCCTTAATAAACAGTTCTTTTTTCCGAGTTTGCTCTGTAGAATGCATGTTTTGGTGTGTAAAATTTTGCTGTTGATAAGGATGGCGAAGGTTGGGGTGGAAGTTACAAAAAATAGTGAAGTGGTGAGCAGTGTGTGAAGGTTGGAAACGCGACAGGGATGGAACCTTGCAAGGTTGCGGTCCACCAAACCATTGGCTTTGGTCCCCTGTCCTGCCAAAGAGGAAAAATTTTTGTGGACACATTCAATCAGAGATGATCTTGGCAACAGCCTGACATTGCAGAACCCTCATCCGTTAGCTCTTGGCGGAATGCTCACGACGATGCAATTGGACAGAACGCGTCGTGACACGGTCAGGACGCGTGTGTCGAGATCAGCCCCTCATTCCAAGATGGATATAAGGGGTCACCACTTTCTATCACTCTTTCTTTCTTTCTTTCTCTTTTTCTTTTTTGGTTCTCTTTTTCCGCCGCTTTTTTCTCTTGATGTTTTATTCTTTTTTCTCTTTCTTTCTTTCTTACCCCCTTTGTGCTCCTTGTCCAAGATCCGCCCCGCCTTCCCCCCCAGTGGATTGTGAGACCCCCCACGCCCTCCTCCGCCGAGATGGATCTTGCATCTCTCAGTGACATTGAGCAACGGCAGCATTGGCAGGGCCCACGGAAACCTCATGTGGGTTTTTGACAGCATGAACCTTCTTCCGTGGGCATGAGCAGGACATGACATTTCCAAACATGTCTCACACCCTTCCGCTTCCCTGATCACCGCCTGCTAGTTGCTCCGTTTGTCGGCGGTCTTGCCTCAAATTATAATGACATGAACTTTGTTTAGCACTCATCTCACCTATGCTAAGTTCGCTTACATCCCTAGAGTTAGGACCAGTTAATGCTTCGAGTCTTCACACGCATCAAACTTAGAAGATTCCAATGATGGGAAACCTTTACGCATCCCTGGAAGCCATTTTGTGCTCTCCTACCTTACTGTCCACACCATCTTTGGCAAGGCTGAGCTGATTCAGCGAGCCAGTCAAAGGATGAGGAGCTAGGGAAGGCCCTGACAGAAGTGCCGCGTGCTTCCGGATCTCACCGAGACATTGTGGACTCGTTGTCTCCGTGGCCGGCGAATTCAAAAAGAAACCCCCATGACAACGATTGCCTTATCTCCGTTTACCGGTGGTCGGCGGTCATGGCTAGGGAGCCCAACTGAGCGCCATGAGCTCTGAATCCTGATCAAACAAGAGGCTACTTAGGGGATCTTATTGCAAGTGGCGGATTTGACATCTGGTTGCATGTTCAGCCCGGCCTTTGCAGTGGTGGCATCGTGAAGATGGGTTTCTTCTAAGAAGTGGCCAGTTGGTGTGCAGGTGTGTCAGTTCTGTGTTGGTGTCTGTAGGTGATGATCCATTTACCTTCACAACGTGGTTGGCAGACTACACCTGGCCGAAGCGAGCGCTTCAGTGGGGCATATCACTATCGTTGGGCCTGCGTATAACAAGCACTCAACATCTGTACAAATAAGACGCATCACCTGCCTATTTTACACGGCTGCTCCAGTCAATCCTCCGTTGAACAGAGAAAAAGGATTGCGTGGAGTTCCTTCATGGGCTGGGAGCCATCGAACTCTCTTGTGTGTGACCCCCACAGGGAAGCCACTCCTCCTTTTCTGTTTTTGGGAGTTAATCCCTGCCCTCTTGCAGGTAGGTCAGAGATAAATACCAAGGGCTCGCCCTTCTCTATGTCCCAGTTCTCTCGTTAGTCGCTCGTGTATTCTCATATCCCTGCGGTCTTCTCCTCCCCTTGGGGCCCGGGGGAAAAGGGGTTTGTCCGGCTTCTCCCCTATCAAGCAGACCTACGAAACATAGGCTTCTGAAGGAGCATATTCTTGTTTTATCGTACGAGTGCCAGCAAAGATTTGACCAGGTGTGTAGCATAGTCAACGTCCCGCTGCACTGGGCGTTCAACACCCTGTGTAGTGCTAGACTTGTCGGGTCAGACTTACCATGACCCTTGTGTCTTGGTCCGATATCTATCGTTCGGGACTGAAGTACCGCGCCAGAGACACATTGAAGGATGTGTTAATGATCTCGGGTAGTGACCTGTTACATGCTTAAATATGCCAATGCTGGATATCTTCCCAACGACTTGTGGTTCAAGTGCCCATGACAGTGGATGACATCTCCGTTGGTCATTATATCCCGGAGCTGTGTAACAAAGGCATCAAAACACCGTCAATTGTTCATATATGATCAAAATACCAGATATATGGATCCATATTCGACGGAAAGAAGTGTCATTAATTCTTTAGCAGTTCCGCTGTACTGTCCACCTTGTATGGAAACTTACCTTCTTACCCGACAGAAGATCTATGCTTGCCGGAGACTTACTTCATCACAGTCAACATTCTATATCCTCGGGAAACCTTTCTCGTTGTTATTCACTGAGTGCTTTTTGGTCAAAAGTCCTGATAACACATACTATTCATCAGTCTGCTAGGTTATTTATATGTTTCAGTATATGACTTCTGACAGATGTTTCATGACGTGAACATTGCAGCATGATCTCTCTTATGTGCCATTAATTAAATAGGTAGCAGGTTATTCTGCCAGCTCACAGTCTCACCAATAAAACACAGTAGGAACCCAAGCATGGCTACATATCCTCTGCCCAGAGTTCATTATTGCTGGGCTGTCCGTAATACCGTTGAACAGCAGCACTCGGCCTAAGGTGCTTTCAGCACAGTGGCTAATGCTGGTAGCTGTAATGCATCTTGTCATTTGTCACTGGTATCTTATCATCGCATACAAACTTGGGACTTCATGCTACAGCAAACGAGGAAGTGAGGAACCCAAGTACCGTTTAAGTCCCATAACTTAATGTTATCCTTATCGATATCGGTAGCTTTGTTAACTTTTCACCAAAGCTAATAGCGGGTTATTCAAGTGACACCTGTTGTATTTGCTGACGACCAGCCTTCTTCTGTTGAAACAGGTTCCTTTCAGGGGCGGTGAGTCATTGTCCTTGAAAAGATCGAAAATCCCAATACAACCTCACCTTCTGCATCTGACTCATCGGGTGATTGGTGACTTCATGTCGTTTCACGGTCTCTGACACTGTAAATCTCCACAGCCGGCTGTATACATCACCGAGTTTGGCAACGGCATAAGCTAGAGTTGCAAACCGCCAATGGGAGGTAATGAATACAGACATCATATACCAATGGATAATAAGAAGCCAAGCTTTGTGTACGTGGTCAACTCAATTCTCCGCTATCTCAAACTCAAAAGGAGACTAGGCGATGTCAAAACTTTGGTAGAGACCGTGGATATTTTCCGTGGTTATTTTGATAGTTCCGGGTCTTGATTCATGAATTCACAGGGAAACTAAAAACTCTGGGCACATTCTTGGGCATTGTTCGCTTCAAAAAGGTGTAAGATACATTAGACTGAATCTGCATAGGCATGATGTCAATGGCGTTATCATACGCAACGATCTGCATTATCTCAGTAATACAACGGTGTTTATTTGGTGTCTCAAGATATGTCTAAGTATCAACGTTTGCACCTTGATTGGATCAACTTGACCGTGGCCATTAGTCAACAACAGGTAATTACCCGTGAAACTTAGAAATTCTTTGTCAATTGTAAAACTCATCTCCAGCGACAGTGTTGACTGGATAAGGCCATTCCTCAATATCCAAAAGATTACCACATGACATGAGAGCTCACTTTCACGATGGCAAATGGACGACATCTCCTGTTTGTGATACATCCGGCTCAATCACCAAGTGCCTCAAAACAATCACCCGCTTAATCACGCTGATAATAGTGGCCATGCCACGCTGGCAATTTGGCAGTCTTGGGTCGGGTTTTCGTCAGCATGATGAAGTTGCAAGTCGACCAGGAAGTTGGGGTAATTGGTAAAAACGATAGGTAACATGACAAGCATCTCGTGGCTACCTCGATAATTAAATCATAACCATCAGCCCAGAGGGAACAATATCAAGTTCAAAACCGTTGATTAACTGCAAGTCCTCAGTACTCTCTCCGATATTGACAGAAAGTATATGATCCGGAGACCACGTTAACATTCCAAAATTCGAAATACGAAATATCTAAATCACATACCTAACCCGGAAATCCCAACTTAAACGTAAGATCTAATTCAAATCAGCATGTCAGCCTTTCCAAAATCACTTAGGCGCCTAGTCAGCCTACCACAACCGAGAAATATGGCAGCTGATCTGCAAGCATGATCACAACTTTAAACTATTATCAAAAAAATAGGGAGCAGTTCACTGAAACGTCCCAAAAGGCAGTGGTTACCATCAGGTTTCATACTTTCTGCCTTTCGCCAAAGACGAATATGCAACAAATGCACCCAGTACAGAGGCCAAGATAGAGAGAAACTGAACCCCAAAAAGGAATGCTCATAAACTAGGTAAATTCGGGAGATAGACTGCCTACTGAATCGCTTTGTCACCGTACCGCTTTTCACTTCCGTTTCCAATCCAAATACCTACCAAATGAGAGATTAAAAAGCAAGGACAAAGCTCGATCTATACCTCGTAATGCAGACCCAAAATATCCCGGGATCAAATGCCTGGATTAAGAAAAATGATGACGATGGATTCCGACCGGCAAGATTGCAAGTGGCTTAACAAAGTAGGATTGAGGTCTGCTCGGAGACACTGTTTGAACTCACAAGACAGAAGTCGGCTAATAGATTGACCTCGTCACTAAGACAAATACCAAATCATTACTCAGTCTCTAATGCGTATTGATACGCCAAAGCGTAAGTTTGGTATCTTGAAGCAAAGGAATCCGAAGTCTCCCCAAAGTTGCCGTGATACCTTTCATCTCCAGAGTCTTGATCCGTAACTGTACAGTTTACCACCATCGAGCTACCGCTATGTCACAATTGTCGAATCCAAGGACAAATAGGCGCAAACTATAATTTCCGAAGTCGAAGCCATCTTTCAAATAATCTACACTCTCGGGCACAAGTGCCTTATTTAGAAGGACAATACCTTGGACGCGGTATCTTGCGAACCAGGATCCCCAGACATGACAAACGCGGTCGGACGCGTCAGACCCCACCGGGATAAACATCGCGTCGGATCACGAGAGCAAGACGGAGGCACGAAAGTGTTCAACGCCTTCAATGAAGGCTGTGATTATTTGGCATGTCCACAAGCTCCTCACCACAGAAAAACACCATTTCCTTATGGTACACGCACACCACCCGCAGAACCCAGTAGAATAGAACACCCATGAAAAAGCAAAGCCATTTGCCCATGAATTCATCGCCGCAACCCAACCGTAAGAAACCCGATGATGTGCAAGAGGAAAAAGGAAAGAGATATCCATAACAAGTCGTAAGTGAAAGAGAGCATTTAGCCGCCGAAGCCGTAGAGGGTGCGGCCTTGCCGCTTGAGAGCATAGACAACGTCGAGGGAGGTGACGGTCTTGCGCTTGGCGTGCTCAGTGTAGGTGACGGCATCCCGAATAACGCTCTCGAGGAACGACTTAAGGACACCACGGGTCTCCTCGTAGATCACTGTAAGACGCGTTAGATATGTGATCGCGCGGGGAAGGGACGCGTTGTTTGGGGAAACATACTGGCAGAGATACGCTTGACACCGCCACGACGAGCCAGACGGCGAATCGCGGGCTTGGTGATGCCCTGAATGTTGTCGCGGAGGATCTTGCGGTGGCGCTTGGCACCACCCTTGCCGAGGCCCTTGCCGCCCTTGCCGCCTGTTAAGACGAAGTCAGCGATGACGTGCCGTGATGGATGGTAATAAGATTGATCGACGATGAGGGTGACATACGTCCAGTCATGTTGGCTGTTTGTTAATTGTATGTACGATGGCTCTAGTTACGGTGGGTTGAGATGTGGTTGAAGGGAAGGTTTGGGAGAAACGTGGGGAAGGGAGCTGGGCTTTAAATGTGGCGACGCGGGACCGGCAGTGCAGGGCGTGGCATCGAAATCAGATCAGACGGCGCCTGCGCGTCTGCACGCTGATTTTCCAGGTTGGAGCCCTTTTTTCCGCCCCTGCTGATCTGATTCGGGCAGCGCGGTACCGGCTCGCAGGGCAGGGTCTTGGAATGTGGCAGCCTGCCCCACCCTCTAGGCTTCCAAAACATGGAGCTCATGCCTCTTGCCGTCGACCCACGGCGGACAGCCTCCACTGGTGCCGAATTATGAGTGGTCCAAAATGTGAGAAAGCAACGCTACCAGTTCCAATCAAAAATGCTTTTTCGTGACAATGCTTGCTTTTAACCCTGAAACGGGCCCAACGACGGCTTCAGGGTACGTACCCGGTGCACCTCCTCCGCGCCGCCAGTGGACCGTTGGCATCTGTGCCGTCCTCGGCCCGTGCTGTCTATTTGGCATGGCTGGCTCCGTTGGCTTTGGTGACGCTCCATCGCAGTTGAGATTCATTTGACTTTGATATTCAGACCATGTGAAGGAAGTGTAGGTAGGGGATGCAGTGGTTCCCCAGGCTTTGGTCAACGCACTCTCTGAATGCTATTAGATGCGTCTTTTGAGCAAATGACTGCGTTTAGACCAACTGCTTTGACGAACACTTGCTCCGAGAGCCAGGCTCGTGATCGATTGATTAAAGGCCGTGCATTCAGTGAATTTTTCTCTTAAACAGTCGTTCATGTGCCTTTCCCCTCGGAAATCTTCTCCCAAGTGGCAGCTACATGACACTTGAAAGTTTGGCAATGCAACCCCTCCAAGCTTTTGAAAGTTGGAGAGAAGACAAGGTCTTCCAGGTAGTGGCCGTCTCTGTTGCCATTGACAAGAGTGTCGGTCTTACACATGGAGATACCTCATGCACAATTTATTTCTGACAATCTAGGACTCATCATCACTTAAGCCGGGGATTGAACTACTGTAAGGAATGGAAAATAAAATGACTTGAGGGGCTGGCCTGAATCGTCACCTCCTGCCATATGTGGGTTCGCAAAGCTCGCGGCTGTAACACAAAGGCAAAGTTATGGACGAGCCAGGCCTGCGGCAACGCTTCGTGAGATCGCCGTCGTCAGCCAATTTGCATCGGCAGCTCTACAACGGCCAGTTGTGGGAGTCCCGTCTGGCCAACACATCCTGGGGTGGATGTTGCTTCCAGCCTTACGGTTGACCCCAGATCTCGACCAGAAGGTACGTACCCCACGAGCCGTCGTTTGGTTGGCGCGCCCTGAGATGCGCGGCATGAGCCAAGCTTGGAGGGCCCCCACAATTCCCGCAGAATTGGCCCCTGCGCTCGGCCAGGCAGGCACCCCGAGATTTTGAACCAATAAAAATTCAGATGCGCCACAGTCAGCATTTCAAAGCGAAAACTCGCACCAAAAAGCGCTATGTTTTCGCTTGCAAAAGCTAACCCCATTTTCCATTGCAACAGACCCTGGTTTTGGCCTGCGCTCAGAACAAAAAAACGGCAGGCGTAATCAGGCCTGATCTGCACCCAAACTTGCAATCAGCCGGCACCCGTGACCGCCCCCGTTCTGCCTATTTAAACCTCTCCCCCCACCGCGTTTCTTCCTTCTTTCAACTCACACATCCACACTCCACACGTATTACTTGCGTAGTCTGCCACAAGGCATCTCGCCACTTCGTCCACTTCCCTCAATCCATCAAACTTTCCATCAAAACATCAACATCTATCATCAGTCACAATGGCCCGCACCAAGCAGACCGCTCGCAAGTCCACTGGTGGCAAGGCTCCTCGCAAGCAGCTCGCCTCCAAGGCCGCTCGCAAGTCGGCCCCGTCCACCGGTGGTGTCAAGAAGCCTCACCGTTACAAGCCTGGTACCGTCGCTCTCCGTGAAATTCGGAGGTACCAGAAGTCCACTGAGCTTCTGATCCGCAAGCTGCCTTTCCAGCGCTTGGTAAGTTTTTGCATTTCGGCGGCGCGCCTTGACGCGCACCCGTAAACATTGCGCAAAACATGCCACTGACGCGTCTTTCCCCGCACAGGTGCGCGAAATTGCTCAGGACTTCAAGTCCGACCTTCGCTTCCAGAGCTCCGCCATCGGTGCTCTTCAGGAGTCCGTTGAGTCTTACCTCGTCTCCCTCTTCGAGGACACCAACCTCTGCGCCATCCATGCCAAGCGCGTCACCATCCAATCCGTATGTTTTCCTTACGCGTCGCATCTATGAGTCACAGATGCACTAACGATTCGTACAGAAGGACATTCAGCTCGCTCGTCGTCTGCGCGGTGAGCGCAACTAAGCATTATCCTTCTGGGTCTTAGCTTCCTTCCTTGGCTTGACGGGGTTTGGGCGGTCATGATTTTTTTATCATTCGGGTCTTGATGGACGAAGGGTTTCGGACACAGGGAATCGGCGTTGATTGACGGTATTTCATTTTCGGTTGTAACAGTACATAGCCTAGCGGCAGGGAGATTCGCCGCTAATATTATCCGGTATTTATGACAAGAACCATCCCATCATGGGATCTTGGGTTGCGATTGTGCTTGTCGCCGATGGTAGACGCGTCGTCTCGTCAAAACAGAACACGGTTGTAGGGAAGCCCTGGAGGATCACAAGTGGGAGCATGAGACCCCATGCATGGGGCATGGTGCCAATCTGTTAAATGGATTTGCCTCTGAACATCTGCTGCTCATCGTCTAGCGAAGCGTCACCAGAAGTGATGCAGTGTTTCGAACCATAGAAATATACAGGCATTCAGCAACGTCTATCATGATCTTCTATGTACGGTTACAGTACGGCACGCCAGCCATTGTTGGTTCCCTTATCCAGTCCCAAGAACACAACAGCTTGCCCAAGGTGGTCCACACCCCAGAAGCCTTCCGTCTTGCCATCAGCATTGGTGCACGTCAGCCATGGCAGGCCAAAGGCGCCTTCGTCGAACGCCCGGTCGGTGTTCTGAATCAGGAGCTGCTTAACCTCGGGAGTGGCCGACTGCTTGATGACTATTTCAATTGCCAGCAGTCAATTAGCTGTCCTCTTCGCGCATTCAACAAGCCACATTGGTGAGCAAAACAAAACATACTCTTATCCGCCTCCTCGGCGCCAAAGATCTCCGCCAGCGCCTTCTTCAGCTCCTCCGGCCGGTGCGTCGCCTGTCCGTCGACCCAGTGCGCCTTGAAGAGGGCGTCGAGCGCACGCGTGAACTTGGGCTGAGCGGAATCGTTCTGTTCCGAGGCGTAGACGGCTGTCAGCGCGCGCATCACGGGCAGGGTCGGCGCGGGGAAGTCGGGCGGGAGCGATTCAAGCATGGGGATTGAGAAGAGGCGCGACCAACGCAGGCGCTCGATGTTGATCCATTTGTCTTTGTCTGGAATGAGGGGGGAGCAGTTAGTCGGATTCCTTTCTTGTGGGAGAGTAGAGGAAGGGAATGGGGATGACGGACTCTTGATCTTGATCGGGGCGGTGTTGCCGCACTGGATGGAGAGGGGAGGTTAGTCCTGTTCGGTGATATAATGCCTGTGAGGGAATCTCCATGATGGCTTGGTCTGGGGGAGGAGACATACCTTGTGCATCAGGCCGCCTAGGAAGATGGGGATGTAGGTGATGTCGACGTTCTTGAAGATGGGGTCATTCTGTCAACACGGTCAGCTTTGCCTTTGTCCTGGCAACCTAGATTCCAACCTGCTGGCGGACAGGACAAAAGCCATACTCTCAGAATGTAATACGCCTGGTAGGCGAACGGGCTGACGGTGTCAACGTAGAGCGTAATTTTGGGGCGCGCCATTTTGTATAGCTTTGATGGTGCTGATTCTCGAGATGCTGAGCTGGATCGTCCTTTCACAGCTGACCGTCGGGACACTGGACAGGTATATACGTCTTTGTCGATATTTAGCAACGTAACGGACTCGTTGATTTCAACGAGCGCGATTAGTGATCAGTCAGAAGCGCGTTAAACAGAAATTTATGACAATCTATTCCCGTCGTGAGTGTATATTTGAAGTAACAGATCAATATCAAAGATGCCAATCAGTCTGGGGCATCACCGTCCTTTTAAGTATATGCACGCACGCCCTGCGGAGAGAGGATGGACACACGACCGGACAACCAAACTCCCATGTTTTAAACGCGGAAGCTTCCCACAGACTTCCGCCCCCTAGAGCCGGACTTTGGGGAATCATTGACCATAATCTCCCTACTTGAGTTAGGCTTGCTGCAAGCATAACCGCACTTGGTATCTCCGTGCCGAGGAAGCGAACCGAGGATGTTGGGGTCTGGTCTGGCGGGCAACGCGGGGTAGTTTGCTTGGGGTTCACCAGAGGGCTCCACCACTGACCGTCTACTGGGCCATCTTCACTCTCATCAACGACTCGAGATGGGATCAAGTTACGAAGAAACCGAACAGATGATTATTAGGGTCTTTTTGCTTGCAGAACTCTGCTCATGACATGTTGCTTTGCCATGCCCACAGTAACCACACATCTCACCTTACCTTCCTTACCTACACGTCCATGTACATCCCGCCTCCATGCTTGCGTGTGTACTTTGTCTATCCTACTCACCAAGCCAACCTCCTTGCCGTGACTTTCCCCTCTCGACCGAAAATGCATTCAAAGGTTCAAAAAAGAAAAACAATTATCAACTTCAAATTCCATCCTTACAATGCTACATACCACAACACCAAGAAAACACCCGGTTGTTTTTATGTCCCATTTTCTTAAAACGCAGTGACCCGATGCTCGGTCGGCACCCGTGTTAGGACGTCGAACGAGCCCGTACCCATGGTGCCGAGCTTGCCAACCACCAATCTGCTGGATGGTGTGGCAAGAGTGTCCCAATCACCATCGAGGACTGCATCCTTGAGGAAGCCGACCGTGGTTTCTGTGGCATTCCGTTGTTAGCTGTGCGCGGCCTTTCAAGATTGTCGTGGCAGGAAGTATGCCTTACCGTAGCTCATCTTGGTGAATGGGCTCACGTTGTGAGTCAGGCCGATACGGTTGAAGGGCGTAAAGCCGCCGTTCCTGTTACATTTCATTAGTAACTCCCCCACGCTTGAGTCAAGTAATCGAAAGTGTCATCATACCTGGTCATGAAGTCGGCAATGAGGTTCAGATGGCGTTGATCGACAGCGATACCGTGGCCGGCAAAAACACTGCTGAGTTCGCGCACGATGTTATTGCGGCAAGCCTCGACGCCATAGACCTCCAGTACCTGCGCGATGTCGTTGGTTTGGATCCGGTTCGGGTTGATGTAGTCGCCATACTGCTGCATGGCGCGGATGTTGGAGCCCGATGTGTGCACCAGCTTCTCGACGACGACCTGCTCGCCGGTGACAGGATCCTTTTTGTACTTAGGCTCGAACGTGGCACTGCCAATGCCTGGGATCTGCTGGATGGTAGACTTCTTGACCGCCTCCTGGACCAGACTGAGCATGAGGATCTTGGGGATCGTGGGCTCGTACTCGAGCCAGAACTCAACCCACTCGCCACCCTTCTCGTCGCACCGGAACCGGGCAACGTGCTCATTCTTATTTTTAATGCGGTCCTCGCGCGTCTTGGACCGGATGGTGTCCATCTGGTCACCCAGACCATCCTCAGGTTCGGGGCTACCACCGTACGCTTCATCGTCGAACTCGAGCTGCTCTTCGCCCTCCTCAGCATCTTCTGTCTCGCGTTGTAATTGCTGCTGAATGGCATCGTCGTCATCATCATTCGGACCGTACGAAACAGCCTCGGAGCGCTTGGCCTTGAGAGCGGCGCCCGTGGCATCGTCATCGACATCGTCGTCGTCATCATCCTCGTCGCCACCGCTCTCACGCTCAGCCCCGGTGGGCGCCATCTCCACGGTGCCGACCTTGACACCGATCTCGGGTGTCGCAGCGCTGTGCTCCTTGAGCTTCTTCTTGATTTCCTTCTTAGTCAGGCTGCACAGCAGCGGGATAAACTTCCGCTCCACGGTGTTGAGCACGTCGTGGATGGTGATCGCGTACATCTTCGTGTACTCCTCAGCCTCGAAGAACCGCAACCGGATATGGAACTTCTTGGCAACCGGCAGTCCTAGACCGCGGCCGACCTCTTCCCTCACGACGGCTTCGTTCGTAACGTGCATCAACGCCAGGGCACTGATCGACTTGGCGAACTTTTCCGCATCCTCCACGGAGAGCTCCTCGTTGACCACAAGAGTCATGGCTGGCGTCGAGATCCTGGCGCTGGCAGTCATGAGAATTTCGCGAAGACGAGGGATACCGAGAGTGACGTTCTTGGCCGAGTGACCAGCCAGGTGGAACGTGTTCAGTGTCATCTGTGTGGACGGCTCGCCGATAGACTGACCGGCAACGATACCAACCGCCTCACCGGGCTCTACCAATGAACGGATGTACTTGGCCGCTAGGATCTTTTCAGCCGTCTTCCGCGAAATGGTCCCCTTCTTGCTCTCCTTCGAGCCCTTCTCCTTGATCAAGCCGTCCTTGTTGTTCTTGACGTACTCCATCATCTTGGCGAAGAACTTCTCTGATGTCGCGAAGCCGAACGTGCTGGGGTCGAGCTCGTTCTGCACCGGGTTCAGCGGATCACGGCTGTTGGCCGACCGGATGGCACTCTTCATTCGTTTGATGACCTCATCCTTGTGCTCGAACAGCGCCTGTACGCCGGGCTCATGGTACCGGATCTGCGGAAGCTGGGAGTCAAGGTTGCGCAGGACGAATTCGAAGTCATTCAAATACTTTTGCTTCGAGATGTCGATGCCGTCCTCGCCAAACAGGAACTGCACCACCGAGCCATCCGAATCACGCACCGTTGAGTCGTACGCAACCCTGAGGCCTTCCATGCCCTTGATAAGACACCTCTGCAGGTAGCCTGAGCGAGATGTTTTGACGGCCGTATCGATCAGTCCTTCTCGACCGGCCATGTGATGGAAGTAGTACTCCTGCGGGCGGATGCCCGTCAAGAAACGGTTGACGATGTAACCACCCGCCCTCACGTCGGTGTCGAAGGGCTTGAAGCTGGGCAAAGTCTTACCGCTGACCATGACAGGTACGCGACGACCTTCTAAGACTTGCTGACCCAGGTTGCAAGAGATAAGGTTGGCGTTGACGGGACTGCCCTTGGCACCGGAAATTGTCATGCTTTGCATGTGGTTCTGGGGGAACTGCTTCTCAAGGCCAGCGGGCAAGCATTTCTCTGTAATGGCAGTAGAAAGCTTCGCGCAGGCCTGGTTGGTAAGCAATTCAAGACCCTCTTGCTTCTTATCGTCCCTGAGAACCTCCTCCAGGCGCTCCAAGAGTAGTGGGTCATCCTTGGTAGGCTTTTGATCCTCAAGCGAGACATACTTAGCAGCTACCTCCAGACCAATGTTAGCCGCTGCCTTGATGATCTCCTTGCGGTTCTTCTCGCCCTCTGGTGTCATGCGAAGATCGTCCATGCCGCAAGTGAAAGCGACCATGGCCAGGTACCGGTTCAGCAGCCGGCCCATACCACTGAGAAGCTTTCCGGCAACAGATGGTCCGTAGACTTCGTGGACAGCGTGGATGAAGCCGCCATCGCTCGGACCTAACTGTGACTTATCGAGGATACCAGAGATAAACTCGCCATCGCGGAACATAACAGTCCCCTCCATCGAGTCAGGGCCCCAGCTGCGGCTCTTGATTTTGGCACTGCTGTTCATCCACAAGTCGCCGCAGTCTGGAGGCCGGATATTCTTTAGAATAGTGGTGATCACCTGCTTGCCAGTCCAGCGCGGCACCGGTTTGAAGATCGCAGGAGGAACAAGCTCAATCCTCTCTCCGGTAATGTGGCCACTCTCTGGCCGAAGAGCGGCGTAGATGAGCTGCTGGTATGTTCTCCGGTCGAAGAAGGTGTCTTTGCTGCACAACATCACGGAAACAGACAAGTGATCCTGGATGAGACCACGAAGCGGGTTTCCGGCCGTGCCGGAAATATACTGGTGATCTGTGTCGGCCAGCTGGAGGGCTTCGGCACGGGCAATCTCGTTTTGAGGGAAATGCATGTTCATCTCGTCACCGTCGAAGTCGGCATTGTAGGTATTGCAGTTGGCGTAGTGCATGCGGATGGTCTTCTCTCCGGGCAGGACCCTGACACGATGCCCCATGATAGAGGGCTTGTGGAGGGTTGGCTGGCGGTTCATCAAGACGACATCACCGTTGGTAAGGTGCCTGTGAACCTTTTTGTTGCGCACACCACTGAAGTTATTCCCGGTCGGGGCCAGAAGCTGGTTGGCCAACGCGATACGGTCCTCTAGCGACTTCGACCGCAAGTTGATAATCTGGCCATTCTCGTTTTCTATGGCCGACGCGCCGGGCCACTTATCGCAGCCATTGATAACCGCTTGCTGGAGATCTTTGAAGTTGTGGCTCGTCACGGGCTCGGGGTAGGTGAGCTTTCGAGCAAAAACAGGGGGGACACCGATCTCGTTGGTCTCAATGTTGGGATCGGGGGAAATGACACTACGAGCAGCGAAGTTGACTCGCTTGCCCATCATGTTCTTCCGGAAGAGACCCTCCTTCTTCTCAAGTTTTTGCTTGATGCCTTCCTCATTCCGCTTTGCGGCTGCGCCTTGGATCGGGTTCTTGTCACGGTCAATCAGGGAGTTAACCGCATCTTGAAGCTCTGTCCATGCTTGGTACAGATGGCTCATGTCCCTGATGGCACGGCCTTCATTTGCGGCATCCTTGTTGCCAGCAATCTCGCGCGAGATCTGTGCTACCCGCGACGCTGCTCGAATAATCATTTTGTAGAGGTTATTTTGCTGAGCTTCGGAGATTTGGTTGTCGCCCATACGAGCCTCGGGGCGGTAGCGGTTCGGAGGGACGAGGAGGGTCGTAATAAAGAACATGTCTGCGGTAAGCGGAGGGGAATTCTTGGGACGAGGCTTCGCGCTGTAGAGGAGGGAAAGCAACTCTTGCTCCCGTTCAAAGAGTAGGTTGAGCCGCTCCCTGACCTCCATGGTGCTGAGGTAGCGCTGGTTGGGTTTCGGGGCCTTGACGGTCTTTTGCTTTGTCTTGGTGGCGGCATCCGTCATTACAACATCACCGTTCTCGTCCAGTTCTTCACCCTCGCCTTCGCTGTCGTGTTCCTCGGAGGAGTCATCGGTCAATTCCATGTCGGCAATCCCCTCGTCATTCATGCCGTCCTCGTGCTTCTTAGCCTTCCGGGCCAAGGCGAGAGCGTCGGTCCGCTTCCTTCCAGCTTGAGCCATGGCGGCCTTCTCCTTTTCGGTCAAATCGCGCTCATAGATCTTGACCCAGCGGTCCTTCCGGTAAACAGGAGAGATGCCATCGCAAGACCTGCACCTTTTCTCCTTAACCATCTGGGCGAGGAACTCCTTGACCAGGGTGCGCCTCATTTCAGCCGCACCCTCATGCTTCCCTTTGCGAATGTCGCCGATGCTGACCCTCTTCCTGTAGTTCTGCAACACCTGGCGCACATAGGCCTCCCGGGTGCGCATAGTGCTGTCGTGGATGTTGTTGCCCTCTTCTTGGGCTTCGTCATCCTCAATATCCGGCACATCGTTCAATTGCAGTTTTCTGACCTGCTCACCAAGGTCGCTCACTGAAAACGAATCGATCATTTGGGCCTCATGAACCAGGCCAACCTGCAGCAAACGGAACATGCAGATGTACCTGTGGATCTCGTGGCGGGGGAGTCGGAAGCGATGGCAGTAGACGCACTGGGCTCGAAGGAGACGATAGGCCTGGTCCATGAAGACTGGATGATAAACGGGCACGGGAAGCTCGATATGGCCCGGATGGCCAGGACATTGGGCCTGGTTGAGGTTGCATGTGCGGCATCTAGAGAGCGTCAGTCTGAGCAAAACCAGATGACATTCCGCTGCCGTCGACGGCCTTACAGAGCATCGCCCCACGATCCGAGCGCCGGATCGTAGAGACCCCCCGGCACGGGGTTCAGCAGGCTGTCGAAGGTGCTGTCATTTTCAATGCGCTTGACGGAGATGGCGCGGATTTCATCGGGCGAAAGAAAAGTGAACTCGACGCTTTCCAGCGACGATCCCACGGGCTGTGCGATATTCATGCCGAGCAGAATCTGGGCAATTAGACCAAATGGCCCGGCAATCCAAGAACCCGTGGATCAACTAGATGTCTTATGAATTTTGGTCGATTTTTTGGCGGACTGCGCGATCGAAGAGGAGAGCATTCGAGTCGCACTCTTCGTTCTGCGGTCGCACTCTTTGAGGGCGCCGGTCAGTGATTGGTGGGGATTTGGAGACAGAACTCGAAGGTGAATATTTTTTGGCGGTGAAGGGCGGCAGAACCCCACATGTGGGAGCGGGTGTCTAAGAGTGGGGCCAAGGCTGGCCTTGGCATGCACCAAGAGCTGAACTCTAAGGCAAACGACGTCCTGGCTGCGTAACGCCAGAATAAACGGCAGAACGGCATTTCCAAGCCTTCGACCTCGAAGCCGCGTCTCTCGATTTGCACCTGCACCTGGCTGTACTCCCATCCCCCATCACATCCCGCCCCTAGCACTCGCCGGCCGATCGTGCTTAGTCGCGCAACTGCCAGAATAATTTGTCAGCTTGAGCGCTGTTTGAGAGTTTGGTTCTTGATCGTCGGGATCACTAGTTGAGCCCAAGGCCCGACAATACTCTCGCCGACTGCTCAGTCGCCCATCGCACTCATCACGCGGAAATTCCCCCAGCGCATGCTTTGATCATGGATCGCAGCCAGCAGATTGGCGGGCTGGGCCCTCGCCATGACGCTACATCGAGGGTTCAAAAGCCCGAATCGGCTGCCGACCGGTTCGCAGCCCTGAAAGCTCGCGTCGCAGCCGCCATCAGCAGCTCTAAAGCGAAGGGTGGTCTCAACACACCTCTCCACCCAGCTCTTGCCGATCTCAATGCGCCAACTAAGCCAGGAGACCCGCTCAAGTCAGCCATTGGGTTACGCTCTACACAAGATGCTTCAAAGCCCGGTCCTAAGGGGAAGCCGACGGCCGATGGACCCAAGGAGAACCCCTACCTTGACACCAGCGGAACACCAGCGGGCAGGGAGAGGGCGCCAAGGCAGCTTATTTTTAACCAGAAGGGCAAGTACATTGCGCAGGCAAATGCGCTCCGCAGGCAGGCTGCTCTGGAAGAGATGAAGAAGCGCATTGCCGAGCAGGCGCGCAAGGCAGGTTTAGACGAGGACCGCGACGTGGAAAAGGCATTCGTTGTTGAGGCTCCTCCGGAGCTTGAGTGGTGGGATGAGGGCCTTATCGACGGCAAGGATTACAGCAACATCCCCGACTCCATCAAATTAAGAACGCCGGATAGCATTATCACAATATATATCCAGCACCCCGTCGCCATTGAGCCGCCGCAAGACAAGCTTGCACCGCCGCCGAAGCCCATGTACCTGACGCCAAAGGAGCAAGCCAAGCTCCGGCGACAGCGTCGCATGATGGAGCTCAAGGAAAAGCAGGCCAAGATCCGCCTGGGTCTCGAACCAGCGCCGCCGCCCAAGGTGAAGAAGTCTAACCTGATGCGCGTCCTCGGCGAGGAAGCCGTCAAGGACCCAACGGCAGTCGAAGCGCGCGTCAATCGCGAGATTCAGGAGCGGTTCGAGAAGCACATGGCGGCCAACGAGGCGCGCAAGCTCACCAAGGAGCAGCGGCACGAGAAACTGCTGCAGAATCAGGCCAAGGATGCGGCCAAGGGTATCCACATGCTTGTGTTCAAGATCAACAGCTTGGCCAACGGTCAGCACCGGTATAAGATTAGCATCAACGCCACGCAAAATGGCCTCAGCGGGGTGTGCATCATGAATCCTAAATTCAACCTTGTCATTGTCGAGGGTGGCGAGCACAGCATCAACAACTACAAGAAGCTGATGATGCGTCGCATTGACTGGACGGAGTCGCTGCCGCCGCGCGAGAAAGAGGGTGGTAATGGTATCCCCGTCCGAGATTGGCTCAAGGCAGAGGACGAGAAGGGCAACTTGAAAGACTTGTCGCACAACAAGTGCGTGTTGGTCTTCGAGGGCGAGGTCAAGGCTCAGTCCTTCAAAAAATGGGGAACAAAGATCTGTGAGACAGATCAGGAGGCCAGGGAGTTTTTGGCTCAGAAGAAGCTGGATACTTTCTGGACGCAGGCCAAGAATATCCAGTGATGAACATGGAGTCGAGTATGACTTCCCATGATCAATCTGGCGCCCGGGGTGGGGGGGGGGAAGGAGGTGCAATTCATTGCTGGGCTTACAAGCCTCAGAATACCCAAAAGTTTACAAGTATTGTTTTGGTCATGTGCGTTAATGGCATTCGATTCTTGCCGGTGCTTACAGAGGGAAATAGGGTCTGAGATGCGTCAAGAAGCAACGAGTTGAAAGGACATGCGAATACTTTTACTATACCGTCTAGAGGAGATATGGTCTTGCTCCTTGTCACTACCATTCACAAGGATGCAATAAACACTCAGGGTATCACCTACGCTCTCTACTGTGCCAAGGTCATGAAACTGGTAGCCATTTACACTCCCGGTGGTTGTCATGATTAAAGAATCTCGGTCCAGGAACAGGCTGTGAGTATGATCTAGAGTTCTCGTCAACACAGACAGCTAGCTTACTTGCAGCTGGTCTAAACGCATGGGAACAACGAGATGTCTGGGCCCTAAATTCTACGGAGTTGCCGACTTCTGGTAGTTCGAGGATCTGCTCGGCAGATCTAAACCTAATCCTGGTTCGACAACGCACAGCTCAGGCTGCAACAACGTTAGATCGCTCGAATATCCCAACATCATCTCACAGCTGTAACACTCCGTTCTTCGAAACTCTCTATAGCCCCAATTCCATCGTTTGCCATCTCCAAGACCCTTTCCCTCTTGCCAGCTTCCCAGGACGGTAGGTTGAAAGATATAGGCCTCAACTGTGTATGTACAGCCCCATCGGATGTTACTGATGATCTTGAACCTTTAATGAAAGTAAAACCACCTTACGAGCTAAGCAAACCCGAGGTCTTGGAAGCGCACACGTGAGGAGGGGAACCTGATCGACCCGCCTCCGCATCCCCAAGGTCATAGCTGTGCCGCGTGGATGCCGGATCCTTTGCGAGCTTAAACTGTCAATCGGCCCTTCTAGAAAACCGCTAGCAAACTTCTATGCGGGATCTCTACGACACTACCGTTGACATCAGTGATGGACACGTGCACATAAGGTGGATAGATGGAACCTCTATCTTCCAAAGCGCCTCGTCGATGCGTTCCAATAAGGTAGTTTTTCCGCCTATGAAGACGGTTCGAGGTGACATCACGGTTATTTCATTGTCACCGTATGTGCAGGTAGCTGTCAAAAGATCGAAAGCCCTATCTACCCATTCCTTCTCACGCGGGGTCTCCACGATCTTGGCCTGCCATATCACCGACAAAACATTCGAGATGTCAACGCTAGGCGGAACTGTTTGCTGGTTCTGGTAGAACCGCAGCTGTACTATCCCGTGCTTGTGCCAGCAGAATGCATTGGCAGCATCGTTGATCGGCAGTTGTGGAAAAAGTGGTCAACCAAATCATTGCTTTTGGGCTTCGGGCAAAGCCAGGGTAAGCTAGCCGGTCTTACGACCCGATCAGCCGGTGTCGGCCCAAGTCCCCGGAGCCGGGCGGGGGTTCAGTATACATGTGAGCTTTCTTGATGCTGTTTCCTCACGGGGATCCAATGATAGCAATTACCCCTACGTCAAGCCGCTATCCATTACAGCCCCAATGAGGACTTACCAGGGACGCAGGACTCTACAACCCCGCAAACCGCTATAGACTTTACCCATGATGTGTGGGCGCAACAACGTGCCCCTGGGTAGGATGTGAAAGATTCGTCAGATTCGCCAAACAGATCCTTCGCAACCCACGCCTGAGGATCCGGTTAAAGATCCCACGTGTGATCCTCCCGTCTCCGGGGGCGCGCGGTGTTGATGCTTCCCCTGTTCGGCGCTGTGCGGCATAGGATGCTGTCAATGGCCCCCCCCCCCCCACCACCCCCCAGGTCAACTGGCAGCACCAAAGTCTGGACTCAACACCTTACCCCTCCACGAATGTGAGTCAGGTGAAAATGTTACTTGCCACTGTCAAGTAGAGAGGTAAATTGTGTGGTCGACTAGACGGCAAGCCTAGTGTGACGCTCAGCGCAAACAGCGGTTAATGATTGTAAAATAACGCCGAGCGAAGCAAGGCAAGATCACTACCAACAGAGAGCCTCAGGTTGATTATCCAGGTTTTTGCAGCGTGTGTGTGACACATGGTACCTGGAAACCAACGCAACCCTCACGTCGTATTTAGCGATCCTTCCAGCTTTCTAGGCACAACAACTCGTGGGCGAAGTTCAGAATCCCAGATCACAGCATTGCATCTGGCGGGGCGAGCTGGGTAAGCAAGTAGACGTTGAAGACTGGAAGGTGCCAATGCTCAGCCCATCGACAGTTATCAGGCTAAATTGCCAGCAAACCAAATGCGTGGCATATGCTCAGCCTGGCGCAATCCGTCCTCCTTGGCCCTCAGAGGTTGGTAGTTGTCGTCGTCCAGCGTTCGGTCAAATCTGCAGCTGAGAAGCTAAATGTTCTGCCAAATCACCAACAAAGGTTCCGGGATAACAATGTGACGAGCTGAAAGGGCAGGTTCCAGCCGAATGCTGAGACGAAACAAGGCCCAGTCTTTCGTCCCGCTTCACGTCACGTTGTCTTGTGTCAACGCAGCTGCGTGCAATACACAGTGCCGAGCGAGAGAACCAGGTAATTGAGAAGAACCCCACCTAAGCATTCAGGCGCACCCACCTCAAGCAATCAACTTTTCCGTTTCCCGTTATCATGCCATATCTTCTCGTCCCAGATTTTCTTAGTTCATGGGACGGAACTTGGTGAGGGATGCAAGACATGCACTGGCACAGCTGCACGCGCAGACCTGGCTTGTTGTCCCTCCTGTCTGGTCTGGTCTCCAAGATGCAGCGTCATGAGGGCCTGGCTCAACTGGGACGGACTTTATGGGAGATTCAATCGGGGTGGGCTCGAACCCCAATTTGCCTGGATCGAGGACCATCATTGGTGGAGGCGGCTGTTGGACCAATCAGAGAGGGCTTGGTCATCTTTCTTACGCGCCAAGGCACCCTTGCACGACCAGGATCTCAATGGTGTAGGGTTTTGAAAGAGAGGGATTCCCCCGCTGCTACAATGTCTAGTCACACTCGAGCTCTTCTTTGGGCTTACACAAAAGCTTCGAGTGTTAAGGGAGGGAAACTGTGATTGATGGTGACTGTAACTTTGAGATGTAAATTGTCAGAGGGTAGCGTGGACTGCCATCTCGGTAGCGATTTTCGTTGGTTTCAAACTTCTGGGGGCTGGGGGAAGGGCTTTGTTCGCTTTCGTGCTACGTGGGCGCTTGATGGTAGTGAAGAAAAAGTCATAATTGCTTGAGAGGGAAGTTCACAAGCTTTTTTGTGAGACGATGGCTGAGCTAAACTTGCCGTGAGGTGGCCCAATAGGTGCAATATCCGCGTGCTGAGCATATGACATCTGCCTTCTCATCCATATTGACACATACTGGCATAGTTTCTATGCCTCTCTTGGTTGCCGCGTCTGTTTAGATAACAACTTCACTGCCCAGATGTTCTTACGGCCCCGTCATCGCCTCTGACAAATGCCGGCATAACGGCTTTAGGTGGCTCGAAAGACGAAGCCCGACTGGGAATGGTTCGGACATCTTGTAGATTGGGGTTGGTCGAGACCGAAATCTAGACAACACCTGATTGGCCGCATTTCGGTTCTGGAGATTTCCCAGCGTGGGGGAGGACCGGGGCTCGGTGACTGGGGTGTTGTATTGTGGGCAGGGCTGATGATTGCAACTCCGACCTCGTCCAGCTTCTTTGATGAGATTAATGGTTCCAACATTCCAGTTTCTCGATGTCTCCTCCCTATCCTCAGAGGCTTTCTGCCTGACACGGCTGCGCTTGGACCATGCGATACCGCAGAAGACTAGGCTCTGAATTAGCAGGGCAATGCTGGGTGATCGCAGAGGCCTGCATAAGAATTCCATAGTAGAAGAAGCCTTGCGAAACTGTGGTACACCGTTTGAGAGGATGGGGAGCAAAACTCATGCCGCTCAACATCGGGAATTACACTTCACTGCAGAATTAGCGCACAGGTAGCAGCCATGATTAGAATTGCACCCATATCTTACATAGAAAGCAAGCACAGAGATCGATCATTGATGAACAGTGACAACCAGGGCCTGCATCAATGTCGTCGAAAGCTAATTTGCGACAATGGTTCGCAGTCCCGCGGTGTAGTGCAACATGGTACCCAAATTCATACGGATATAGGTTCGTTTCGGCAAGGCTCATAATACTGTGAGGATGAGCCCGCTCAACGTTACAGCGCGCAGTGCTGTTTGCAGAAATAGCGTCAGCCTCACACCGAAAACACATCACTGCTGTGTGTCAATAAGACGCTCTACGATTCGGCCACTCGCTGGCCCCCAAGAACCTCCTCTCACTGCCCCTTCGGTCAGCAATCAGCATCGGTCCTATTTGACGTGCCTTGTTGTTTGCCTGCAGTGATCGTGGATAAAACGCCGATGTCCAAAAGATTGCTGGACAAACTTGGCAGTACCGATGTCATAGTTTTTTTGTTAGGCGGGCTGAAAGTGCCTGCACAAATGGTGTTGGGCGGCCGGGCGATAGGGTGTAATGTTAGGTTGTCACGGAGGGGTGTTGGGCAACGATCGAGGACGGAAATTTCCAGCTTCCGTAGTCGCAAGCATTCGCCGCATTGGCTGGCCTATCGAAGTTTTGGAATTTGTGGCTTTTTGCATTCAAATGCCACTTGCAAGTATCGATCGGTTCCCGTCAGATGACGGATGCTTGAGTGGTGGAAAGGGGAAGCAGCCGCCCTACCACCGACGTACATACATGCATCCGCTCTTCCTTCCCGCTCTGGCAGCGAACCAACGAAGCCGAACGCAGATGAGCCACAGCCCCCAAGGCGAACCCGAGCGAATGGGATCCCATGTTACGACTCATAACGAAGGCTCCTGCAAATGAGAGATCTAAGAGACCCTCGCCACCTACCTACTCAAGTGCTCGAGAGAATGAGCTAAGATGCAGAATGTCAGAATCACAGTGAGGTGGTATTGATGGCAGGCTACGGAGCGCAGACTTGGCTGGGTAGACCCTCCTGATGCAAGGCGAAACAAGCGGCTGTGGAGCTTTGGCACTTACCTGTCTGTATTCGGCCTGTCTGGCGCCCTCCATGGGGGATGGGTGACATGTATAGAATTTGAGTCTATGAATTTTCAAGTACTAGGCTACAACATTATTGATAGTTGCTACCTGGTCACAGACTTATTCTTATCGTTGGAGGACACGCTTGAGTGAGAATGCCTCAAAGGGAACTGTCTTCGATTGTGTGAAGCTCTGACTTGTCACTGTGGGTTTGAGAATCGTATCGTTTCATCCCCGCCGGTCACATCCACTACAGTCACTGTGATCAGATGGAAATGGCCACAATTGGTGTCTCTTCTTCTACATCTCTATCATACGCTAATTGAAATAGATAACCAAGGAACAGAGCCATTATCATCCCAGTACTCCCAGTCCTCCGTGTATATCCATGTAACAACCCAAACCTCTCTCCTCTCGCAGTCAAAGAGTATGCAGTACAATAGCCCAGCTATTTATACAGATGAGGAAAAATAGAATTGCTCATGATCCGACCAGAACCATCCCATCCATTGGTATCATCTCACAGCCATCCAGCCCACTGCAGCATATCTACCCAACCTCTGTACACATATGTCCAACCATATAATGAAAAGAAAAGCCAGACGGTGTTGGAAAAAAAACAGAGGGTATTATCTCGACCCAAAACATTTTCCGCACCTCGGTACTTCATAACCTTTCACCGACCCCAGCTGTGTCCCGAGTGTGTCTCTGTGAGGTGAGAGAGTGTGGTCTGGGGATCGCGGGGCCGCAATGCCGGGGGCACGGAGCTGAGCAAAGGCGGAGGAGGGATACCAATAGGAGGGAGAGTGCCAGGTGTATGCGGCGGCGGAATCATGTGGCCCAGAGGGGTATGAGGGGGAGGAGGGCCCAGGGGCCGCAGGCTCTCGAAGGAGGCAGCACCGTCGGGCCGGATGTCGAGGGTACCAATGTCGAAGCGCTTTGAGCATCCATCCTCCATGTGCCTAGCTTCATAGTTAGTTGCTGTATTCTCGGCTCTTTCTGTATAAGTCTCCTACCTTCTGAGGGTATCCTTCCTCGCGAACATCCTCCCGCAATAATCGCATTTATGAGTCCTCTCGCGCAGATGCACGCTCGCATGGTGCCTTTGTAAGTCTGTCTTGCGCACGAACCGCTTGTTGCAATCGGGCACCTGGCAAGGGAATGGATATTCACGCTTCTCATCATGGGTTTCCAGATGTGCCTTGTAGTTGTAACTACGGCTGAACATCTTGCCACAGCCCTTGAACTCGCAGATGAAGTTGGCTTCTTCCTTTGTCGTCAGACGCCGTTGTTGTCTGCGCGGCCGTTGCACCCGGAACCGCTTGACATCCTGGAGGAATGGGGTAGGCTGGAGCACAGGAGGAGGGGGGTATAAGTGGTCTGTCTCGAGGGGCTGATATTCAGGCTTGCTCCAGGAAGCTGTGTTGGCTGTTCCATCAGAGAGGTATCCGGAGGTGCTGCTACCTGCGTAGGGACCATTTTCGGAAGGATAGGACGGAGTTTGAGCCGATCGAGGCGATGGATACTGAGCTGCTTCTATGGTCTGGTTGTACTCGGGACCTCCTTCCATCTTGATGCGAGGGGTCAGGGGAGGAATCGAAGTTGCTGATGTGTATGCAGGCATGGTCGTCCTCGGAGGAGCAACAGGGGACCTAGGGGCCGAGCTAGTAGGCGGAGGGGTTGGTGCGTGGATCACGGAAGGCTGGTTTGGAGATTGGTGGTAGGCATCATGCGAGTATGAATAACTTCCAAAGGAGTCATACTCCGGCGAGAGGATGCTAGGCATCACGGATGCCGAAGAAGTCGGATGAAGTGCATTCCACTCGTGCTGTGCCATGGAGTCGAGGGGAGGGAGAGAAGAATCAGGCTCCATCGGAGGACTCACGACACAAGACTGGTCCCCATAGATTGAGGAGAGCTTGTATTGTTGATCAACTAAGCCGGGAGAAGGGTAGTCGAGCGAGGACCTCTCAGAGGGGCAATACGTATGGGTCGGAGAAGCAGGCGATCTCACGATTGAAGGAGGAGGAGTGAGCTCCATTGTAGTCATGTTGAAGTGCTGGCGCTGATGGGGCGTGGCTTATTTAATATCTGGCGGTGCGTGTTGAGGTTGCTGGCTGTGGGGGTGTAAGTGAGAAGCCCACGGCACACAAGTCCCGCTGTATGTCTTGTCCTTGAGCTGTGGAGGCCAGAAGAGGTCCAAATTGGAGTAGACTTGTCAAGAGTCCTATTGGTGTTCAGGTACGGCAAGGCCCTCTGGGTGCAGGTAGGAAGAGGGGAAGATATAGGAGATGTCCGAAGGAAGAGCAGTGAAGGCTCTGATTGCTCTAGTGTGCCTGTGTGCTGTTGCCTCATCCACTCGTGATGAATTGCGCTGAGCTGTAAGGGGGAGGTGTGGGAGGTGAGACAGGCCACTGGGTATCTTATAAGTTTGACGAACTGATGATGCTTCTGCCTGGCTTCTTATTATAATGGTTCTGAAGAGCTGGGGGCGAGATAATATGTACATACATGGATGCAGGCATGTCTTTAGAATCGGGACATGACCAGGGTGACAGAAAGCAGCTCATCTGAGGACCCGATGCACGCAACCTACAGGGGCCGCTATTGGGGGGGGGGGGGACGAGATTTGCTCTCTCCACCCCTGTCAACACCCGGGGGCGAATCGCACCCTCGCCGGGACATCTCGATGGGGCAGACAAGGCTGGATTGTACCATCCCAATAAAGGAGGGATCTGTTAGACAAGATGTCGGCAGCACACGAGATGCGGTTAGTCCCAGAATGTGATGGAGGGTGTAGTTCTTGGGGGGGAGGTGTGGCTGGGCGCATGGGAGTGAGGTAGTGTACCCTCACATGTAAAGGCAACCTCCTTTTTCGGAAAAAAATAGGTCGCAAGATAGGAAAATAGAAACTGTAGGTACACCAAATTGCACGCATTGGGTATCACAGTCATGGAGGAGGAGGGGTCTAGAAAGCAGTTGGGACACAAGAACACACCCCCTCCCTGCGCATCCCCTGTCATACCCCTGTCACCTGAAGGCTCCACCCCAGCTCCAGTGGGGCTGCAAGCTCAACCAACATAGAGGATTGGGCTCGGAGATGATTTAACTTGGTGAATTCTTGCTCGTCGCTTTGTGGGGTCCATTATGACAGTGTTGATCACTTTTGTCTCGAAGATTTTTCATGTAGTGCAGGCCCGAGAAATTCCTCAAGCATCCACATTGCAAGCAGGATGAATGTACTCACGGGAAATGCTGAACATATGCCAAGCAATAGTATCCTCAAGTGCTGACTGCCGCTGATTACCCAGTTTGAATGGTTATGTCATCTGATCAAGTGTTATGTGTTGAGGAATTTGTGTGGCTGCAGCCATTGCTCTAGATAGCCACTGACGATACTCGGGATTCTCGTGAAGGAGCCATGGTGACTGGTCAGCTATGGTAGTTAGGCCCGGGCCGTCCACATCGCGCAGCAGGAAATCGTGTGTGCTGTGCAAACAACTCATGCTGTGCTTGTGGCCGATTTTTGATAAAGTGCCGCCGGTTGAAGACCCAAGTCCAAGGGACAGGACCGAGGACTGGAGGACAGGTCGTTCGCTGACGACCGCATCAACACAGTGAAGATACAACCCATTCATCGGGCCGAGATACTGTGGCGGATACATGGGATCGAACAGCTTCACGCTGGTGACTTGAGCTTCCAACATCGAGATCCCGTCGTATTCGGGGAGGTGAGAGTTTGCATGTTTCTTGACAAAGCATACTTAGGTGGTGTAAGTGTTAAAGCCATGTCCGCCTAGTCTCTGAAAAGCCAAATGAGTCACCTGTAATGCCGTGACGACTGCTATCTACATACATACATATATAAAAAGCGTCTTCCATCGCTGTTGTGAAGCTGAAAAGTCGCCATCGAGATTCAAAGGTTGCACTCAACAACCGAAAACTCTTCTACAGCCAATTCCGCATTTCCTTCTGTAAGAGCAACAGTAGTGGAGGTTGATCAGAAGCACTCGTTTTCTGTCGGGTGGAGTAGCAGAACTGCCACGGAAACTTGGTGTGTCTGTCGTAGGTTCTTGGACAGAAGTATTCACTAGCTTTTAAAGTGGGTATTCTCGAGCATTGTTGTTGCAATATACAACAAGACTTACTTCTTGATGTATATAGAGTGTATGTTAGCCAAAGAAAACCCAGGCGGGGAACTGGCCCCCAAGGGTTCTCTGAGCCGCAAGCCGGACCGCGGGAAGGGGCCATACTCATGGCAACATTGATTCAACCTGAGTGTGGCGTTGCAAACGTAGCATTCATCAAGTTGATGCAGAGATACGTGGGCATTTGATATGTTTCTTAGGGTTGTCATCACCAAACTTCAATGATGGCTGTGTGTGATGTGCCGTGGGCAACGGGAAAGGCTGCAGGAATGTGCGCACTGCGCAGGAACGCGTCTGGGGACATGAAGTGGGCTTGACTCCGCCTCAGATCTCCTCTGATTTGTCAAACTAGAAAGCATAATCCACAACTCGATCTTGTTGCCGAGACCTCAAGCTTGGCCTTCTGTAATCAATCCTTCATGACTGTGCCCAACCAGGCGACAACTTCAGCTGCCTGAGGATGTGTTAAAGTCGCATGGTGCTTGTATTCTCGATTCATCAAATACTGGGCACTTCTGTATCGGTTGTTCATCCAATATTGGATCAAGAAGCTGATCTCTCTCGTGTCCAGTCTCGATTTTCGGGTCGAAGCGGGCTCGGGACGTCAATTTGGCTGGTGCTCCTGAACCCTGGTTTAAAGTGTTTTGCCACTGGTCGATTTGCGGGCAGAATGGCCCACCGAGTTCACAAAGGCCCACAGTGGGATGCGCTAGGCCTAGCATCTGCGTCGGCCCCGTTGTTCCCGCGCTGCTTGGTGCATTTTTGGTTCTTGTCAACCAAGCTCGTTTGGGCCTCATGGTTAGTTAGCTCCCGCAACCGTTCCGCTGCCGGGCTGCCGACCAGCGGCGTGGTTTATCAACAATACAACTGGTCGAGTGCAGAGATCTATCAACGCTACTAGCCTGAGACAAATACACGTGTTTCAGCAGCCAGATGAATGCATGTTTCAGAAAGTCAAGTCTCTTCTTATCGGACAGAAATGCATCCGATGTCACAGGCAACGCCGAATGGCCTCGCTAGCGCCGACAGTTCAAGCTAGTACCGTAGAAGAAGGAGTGGCCTCTAATACTCCACCGAAAGAACCGAAGGTTCGATAGTCCCAAACCCGTCGTCGTTCCTAAGCACACATGACGGCTTTTCGAAACATTGAAGTATACGGGTCTTTGCTGGCGACAGCCTGCCTAGCTAGTGTAGGCTTTGAGGTGCATGTAAAGCTTTTTGGTTGTGGTGACAAGCTATTCCAGACGACCACCATCTGTGAGGTTACCGCGGCCTGGCTCGTGGAGAATTGAGGGAAGTTTTGGGCTGAGTTGGGGCGGCGATTGGCGCTCGCTCATAGGCTCGCTCTTTGCACCAACCAACAACCGAAATTACGATCTCTGTCGCTTCCTCCAGGCAGACAGAAGACGTTTGTAGGAACTCAGCCTTGAACCGTCAATGACGAAATGCGCTCGCCGAAAGGGTTCAGACCGAACAGGATCTGCAACTAGTGAATCTGAAACACGGTCATTCATCTTTGATGCCCACCAGCAGAGTTCCAGCGAAGTGCGGCGCTGCACTTCCAGAACTGTGTGCTGGGCGCCAAGCGGGATCACTCATGGCTGGCTGCCTTACCCAGCCTTCTTGGTAAAGGAATCAGGTTGTTCGACCTTGGGGTCGAGCATGGAACGTCACATTCCATTAGGATTCTCTTTCAGAAAGAAAGTTCACTGATTGATTCCGAAATCATCCGTCGTGATGCACTTCTCATTTTGAAACACTCAAAAACACCAAGCATCCAGCACCCAGATGCCTGGCTTTACGTGTACGGATCGGTCATGCAATCTCATGGCCTTCCACAGGGTGATAGTTTTCCCTTACACAGTCATCTGGAGAGCAAGTAAATACTACCAAGCTGTCTGGTATGTCTTTCCCTTCTCCATCTCTCCGTAAACCGGGCATCTGGAGCAGATCCTGAGATCCAGCCCCATCGCAGATCCGAGGGCCCACTTTCCCCGGTCTCTTAGCGCCACCGGGGGACCACCCGGACCGGACTTTGATATCCTTTTCATGTCTTAGTTGTGGGGCTGACCGAGAACAGATCTTTGAGGTATCCCAATGTCGTATGCCATAGCAACCGCGACACAGTCAGCAATTGATCAGACCAGCGTTTTCTTCAGTAAGCTTATCAACAGCTGGCTTACCAACAGCCGACCACCTATGGCAGACGGAATTGTTTCCTGAGCCAACAGCCGCTTGGATTGGCCAATTGATACAACATACAACATGTGTAGTGGCTGGTGTAGTGGCTGCAGGATCGCATCTGGTCATTGGTATTGTCAAATGTGATAGAGATTTTGAATCGCAAAAGGGAACGATGGCAGGCGGGGGGCTCGTCATCAGCAATTCCGATATCAGCAAGTTGTGTACATATGTAAAGTTGATTAACAATGTGCATTCGCGTTGCAACCAATTAGTTCTCAATCTTCGAAGCAGCATTCGGGAGAGCTGAGCTAGAGAGTACAAGATTGCACAATGCAAGTGTTCGTCTAGCCCTATCAAACCACGATCGGTTGCCTGCGCGGCAGCACATCGCGATGTGATGTTATCGATGAAAATAGTCTACTTCCCTCTCGGATCAAGCAACAGAGGAGGATGGATGCACTGTCACCACCGCGCCTGCAAGCTCAAGTTACATAGGCATATGTATTTTACCCATATTTGCTGCAGCCACGGCAAAAGTGGGCAAAATTATCCCACCAGACAGCAAATATAGCCAAGAGAGTGGGAAACAAGACAAGGATATCCTTGCACAGCCACGCCGGGGTTACGCGGTGTGGAGACGGTCTCCAGCGCGGGATTGCAGCGGATCTTCGTTGCGCTAACCTTAGCGCAAGAAGCGAGCCAAGCGCAGTTTTGTGGGTCCCGTCACACGTCGCTTGATGCGAAGAGAAACAAACAAGAATTACGGTGCTTGTAATTTAACTACTAACCAGACTTGGACATACATGATAGATTGTGAAAATAAGCGTGAGGCACTTGCGAAAGCAGCAGGTTGATTGACGAAAGGAGATTGGGAAGCAGCCCAACTATAGACGATCTGATGATGACGAAATTATCGGCTATTAAGTGCTGGTCTTAGCTTGGAGGGGGCTTTAACATGCTCCTTATAACCAATCTCTTAAGACTGATGAGGATTCCAGAACAGGAAGCAGGTCAACAGTCGTCGTAGAAGCTTGGAGGGGTATTACATTCTAGAGACTCCACAGCTTTAGGCCTCCACTTGCAGCACCATTCAACAGCTTCTAACAGTTTCACTCTCGTCTGGAGCTAGTGTATACGAATGCCTACATTGCTTTTTGTACAACATGTGAACATGTGTATAAACCGACTTGTAGCAACCATCTTATCATTCCATACCCCCAAGATGTTCTACGTGTTGTACATTACCACACGCACTTTTTTGCTGTGATACCCGCATTTGTCCAATCACCAACAAGAACCCACCACATGCTCTCCAAATATAGCTCTGCTTCTGATTGGAGGGCGGCTAATCAACTGTACAGCTGACAGGGGTGAGGGGGGTTTCATGATCGTCGGCAACAGCCACACCAATGCAACACCGGGCTTTCTTTGAGGATGGGCCTCTGAAGGTGACAGGAATCACAAAACTGAAACGAAACATCTGCAGATGGGCTGAGGCTGCAGTCTGCACATATACCTACCGACACTAGTGCAGGCAGACCGTTGCACGCACCTACTATCCTTTCCATAGTTTCGACGGCTTGGTAGGCGACAAGAACAAGCATATGCTCATTGGTGGTATGTAGGATGCGAGTTTGGGAAAGATGCAACGCAGAGCCTGGAATGGGGAACAGAGCGCTGGGTTCTGATCGTTCGATGCATGTTGTGGCAGAAAGTCAGAAGTCTATAGTCAATTGCTATTCTACATCGACACCTATCTTGGTAGGTTTGTACAATGCCTTTGGATAATATTGGGATAGAACTGTTTCAACCCAATTTTCTACGCTTGAGCTAATCTTGTACCATCTTTCCACACTTCACTTGAGACTTTCATGTGTTAAGCTGATCAACACATGGCACCCCCACGAAGTCGGGGGAGGCACAGCTGAGAGCTTCTTTTGCCATACTGTCTTGGCTGGTTATTTAGTTGTACTGGTCATCAATTTGAAGGTTTCCGAAGGGCTTCACCAACATGCTCACTCGAAGAGCACGGCTCGTGTTACTCAAGCTGCTCAGCGCACAAGACCCTCAACCACCACAGACTCAATCGAAACCGCAGTATACTATCAACACTATCACTGCACTCAAACCGATATAGTAAAAAGTGTCCGTATTCATCATAACCGCTATTTTTATTCTTTTCACTTATACATACGTCTTTGACAACTTCCAGAACAATTCTCTTGTCAAATCAGCTGAGCACAAGGCTTCTGAAACAGCCACTCGGGAAGCTCTCCGCACTGTTGGGCTCGTTTCAGATTTTGACCATACATCAGCACAGCCACCTGTAAAACATCGCTGCCTGAGGGCCCAACAACAGTTGTCCCAGAAATAACGCCATCAATACTCCGTACCGTACAGGGCAGCATGCGATGCACAACTGCAACCCCCGGGCCGATAAAACCCTAATAAGGTTATCAGCGACTGCCGGCCGGTAGCGGAGTCGGCATCCCAACCGCAGCACATTCCTCTGTGGCAGAGCGAAATAGCCCCCGCTTGCCCAGCCTTGGTTTGTGTCACCTGCTTGCACTTCACCCGCACGGATTAACTCGGTGCCTGGTCTAGGCGGTGGTGTGGCGTAGTCAACAACATCCAACAAGACCTGGTCCCAATGGGAAGCGCTGTCTTTGCAGGTGGTTCCTGTTCAAAAAACAGTAGATTGTGATGTTGAATAGATAGAATGGGAATAACGGAGAGCTCGATGGCAGCATAAGGGGCACTGATCCGAGCTGAACCCTCGGGAAGCTCGTCATCGCCTCAGCTTGATGGTTTCGCTGCAAGCGATAATTCTTCTCATGATGGAGACCTTCCAATTCGGTACTAATTTTTGAGACAGACATCAAACAGTCTGCGTTATTCTGTTCCTTCACGAGGAGTGTAGGATCAACGAGGAGTGTAGGAAATCTTTCCATCAACGCGATTTGTTGTGAAAAGAGTAAGTCCAGCCTGCGGCGTCCTACACGTCAACACTACGCCATGAATTGATTTACACCGGTGTGTTGAGAACAGATGTGATACTCTTTTCAATCATTATCACCGTTCCTTATCTCACCTCAGACTGAAACTGGTTGTTGGCGATATGCTACAGTGGCCGGGTTTGTCCGGACTGGTCAACGAGTAAGTGTGTGTACCTGCATTCAGGTGGTCTCTTCCGGTGGGCCATCCTCTTGTAGCCGCGCTCCTGCTTTTGGTGGTTGCCTGTTGACCCAGTAATAGTGTTCTTGAACACTTCGATGGCGAACTCTGTGCCTCTGGGTCGCTTGTTTAGCTTGCCCGTCGCCCACGCAAAGCGTTGTTGGAGAACCACGACTTGTAGGTCAGATCTTGCTTGAATCTTCTCCCCCCCCAAACCCACGCTCCTGCTGCGGAGGAGCAAGCGAGATGTTCTCGAGAGCCCCGGGGATATCTCGGCAGATCCTGCGTACCAGTGCAGCTGAGTGGCGAGCAAGCCGAGGTGAGTGTGGGAAAGAAGCAGATGGAAGAAGTAAGGCGAAGACCAACAGCCTTATCAGGGGTGTCAGCTGCTCCAGCCTGTGTCCTTGAAACAGATCCTCCAAGCTCTTAGCGACGGGGGCGGTTCCTTTTCGATGAGGAGATAGATGCTTGCTCCATAGGCAGTGTAGTCAGTAAAGCTATCCAACGTGTCAGTGATTCAAGACAAGAGCGGTGAACTCCGCGAATTAATGTTTGAAGGTTAGTTCTCTCGCTCAGAGCGGGCTTAATCTGGGAAGGTGAAGGTTGGAAATGTTGACACGGTGACACAAAGATGCCTATCATCCAGAACTTTCTTGGGTACCTAGCCGGGTAATTTATTCCTCAGCGTTGTATAGTGCCATGAAACTTGATCCAAAAGCAGCAGGACATGTGTGATTTGCAACTGGCGGTCTTCCACATGCAACTGAGCCTAAGTAGTCGGAACCATTGGTCACATTAGCCAGGTCTGTCAATTGGTTATCAGGTTTCAACTCAGAAGCAAGCACACGGCCATCATTAAGCGGCCCAGGGAAACGGGTATATGAACCCTATTTCGAACTTGACACTGGCTCAGGCAGCCCCGATGCCTCTTAATCCCTTCTCAGTTCAATACAATATATAGCGGCGAGGTGATAGCTAAGTCAGGAGAACCGGCGAAACAGGCATTCCCTATGGGAGACACAACAAAAGATAAGGCTATAAGACCACTGAAGCGAGAAAAAAAGCTGACAGCAGTAGACACAAATGCTGTATCACAGCCGATCGCTTGACATGTGAGGATCAACCCTTTTTTGAAAGGGTAGAGGGTTATCCCCTTGGCAGGTGGTCAGTGTTCGAGCACCGCAGTAACGCAGAGAGAGGGTGATGACGTTGTTGATTGGGAAATGTAAAGAACATGTTTCAACCGGACTCGGGAAATAATGAAAAGAGATAGCTGCAAGCATTTTTGAAGGGCCTTGTTGTAGTGTCTTTGAGCTGAAAAACGATGATCGCACAAACCCCATAAGGTGCAGTTTTACTGCGCGATAGACTGACTCTCTTGAAGGGCGCAACCGAAAGAGTTTTGGGGGCCAAGGGAAATTTGCACAAAAACATGGCATTATACCACTGAAAGCTGGCTTATGTCGGATGAAAAGCCGACGAAATCTCGGTACGTAGAGTTAGACAACGATTCGGAAAAAAGGGGGACTTCGACCATATGGGTCTCGCTCACGTGGCTTGGCGCGTTTTGGTCGCGTTTTGGTCGCGTTTTCACCTAGATAGGTGAGCTGGGCCACACCGAGCACGGGCCGGCTGGCTGACCTTTAGGTGTGGCGCGTCACCAGGCAGCGATACGATCCACGTGATTTCCTTTCCATTTTCATTGAACTTCGCGCCAGCTATCAAGCTCCTCTAGAAAATCTCAGCAGACTGGAATAAAGTTTTGCTTAGGAAAGATTGCGGAGAAGGGTCAAGAACTATCTGGTTTGGCCAAAGGCGGCTCGCCCAGACGCGACACGCAGCAAGTGTCGGTCACGGCGAGTCGAGGCAAAGTTTGAGAAAAAAGTCTATAGTTTCAGGGCCTCTTGTGTTCCACATCGACTGCAAACAAAGGACGAAAGTCTTCCATTGATTTAGAAGGAACCGCGACCGACGCGTCCTTATTGGTTACAATCAAGGCGAGCCTTCGGCCTGCCGTCGCGTGGGTTCCCTTAAGAAACGAAAGAACAGAAACGCAGACTTGCAAGCTTGATCGATTCTCATCAAGAAAGGCGTCAGCGCCAACCTGTTCGCCAAGATGGAGTTCATGATCGAGTAAGCCCAGCGCACATCGTCAGGCGCTGTTCCAAGGGCAGCTTGCCATACTCTCCACCGTAACGAAAGCTGACACCGGCGTGCCATCTCAGCGATCTGCCTGTTCTCTTCCCATATCCTCGCATTTACCCAGGCAGGTCATTCCCTTGTGTTGTATCATACATCGGCGTCGCTAACAGGCCCAATCAGAGCAATATGCGTGCGTTTCCCGCAGGTCGTGTTATCACTGCGTTGTACTGACATGAATGCTGTGGCCCCCCTGCAACAGCTATATGTGCGATTTGAAAAGTAAGCGCTAGCGGAATCATGGCCTGGTAAACCGCTGACGTGCTCCAGAGACCCTTGATGCTGGGGGTAATTGTGTGCTGGAGATGCCTTCGGGCACAGGAAAGACCATCACACTGTTGTCTCTGATCGTGGCATACCAGCAGCACTATGCTGAGCACAGGAAGTTGATCTACTGCTCACGTATGTCTGTTGGCCGTCCTGGCAATCTCAAAGCAGCTAATAACAACAACCAGGAACAATGTCCGAGATCGAGAAGGCATTGGTTGAGCTGAAAGCACTCATGAAGTTCCGTGCGGAGCGCCTGGGATATGTTGAAGAATTCAGAGGTTTGGGCCTAACCAGTCGTAAGAACCTTTGCTTGCACCCATCCGTCAAAAGGGAAAAGAGTGGAACAATAGTCGATGCCCGCTGTCGTAGCTTAACGGCTGGTTTCGTCAAGGAGAAGAAACAGAGAGGAGAAGACGTTGATGTCTGCATTTACCATGACGTATGTATTGAAAACGGAAGACATGGCCAGATCTGCGGGACTTACTAACATGTTTCGTAGAATCTCGATCTCCTTGAACCACACAATCTAATCCCCAACGGCATCTGGACGTTGGATAATCTGTTAAAGTATGGCGAGGAGCACAAGCAATGCCCATATTTCACAGCTCGACGGATGGTGGGTGATGTCTAAGCCCGGTACCGACCACATGTACTAACTGATTGGTATCAAGCTGCAATATTGTAACGTCGTCATTTATTCCTACCACTACCTCTTGGACCCTAAGATTGCGGAGCGTGTCTCCAGAGACTTATCCAGCGACAGCATCGTCGTCTTTGACGAAGCGCACAACATCGACAATGTCTGTATTGAAGCCCTTAGTACGGACATCACAGAAGAGTCCTTAAGAAGGGCAACAAGAGGTGCACAGAACCTCGAGAACAGGATCAATGAGATGAAAGAAACCGATCAGCAAAAGCTCCAAGACGAGTACGAGAAGCTTGTTGAAGGGCTTAGGGGGAACGATGATGGCACCCGAGAAGATTCATTTATGACCAGTCCTGGTAAGTTCCCGAGGTAGCCGACTTCCTGAAGAAGGGTTTTGGTGACACTTTTTTCTAGTCCTCCCACAAGACTTGCTCAAGGAGGCCGTTCCCGGCAATATCCGGAGAGCAGAGCACTTTGTTGCCTTCCTCCGGAGGTTCATTGAATACCTCAAGGTTTGTGTCAATTCAGGCATCCGGCTTGTACTCTATTAACACCCAAGTAGACGAGGATGAAGGTTCGGCAAGTCATCTCCGAGACACCGCCATCCTTCTTGGCACACCTGAAAGAGTATACATTTATCGAGAAGAAGCCTCTAAGGTGGTGTGCAGAGCGCCTGACATCACTGGTCAGGACGCTTGAGCTCACTAACATTGAAGACTACCATGCCCTCCAAGAAGTAGCCACGTTTGCAACACTTGTGGCTACATACGAGAAGGGCTTCTTGTTGATTCTCGAGCCGTACGAGTCCGACACGGCCGAAGTACCCAATCCAGTTCTGCACTTCTGCTGCTTGGACGCCGCTATTGCCATCAAGCCTGTCTTTGACAAGTTCCGCAATGTCATCATCACCTCCGGTACCATCTCCCCACTGGAGATGTACCCCAAGATGCTCAACTTCACCACCGTCGTCCAAGAGTCGTACAGCATGACACTGGCTCGGCGATCCTTCCTTCCCCTCATTGTGACTCGTGGCAGCGACCAGGCCTCCATTTCGACAGGCTTCCAAGTCCGCAACGAGCCGAGCGTAGTCCGCAATTATGGCAATCTCCTCACCGAATTTGCCAAAATTACTCCCGATGGCATGGTCGTCTTTTTCCCGTCTTACCTCTACATGGAATCCATCATCAGCATGTGGCAAGGCATGGGCATCCTAGACGAAGTCTGGAAGTACAAGCTCATCCTTGTCGAAACCCCGGATGCGCAGGAAACCTCCCTGGCCCTCGAAACCTACCGCACAGCTTGCTGCAACGGGCGCGGCGCGGTACTCCTCTGCGTTGCACGCGGCAAGGTCTCCGAAGGCATTGACTTTGACCACCAGTACGGGCGCACGGTGCTGTGCATCGGTGTACCCTTCCAGTACACGGAGTCGCGCATCCTGAAAGCGCGTCTCGAGTTCCTCCGCGAGACGTACCGCATCCGCGAGAATGATTTCCTCTCATTCGACGCGATGCGGCATGCTGCTCAGTGCCTGGGCCGCGTGCTGCGCGGCAAGGATGACTACGGGTTGATGGTGTTGGCGGACCGGCGGTTCCAGAAGAAGCGCAACCAGCTTCCCAAGTGGATCGCGCAGGCGTTGCTGGATGCAGACACGAACCTGAGTACGGATATGGCGGTCAGCAGCGCAAGGAGATTCCTCAAGACCATGGCGCAGCCGTTTAAGGCAAAGGACCAGGAGGGGATCAGTACCTGGAGCTTGGAGGACCTGAAGAGGCATCAACAGAAGATGGATGAGGAGCGGATGAAAGAGCTGGAAGCACAGCGGGAGAAAGAGTCCGCGCCGGCAGTGGAGAGGCCGGCGGATCAGGGAAGGGAAAGTGACTACGAGGTGGACGAGGAGGAAGAGAGGGAGATGATGGCGCTTGATGTGGGCAACTAAAGCTGGGGACATGTCGTTTACATGTTAGAGCAAAAGTATAATATTACAGTCCTCCTTCGACAGCCGACCTGAATCAGGAGGATGTATGCGACCGATATACCAGAACTGTGGTGGTATTACACACTATGTAGGTACATAAGCTCTCCAACTCTACTCCCATGCCGGTGTCAACGGATGCATACTCCGTCTAAATCCTAAACCCAAACACCTAACGCACCTATGCATCAAGCATCTTAACCAATCTGAGCGAAAGCTATGCAATATCCATGCATAGTAGCATTCCTGTAACCCATCCAAACTATGACCGACGCCCAAGTGCTCAAACCCAAGTTTCAAAACATTCGTATGAAAAGAAGCATCTACGACAACGCACCAACAAAGCCCCCTTTCGCCTTAACGGCCCTCATTCCAACAAGGGTATTTTCTTTCCCTGGTCGCCTTCCAATCTCAATGCACAAGAACCTCACTAAATCCTGGTTCGTCCAGTAACTTGTATGCGCGCTGAGCATATTGAGGTACTGGATTTCGAGCGGGCCACCGCCCGAGCGCAGGTAGTAATCGATTTGCCCATTGTCATTGAGCAGAAATGCCTTCTTTTCAGCAATCTCCTCGCGCGTAAAGTCATGGATCTCGAGCTCGAGCTGGGACGGTAGGTGATTGAGTTTTGACGATGAAGGGGGCGATTGGGGTTGTTGCTGCCCCGGGCCTTGAGCATATTGATGTCGCGGAGTGGTACCTGTAATACTCCTGACCATGACATCCCCAACCCGTTCAAAGAACGAGGTGCTTGTGCTTGGCACGTAGGCGGTCTTGAGCGATGCTGCATAGTACGGATCTATGGTTCCGTTCAGCAGGTAGGCGATGGGGTCTTCTTTGGCAAGGATGTTGTACACATTATCGACCGCCAAACAACCGAACTGTCCAACATCGCCCACAATTTCCTTTGCCACGGTAGCTGCCGCCTCAGCACCAGGCTTCATCCTCCCGCGGCGAGGTAACAAGCGCGCTCCGCGCTCCAGCAGTAAGAAAAATGCTGCTGGACTCCCCAGCAAGAACAGATTCGTCGTATCAAACTCGAAGTACCTTGTATCCGGTACAGGAGAAGCATTTTTCAGATCCAGGCAAGTTACACGAGTAGGCTGGCGTGAGAGTACCTCGATGGCCATTACAGAACCGAGTGAGTGAGCTATAAGATGGACACGGCCATGTTCTGCGAAACCAGGATTGTTGCGGCACCAGAGGCGATAGACACGGTTGGCCTCGCCAACCATGGCAGCGATCATTTTGGGCTTGTGGTGCGACATGTAGAAGGGGATGTCGAACATTATATCCGAGATCATGCCGCGCACAGCAGGGATGGTCGGAGGCTCGATGTCTTTGAGGGCGAAGCCCTCTGGGGGATATGTACCCTCAGGGTTAGCGTGGTCGCCTTCTGCTGTCGGACCACCGTCTTCGAAACTGAGGAGATGGCGCCAGTTGACAGGAAGGACCATGATGCCTCTGTGTTCGGGCCGCAGGACTGCCTTGACAACCGGGCTTTGGAGCTCGATGTTGACGGCTCGCCGTAGGGCACTGACAGCATGCGTAAAGTGGAAGCTTTCAACACGCTCGGCAAACTTCTGACCAATGCCATGAATGACTAACACTAGGTCGGTCACCCGACCACGGTCCTTCTCGAGCTGACAAGCCGGACAGCAGCCGTTTTGCTCAGCGGTTTGACGAGCTTCGGCAGCTCGACTGGCAAGGCTAAACTCCTGAGCGGCACGAGCATACGATGCCCGTTTGTTGTGTACTTTCTCCCAGACATCGCGATCAAACCCACGCACAACAGGTATGCCCACAGTAATTCCTTTCAAAATTTTCGAGACGGGTCGTCTCCCGTAGTAAGCGGACGGTTTCTGACTGGGCTTGAGCAAGAAGGCCGTTGTTGCATCCTTGTAGATTACATGGTAATTCGCGTACGGTATAGACTCCGGAGGTAGCGGACCGGTTTCATCCTCTGTGTGAACAGGCTTCAGTGTGCCTTCGGCAGCAGCTTCTCCCCAAGAGCACCTTGCCGCGCATATTGGATCGGCTGATATAGACGGCTGAGGTGGGATGTTGTCTTTGGGCTTCGATCTCTTCTCGGGGATCTCGGGCCATAGTCGATGGGATACTTTTTCTTCACCGAGCGCCCCAACATCAATTGCCGATCGAAGTTCGTCGCTCCAAGTCTCAGTCCATGGGCGCAGTTCGCGATAGCCTGCTTCTAGCTGGTTTGCAATGATTGGCTCTACGGGGACCATAGTGTCTCGGTAGAACCAAGTTGCCCTCAGCACCGTGGCAACATCATTCACGGGCGACCAGTAGATCGGCTTCATCTGGAGCTGAGGAAGCGAAACCATATGCAGTCGCGATATTCCAACGGGAATTTCGACCGTACCTTCAAGCTTCCCAGTTACCGAGGGCTTTGTGGATGAGTGGCTGCTCCCTCGCGGCCGTCCCCTTAGTGAGCCTTTGATTCCCCTCTCATCCGGCGTCCCAATCATAGATGACCTGTTCGACCTAGAAGTTGGCTCAACCCTCACAAACGGCTTACCAGTGATACCATCGTCCCTGTGAGAGACGGAGAGAGACCCAACAGGCAGGCTTGACCCGAGAGCATTCCCGTTCTCAGGCCCAACTGAGATCCTAGAGATTGACCCCAGGCTCGTAGCAACCTGCATGACCGGGGCTGAGCTTGCCCCGATTGATAGTCCAGCTGCCGAAGTATTTCCAGCAGCAACGGTAGCCACGGCGCCATCCGTGGTGGCACACGAGTCTCCAGTCTTCCATCTCCCCATCAGACCCATCACTGCCTCAACTACTCGGTCCAGATCTAGCTCCTTTTTCTTGCGCCTTGCAATCGGGCAAAACTCCTTCCGTAGCTCAGCCTCTACATCACCCATTAACTCAGTACAGCACACCTGCACACTGTTATCCTCTATATCAACAACCGTCTCTGCCAGCATCGCAGTGAGTCCTCCGGTCCCAGTTGTTGCGGTGCCGTTATTCTGTGCTCCTGTACCTTCCGTAGAAGAAGAAGGCTCTTTCCCATGCTTTTCCCAGTGCTTCTTCGCAGCAGCCTTCACGATCTCTCCAACCCGCTCTGCAACGTCCCTCTCCCATCTCTCTGGACTTGTTCCACGCCCACGCCCAGCCCGAACAGCCTGTTCATGATCCCTACGACACTTGTCTATCCCCAAGCTAATCCATGCTCTTTCCAGGGCTGCGTTATCAGCGGGGGAAAACGGACGCAGGGGGTGCTGTCTCGAACCGGTATGATGGGCGTCATTTGTACCGCTGGACGTAGATGTAGCAGGGGAAAGGGGATCGTCGATCGGTATGGACGAGGAGTAGAAGAATTGGGCACGGATCGGAGGGATACCGGCGAGGTGTTTGTCGGGGGGTTCGGGGGTCAGAGTGGGGACGAGACCGCACGTTGTGTCGAAGGTATGAGAGAGAGGTAATGGAGAGACCATGGCGGCCGTCGAGATAGGTAGATGTGGGCGTTATGTTTCACGGCGATTGTGGAGAAAGATAAAGTTAAGGAGGGTGTGAAGCGAACAGCGAGATCATGGGAAAAAATGCTGAGCAGCGAAGGTGTCGAGGAAGAGGATCATCAAGGCGCGTGGACAGGGAGCACTGTGCGATGCCAGGTCGGAGGTTTGTGGATTCCAAGCTGACCGTGACGCTTGTGGCTAGACTGTTGACTTGAGGCTCCTACTGCTTGATGTTTGACACACCGCTGCAGGCGAGTTTCAAAGCAGGTTAACCGTTCGAGAAGCGGTCTTGACTCTTGAACTCGAGGGTTAAGAAGGCGTGCCTGAAATAGTAGAATCTCCAGCCAGTAATAGCATGGAAATGTAAATATTACAGCAGTGTTTATGCATAAAAAGCGCCATTCACGGCAAGCATGATAACGGTAGCAGCATGTTTGTGCTTGTGGCCATGACCTACCTATGTACCACAGCGCTGATTAGGGCCGGAAAGGCATCGAGCAGCGCGGACACTGCTGCACCTTCGGCGTTTGCAGCAATGACGTGGTGCGTCTGCTGTACACAATGGATGCCTGCCGTGGGAAAAGCCTGGGGTCAGCTGGAGCTTGGTAGCCAGTGCCGCTATTGGCTGCCCTGCTGTTAAGGTTGTCCGCTGAAAGCCGCTAACAACGGTCATGTGGCCCCAGCACGGGTTGTCCCCGTTGATTACAACCCTAACCCTGATGACATGCACGTGTTTTCCGCTGAATAAAGAGTGCATGACGATGGCCAATGGATGGGTACATGGTCTCTCTCTCAACGGACAGAGGATGCAATGCTAAAAAAAAAAAAAAAGATATTGTTCTAGATATGCTGTCAATTGAAGGTATATTCGCCATGTAGCCCTGACTCCATACTTATGCCCCAATTCCAAGCAACAGCAAAGCAACAAGCAAACTCCCTAACGCCCTTCCTGAGAAAGTATATGGGCATTCGATGAACAAATATCCTCCCAGAGGACACGAACACTTCTATCCTTAAATCTACAAACAGCCAGCAAAATTAAAAACGCGTGTCCTTCATGAAATCGTCGATGTAGGCCTCTTCAACGACTTCAGCAGCGGAGCGATCTTAGACTTTTTGCTCAGACCCACGCGGTACTGCGCTTTCATTCCCAGATTCAGCTTGGGCAGTACAATTGCTGGTGTAGCAGCCTCCTTGGAACCCCCGTCTTCCATATCTTCCTCCTTTGGTATTGGAGTTTCTTCATACTCGTCAACATTCCGTTTAGCTGGCATCGAGTCCTTGGCAGTCGCCGGCTTTGATGGCCCATTGCCATTATTCTCTTTGCTTTCACTAGAATCAGCGGTTTCTTCCTTATGCCTTGAGTCTTCTGTAGGCTGTGCCATGACGGGCTGTGGATTAACCTGGACCTCGGTGAGAGTTTCTGGGTTGCTCCCAATGGCATCGGCCTCGGTTTCAACGGCTGGTTGAGCTGGCATATCATCAGTTGGCTTGACCTCTGACTTCCTTAGCCGTCCACGCTTCCGTTTTGCTGGTGGTACTGGAGCTTCGGGCTCTGTAGGTACAGGTGCAGGCTCCTTTTGTGCTGGGGTCATATCTTCCTCGAATTTGCGTTTCCTTGGGCGGCCTCGCTTCTTCGGAGCCGATTCAACGGGTGGTGATAGTTGTTTGGTTGCGATTTCTGGGGACTCGAGTGCAGGAGGAGCGACGGATTGATCACCGAATTGTTCATCTGCACCTCCTTCGGGGACCTCTTCACTTAGTGCCTGATCGTTGATATGTTGTTCCATCGATGTCACCTGTTGCCAATCCCCATATCCTTCATCCTCATCTTGCACAACCCGCCGTTTCTTCGGCAGCCGTATCGAAGGAGGGGTTTCTTTCTCCTCAACAGTTGAGGATACGACCTTTGCTTTAGTCCGTTTAGCTTTTGGGTTCTCAGTGCTTGTCAAATCTGCTAGCACATCCGGTGATGACTGCGGTGGCTCGTAGACGCCCCATCCGGATATCTGTGCTTCCATCTGTCCTTCTCGCCGTCTCAGAGAAGACTTGACTCTGCTCGGAGTAGGGTATGCAATAGTTGTCATCCCGCTTGACTTGTACAACGCGGTTGTAGCAACCTCTTCGATTTCTGAGCTTGTCGGCTGATGCTGATGGGCAAACGTGTCAGACACCACCTCACTCCCCTCTGCTGGAGAAAGGCTGACCACTTGGCACTCCTGCTTCTGGCTCGCTGCCAGCTCGCTCTGTGGGATATACAGTGACGGACCAGCTTCGGTGTTCACCGAGCTTGAGTCAGCCCCTCCCTCTGCCGTGTTAGAAGGGACAAGCATCACAGGACTCGAGCTTTGCGTGGCCACCTCTCCTCTCCTGACCCGAGTTCTCTTCAGCCTGGGTGTTTCTTCAGGAACTGCAAAAGGATCCTGCGTCGGTGCCAGCTCATCTGACTCTGTGTCTCTTTGCCGCCCATACGTCCTCTTATTCCGTTGCCTGGGCGCCGAGTTGGGTACATCCCACACATCCGAGTTGTTGTTCTTTTCTAGAGGGGTTGGACTTGTCAAATCGACGACGTCCGTTTCTTGAATTCTCCCTCTCCGTCTCTTGCGCTGGGATGTTGTCGCAGTTGCCGGACCAGTGTCTGTACCTACTGACACCCAGTCCTTCCCAGGCAGAGTGTCAGGGATAAGGCCGCTTTCATCAGGCTGTCCCGCTACGGCAGCGTATTGCGCATCGTAGACTCGCTGAAAAAATGAGGGATCTGTAGACTCGGTAGCCGCATGGCTAGCTAGGACAACTTCATGATTTGCTTCGTAGCTTGCGTCTTGGGTGTCAGGGAGCATGTCAAGTGTTTGTTCGCAGTTATAGTCGGAGTCGCCAAAGACGCTTCCTTCGTCGTCCGAGTCAAGGATTTCCCTTGGCCTTTGGCGGGACATCGTCATTTTAGGATATCGTAGGCATGTAGTCTAGCAATCGGTGTTGAATGGTACGTAATGTTGACGCAAGTCGAGATGAATAATTGTGGAAGCCGTGGCGGGGGACGCGGGGGACGCGTCGTGGTTGGATTGACGCGCGGTCACGCCCTCAAATCTGCAAGTGAAACCCTAACCCTGGCCTCTGTACTCTTTCCTCCAAAGTTATGGCCTTACTCCGCTAGAGACCAAGTTTCAGGGATCAAAACAAACTTCGAGTGCCAGAGAGCACTGGCAGATTAAACACAAGCATTGCCATGCAGCTATCTGCACAGTTAGGCATGTCACCATGTCGAAATGTGTTCTTGGGGAGATTATATTCAGTTCGAAGCTCCGGGTAATCAATAATCACCCGCCAACCCCCCATATCAGCCTCACTCAATCTCCTCAATAACAATCCTCCTTCCTCCAGGGCTTTCTTCTTCCTTTACCTTGACTGATCTCTGAGGATCGACCTCCAACCCTCTCAACTTAGTTAAACCTCCAAGAGCGCCTACCCCCTGCGCCTGCTCCCTCTCTGGTGGCAACAGCTGCACCACCTGCCAGTTCTCTAGACTTTCCACGACATCCTTGGCATGCTGAACGACCAACCCATCATTATCTGTGGCTGCAACGTATCTCAGCGTGCGCATCATATCCTCCTGTGCCTCGTGTCCAAACCCGAACGTGCCCAGTCGCTTGCCTGCCTGTCTGGCTTCCTCTAGTGCCCGGATAAACGACATGACTAGCATGATTGCCGCCCGGCGTAGGATACCCTTCTCCATCTCAGGCTCCATAGTGAGCACATTGATGCACAAGTCAACCGCTGTCGTAACGAGAGTCGGTCCCAAGCCAGCGACATTGACCTCAACCGCAGCACCAAGAACGCCGAGTGCAGAGGCACGTACCCGCACATCCTCCGTACCCCGTTTGCTCTCCCATCCCTCAACAATCTTTGCGATGATCTCATTCCGCTTTTTCTCCTCCTCCGTCATCCCTTCATCATCATCGCTAAACTCCGGTACCTCGCCGCCCCATGCCTCAGCCGCCTCTCGGTTCTTCATTTCTCTCAGCTTGGCTTCCCTGCGTTGACGGGCTTCGGTCTTAGGTCTGCGTCCTCGGCGGCTCGCAATCGATAGTAGTGCCTGGCCAACTCGCGTAGCTATCTCGCCCATGAAGGTCTCTCCCATGCGCTGGACAACCTGCAAGAGTGCCTCGCCAAAGCGTAGCCGTGTGTCGACCTGTTGGTGCATTTCATGAAGGTCGACAAAGTGATCAACAAGCTCGGTAGTGACGGCTCGTGGGTGATTGTTGGCTAGAAGGGTATAAAGCTTGATGACGCGAAGATAGATGTACTCATCAGCATCAGACATGAGCCTGGAAAGTAGGACCAAGATGCCGGGAATGTCAAGGACAGGGGACCGTGCAGTGATGAGGCCGCCGATGAGGTTAAGGCCTTCGGACCTGACAGGGGGCGGGTTGTCGGGCTGGGTGATGTATTGGATAGCAAGGGCATATGTTTTGCGATCTTCGATTTGTCGGTCAGTAGGCGCTGCAGTAGATGAAGGAGGCTCGATCTCGTCACGGTAGAGGAGCAGGAGTCGGAGGTTGTTCGCCGTTTGAGAGAGGCTGTTAGAGCCTTTGGATAGTTTGTCAAGTGCTATCTCGATTGATGAAAGTATGTCTGGATCAACGCGAGACTTCTGGAAACCGGGCACTGTAATGATCATGTTCAGCAAGCTCAGCGCCACACCGGCTACCTCCTCATCGTCGTTTCTTGACTGGGCGGTGGAGTTGCTGAGGATCTGGCTGACAAGATCAAGGATATGCTTGGGTTGAGTAGCCAGTTTATCAGGGAACTTCTCCATCATAGAATAGAGAGTCTTAAGCTCAGCCATTTTGGCAACGGGATCTTCCTGTTCGTCTCCCTTCTCTTGAATCATGATGATGGTCTCGCTTTTGGGCTGAGACTTGAGCCATCTCTTCAAGAGCTCAAGAAAGGCTCCAGAGATATCGGCATCAGTGAGACTTGATCCAATCAGGTCGAGCAGCCTTGGAGTTTTGCGTTCAATGTCCTCTAATGTAGGAACAAGACCTGCTTCGCTCCCAATACGATGTCTGACGTCCACAATGTCGATCTCGCCCTCCCTAACTGCTTTGTACACCCACTCTGGGCGATTCCTGTCATACCCACCTAGATAACCCATGTTCTGGGCTAGGAAAATGATTAAGCCCGGCGAAGGTGACAATTTTAGGAAAATCTTTAGCAGCTCCACAGCTGGTGTGCACACTTGTTCTGATAGCGACTGAGGAGGGCTATGCCAGGATGCAAGTGTCCAGAGAGGAAGTAATAATGGATGCAGCAAACGTTTGCATAATCCTGGGTTGGGATGTGAAACCACCAGGCTTTTCAGACGACGGAGGGAAGTGACAAGTTGATCATATGGTACGACGACCTTGTCAACAGTTAGGTCAACAACACCATCCGACTCTACATCACTTTGAACTAGCGTTTGGCCAGGAGGAGGCTTGATGCAGTTGAGAATCGGCTCAGCTAGAAACTTCCAACCGGCAGTGCCTTGAGGGTGTCAGTATCAGAAATAGCACTCAAAGAGCAACGGACAGGCGAACCTGGGGCTCCTGACGCCTTCCGACCAAGGATTCCAAACCCAATGACATATGCCGCAGCCTTTACGAGCTCCGGTCCTTCACCTCCATCGAGAAGGACAAGCAATTGCGGCGCAATGGTGGAATACCACTTCTCAGGAGTCACGGAGGCTGGGGGTGCCGATAGTAGATTGCTGGCTAGACTAAGGGCTTCATGAGTGATGTTGGCTCCTCTTTTCTGCGGCACGGCGGCCTCTGACACCTTCACAGTGCTGGAGGGGTGTACCGAGAAGACGAACTCGAGCGTTCCCCTTACGCCGTTTGGACGGAGTGGCACTAGGGTCAGCTTCTCCATCAGCTTCGGCCGAAGCCATTTGGGGGCGTTGCCTGGTCGGACCAGGATGTTAAGCGCTCCAAGCAGATTCAGTATCTTGATGCTGCGTTGCCAATTAGCGGTGGTTTTATCATCACCAGACTGGCCTGCAGGCTTGCCTCTCGATCAACTCGTCAAACTCGTGGATGGCCTGGTCTCTCGACCCGCTAGGGCCCTCCGGATCGAAGGCCTTGACTCCGGCCTGAATGATAGACTCCATCAACCGGCGGCGTGCATCTTTCTTGTCATCAGACTTGGCATTTATGATATCCTCTGGACTGGGCAGAGGCGGAATCGCCTCGGACTCAGGGAGCGGCATCTTGAGGATGTTGATGCTTCAGTAAGATGAGTTCTGCGAGCTATCGCTTATCCTCGAAACGTAGTGATCTGCCATCAAGATAATGGCATTTGATGGCGCATTTGAAATTAAGATCAAATAGGATTTTGTCAAAACAAAACTGGCCAAAACATGTTCGCAATTAAGATTGGCCAGCCCAAGCGCTGGGAAGGTTCTGGATACTTAAGTGCAGCTTCTCAAGGGTGCTATGCTGGATGAAACGTGACTTCGTCATGCCCCACCGCGGGGGAGTATCCAGTGGGACACATGCTTTGCACAGACCACACGCGACGCGTTCATGCCCCACGTCCTTGGCTTGGACGCGCCTCTTCTTCTGCTGCTTCTCTTCCTCTCCTCTTCCCAAATTTTCAACAACGCCACCAGACTGCCCTTGCAATGTCCATCACTTGGAATCGTCTCGGCCCGACGCACCCCAGGCCAATGAAGCTTGCTCGAGATGAAGCCGCCGTCACTTCTGGTCGACTGTCGCAATGAGGATACCGCATTGCCAATTCGACGCGCGTCCACGCCATCTCTTTCGCCCACCCATCCTCCGAGCACGTCGCCTCCCCCACAGTTCTCCGATTCCAGTTTTCCGAAAGGAATGCCCTCGTGGCCGCTACCTTTGAACTGGACAACCACAGTGCGTCGTAGCTTGGATCCTGTATCAGGTGCCTACCAAGCTTGCCGCGGTTGGATGACTGTGGTCGATTCCTGTCACCCCAGACAGGCCAGTTTCTCGGGTGGTGAATTGGTCTCGGAACTTAACCCTAATCATTCCTTTGGTTCCAAGTCTTGCGCTCCATAGTCATTCCGAGCGCCTTCTAGTCTCACGTCGGCCGGGGTTGGGTCAGTGCCGCTGAAAAGTGGTATGGCCTTGCCTCTGCGTTGGACAACGGGATGACCGGCGCGAGGAGTTCCAGTCACCGTGTGTGGGCAACGATCCCTTCCCATGAGTCAATACCGGTAAGAGTCCCTGGGGACCGCTCGTCGGGATTGGACGCTGGAAGTACGACTCTGGTCACGATGGGATAGCTCGCGGCGATGTCCGCTGGTCGACGTCCTGCCGGACGCATGAGCCTTTGGCGGATACATTTGGCAGCTTGCTGCTGCATGCACGCTATGCTATCATCTGCTTACGCAGGCAGCCACGGAACAAGAGGGAGAGCGCAGTCGGCTACACACGGTCATCCGGACGTTTCTCTCTTGTCGGCAGTCTGCCTTGTGGCTCCAAGGGCTGTTCGACTCCAACGGAAATGTTACAACGGATGATTTCTTTTCGCCTCACTGTCTGGCTCTCGGTACCCTCGCGTTCCTACCCTCTATCGCATGCGTATCTTACCTCGCCAGCCAGCCGACTCCCACGAGCCGTGCGAGGTCTTAGGATCCGCGCGTCATCGGGCCTTGAGGCCGATGAGATCCCGACCAGGCGCATTAACTCGTCCTCGTAGGCGACGGCCCTACGATACGACGGGACGCCAAAAAATCTGTGTGCCTGATTCTTCCCGCCGAAAGGTGACGAGGCATCAGCGCATTCAATCATTCCTCCGCCCACCTAGGTTGTACTCCTGGGTCTGGGGTCTGGAGATGACAGCGCGGTTTTTTCGGATGTCTTTTGTCCGTGCGGTAACTCGCCCTCCTGTACGTCCTTCCGCCGCCAAAGGGCCGCGGCTACGGGAGAGGAAACAAAAACTAGTCCTTGTTGGCAGTGCAGTACATACGGAAAGATTTGGCGCTTGTCGTTGCTCGAGCTGCTGGTGATGCCGGTCCCAGTGCGAACGTGACGTTTTGATGCGCTTCATCGATGACAACGGGCTTCATTTCAATGGCTGGCGTTTTCAACGCCGAAGGCCTTGACATATGTTGCGAGTTTCCGTCTGGTGGCTCCAAGGCAACCGCAATTGGAACAAGTGCCTATATCTACCCTTTGACAACGGGCGGTGGCATAAGAAGCGAGAACCAGGTCTGGGACCCATCTTGAGTTGGTGTCAAAGCTTCGCGCTTGTCTGGACCTGGAAACTCTGGTGGATTATGTCCCATCTGGAGTCGGGGATTCGAGAAGGATTTGCTGTGTTCCTGATTTGCAGGCTTGCCATATATTTTTGGAACTTTTGGGCAGATTTATCGCCCTTGGTTGTCCTCTCATTTCCCTTGAGGGAATCGGGAGGGCAACCCCTCTCTTTGAGAGGATAAGTAGCCCCCCTTCCTCTACTATGTTTCTAAGAAGCGGGAAAAGGTGCTGACTTGCCGACATGAACAGGTTGAGTGTTCCCATGAACCATTGGCCTAACTTTTGGGAGTAAACTTCCTCATCGCTCAATCCCCTGTCTGTTAAATTGTTCCTCATAGACCGTAATAGAATCTTGTTAGTATTTTTTTGGCCTTACGCGGCGCATCTCATCGAACCGGTAACATTTTCAATGGAAACGATGTCATCTTCCATTTGCCAGTAACCAGGAGTATGATTTCTAACGAATGCCGACTATTATACATTCCGGATAATGCTTCAAGGGGTATCAGAATCATCCTCTTCCAATCCGAAGGACGAGTCTCAAGCCCAAACTTAATGCCATAATCTCCTAGACGCCATCTGTGACCCTTCCAACAAAAGCCCAAGCATCTCAAACCAGCGAACTCTCGAGGCCAACAAAAAAAAGGAAGAGGGGAAACAAGCAATAATGGGACCAAGGACACCCATCAGAGCACCAGGACCAGCAGCAATGACGCCGTCCCCAACACAGCAACCAACACAATCAGCACAATCGTCAACTGGCTCATCTTCTTCCCCTTCTTAGCTTCCTCCTCCCTCCTAATCGCTTCACAAAAACACTCCTCTTCCCCGTCCTCGTAACCATCGTGTCCCGGATTATTCCCACCACAAACCCGACACCACTCCCTCGCATCTTCGATCCCAATCCCATTCATGGCCGCCTCAAACCACTTCCACGACATGCTGCACAATGGGTGGCCAAAGATGGGGTAAAGCCGAAGCGGCACGTCTGGAGCGGTACTGTTACGGTACAAAAAACGCACGCGCAGGTGGTTCAGTGGCGGGAACGAGTCTTCCTGCCAGGCCGCGTTGCTGTACAGCTCGAAGATGATGGTCGCTCCAGGGTAGGGGAGCTCGGAGAAGATATCGCGCAGCAGGTCACCGCCGGGCTTTGTTAGGGCGAAGAAGGAGAGGAAGGGCTCGTGCGTGGTGAAGAGGAGGTTGAGCTTGTTGTGGACGCCGCCCGAGGCGATGTTTGCTCGGAAAAGACGGGGTACGTGGGATGCGAGAGTCCGTCCGGCTATGCCGCGCAGCTTGAGGGCGTCGGGGTCGAGAGTTGGATCGGTTAGGTTGGCGTAGCGGAGGACCTGCTCGGCGGAGGCAAGGGCACGGAGCTGGGCGAGCTCTGAGGCGGTCATTATGCGGCGGGTCTTTTCGGGGTCATGGGTCCAGCGCCAGAGGGCATAGTCGTAGAGGTCGTAAGCGTTGTAGAAGTTGGTCTCGGAGCGGGGGAAGGTTCCGGCGAAGATACGATCCCAGAGCTGGTGGTAGAACTTTTTGTGCTTATGGTTGAGGGAGTCGGCAACGGGGCATTCTTCTTCAAAGTCGATCTGGACGTCGTTCAGGGCGTTACAGCCGACATGACCTTGGATGCTGCGGATGGGGGTTAGCGGAAGAGTCCGGTTAATGGGAGGATAGAGCACATACGCGATGGAGTTTCGATCATTACATGTAGGAAAGGTTTTGATATCAGGGTACTGGTACTTGCATACAGGGCCAGACAGATGCTTCTGATTCTCGGAATACTTGCCATTATGCGCAGAGGTGTTGAAGCACTCTTCCTGGGCTGCAGGCGGGTACAGACCCTGCATAAAAGCCATCGCGCTGGCCGTGATGTAGCCATCAGGGGCGGAACTAATCTCTATGTGTGTGCTGTCCAGGACATTTGGATGGACATCGACAAGCGGCGCATAGACAACGCCTTCATGGCGAGTTAGGTACCGTCTCCGGAAGAAGGTTCCTTGGTCAAACATCTGTTTAGCTCCAAGCATGGTGAGACACGGAGCTGAATCCAAGTGTAATGGTGTGCGGTCCCCGTGCAGGACCTACGCAACGGAAGACCACACACGGTCGGAAACGCCGATCTTGTGGGCTGCGTTGGCTGATGCCAGCAAGGTGAGGAGAGTGCAAAGAGTTGCCATGGTGAGGATTGCAATTGAGTGAGTCAAGGGAGAACAGCTAACAAACAGGTGGACGGTCAAGAGGGCACGAGGATGACAAAAAGCATGTATATTTCAGATGAAGAAATAATCATATACCAGATGCACAACGAAGTTTGGAGTCTTGAGGCAAGCCTGAAAGTCCCAAATGTGTATGGTGAGTATGGCCGCGTCTTAGTCCAGGATGAGCCCACAGAATCAAGAGAGTCCCTCTGTACGAAGAGTGATATGGTCAGAGTTCCATGAGGTCAGCTGCTCTTGCATTCAGTCTGCAATCAGGTTAAGTCCAGACCAAAAAGGACTCGAACTTGCCGAGTCAGCTGAGTTGAGATTGATGATAAAAGCCAGAGGAAAGTCCTTTCAATAGGACTCTAATGTGGTGCCATTGTCATGATTGACGGGAAAGTGTTCTGCAGGTCCCAGACAATAACCCAAGCCCATGGCATGTCGTTGGCCCTGACAGCGCGGCCGTGCAGGATGGCATCGTTTTAACAAATCAAAGCTCATGATGGGAACCCCAATTTTACGCAACCTTGACTGCCAAGACTAACCAATCATTGATAGGGCGATCCATCCCAGCTTCCCCGCCGTCGAAGAGCGTTAACAGTTCATTGTCCCCATCAACCCATATTACATGTTGCGTTGCTTGCAGGACCGCGCCGCGGGCATGCTGGTTTGTTCAAAGTTTAAGTCTCCAAGATGATGCTTCAATATCAACAGTTGCCGATATGCTCCAGCGCTGAAGAAGCTGCCTGCATCCAGGCCAACCTGGCCGTGGGTGAGGAACGAATCATGTAGCACGGATCTTTCGCCTCAAAATTCAGTGTCTTTCAGAGAAAAAGCAGGAGCGCGGCAAGGACGCCATTCTGTAACAGGCTAGTTGCGAGTTTGTTCGGGTGCAGCCTGGACGATGCCTGCCCCCGCGGCGTACCAAATAGTCGGCATAGTTTGGATGGAGATTATCAGACACCGTCGACTGCGCGAAGAGGGTTTCATCATGGCTCACGGCGTCATTTCATAGCTTCGTCCAGGAAGATTCGGGAGAAGTTGGATGATTTCAGAAATGTGTTTGCTTTGCTCTCGCCAATCTTCGGCTGCTCTCTACAGGCATCGCGATTCGGCGCCTGTCTTTGCCGCACGCGCCGGTCGTTCGGATCGGGAAGCACATTCATTGGTGCAATTGCCGCTCTCAGTCCCTTTATGTCTAAGCGCTGCAGGTGATGACTGCCGATGAAGGCAACTGTGTGAGTTTGCCAGTGTCTGTATCTCGATCTGACTGTGGAGAGAGCTGATCCGCATTGCACATTAGCCATATGGGTTTCCTGGTTTCCTATATCAAGGGAAGCGCCCGCGGGTTCTGGTTTCGGCCCAGTGTGCAACCCTTGAAGACAGATCCCATCATCAGCAGCGGTCTTTCTCTTCGTGGGGGATTTTGCTGCAACCAGCAGTCGGTGAGTGGCACAGTTGGTTGACCCCCTGTTAGGATCTTGTGCCATTGGCTTGCACCGTTGAGTTGGTTCCTTTCTTATTTTTCCCGTCTGCCTGGGATCTTCCTTTTTACGAATTTCCTCCTACATCTTGTCCTACGCGACCTACATGCTACAGAAGTTGTTCTGAGGTCTCTACTCCGGCTCCGGGATCATTGGCATCGGATTTGGATGGTTCGGCGACAGCAGTACCACGAATCCCTGATGCTCTGGGCGGCTCAACCATGACGGCCACTGCTCCTGTGACAACGACATGGCAGGCGCCGTCAGGCTGTGCGACTGACGCGATCTACCAGGTCTGGTCAGGAGCCGAGTCCAGTTACATCCAGGGCCCTCTTTACACTCGCGGCTCTCACTGCTTCCCGAGCGGCTATGAACCCTCACCTACCCAGTACTACTCGCCGGCCTGGTGTCCGACCGGCTACACAGCCGCCTGCTCGAGTCTCTCCCCCGTGAGCTTGGGACTGGAGACAGAAACGGCAGTAATATGTTGTCCAACGTATGTTGCCTCACCTAATGTGCCACTCGGTATTAATGATGTGTGCACTGTGGGCTAAGACATGTTTTTTTCGAGTTAGTCAACTCCCTTACGAGTGTCCAACGCCAACTCCTGTTGTGGGAGTTCTGCAGAAACAGCAACCGCATTTAGGTTGCACCACGACATGGGGTGCTTCAGTTGCTGTGTTCATGGCAACAGTCGTCAAGTATGGTAAAATTAGCAGCACTACAGACGTTGCCGAGCTCGGGGGAGGAATCACTGCTTATGGCATTCAGGTTCGCTTCAAAGAAGGCGATCCGACGTTACCTTTACAATTTGCCAACCTTGTGAGTGTTTATATCATCGATTGTTCTTTGCAAGTCAGACTAACGGCTCAAGTTAGAGCACAGCATCAACTTCAAGCTTTACCACTTTAGCTACCCCAACTCACCAGGGCCATACTCAGATCAATGATTCATCGTCTTCGTCAACCGAAACTGTTAGTAAACAGGCCGTGATCGGGATCGCCGTTGGCGCTGCTGTGGGAGCTCTTCTGTTGGCAGCCTTGACTGCTTTAGCCATCATCTTGTACCGGCGCAACAGGAGGGTCAATCTTGAGTCTTCATCGTATGAGTCGTTTCGCCCTCCAGTTCCTCCCAAGAAGCCAATGACTCCATCTATGCCGATTGGTGGCACGCATGGACCGCCATACGAACTCCACGAAGACACTTCTCCCCGCGCTTCTCCCACGATCTACCAACACCACAAGCACATGTCTATGGCGTCCATGGCAAGCATGCTTGCCAATGCTAGCAAGTCTCGCCAACCTGCGCCTGTTGAGCTCGAGGCTGAAGTGCCGAAAGATCGCATCCCAGTATCCCCTGTCTCGCCTGTGTCTCCTCTCACTCCAGCAGGAGACCAGGAATATCCAGAGCCTTCTTCTTCAGCGCACGACAAAGAAAGGTACTCGCCAGCCCCAGGATCGTCTTCACACGAGAATACCTTCTCTTCTACATCACAAACACAACAAGGCAAAGACAAAAATAGGGATTCCTCCACATTGTCACCAATACAACAAGAGAAGCAACCTGCTCTTGCCCCTCCCCGTCCCCCATCAACTTATCGACATTTGTCAACCTATCATCCCATGTCGCCTATCGGGCCATCACCCAGCCCAATATCAGCTCAGGCCCTGACGGGCAGGACGTCTCCAGAAGCCTCGTTACGGTCGCCTGCGTCCGTGAGTAGCTTGTGGCTGGAGCGGACAGGGCGGGTGGATGCTATGCCGTCTTCTCCTTGGATATGATAAAGGAATTTATTTCTCAACTGCAGGTTTGCGGCACGGCATCTGATCTTATTGAGGGCAGCGAGGATGCCTTAAGCAGGGTTCTCGCTTCGGCCCGCGCACGACTCGTAAAACTTCTTATCTCTGAATGCTGGACGGTGAGGGCATGACTTGAGAACAAAAACTATTGAGGCATTGCGCTGTAGTTCTCTATATCTGACTTCTTGGTGAGGTTTGAACCCGACAGGCTAGTCTTGATACCCTCATTCGGAGACTTAAGATGGGGTAATTACCCCCTAAGATTGTATTATTGCGCACGAGTATCACGACTACATATGGGCATATTAACTGACTAGTCCTTTTATATATATATATATATCTGATAACAACCTGTTGTATATAGAGCAAAGCATCATGGCAATCTCCTGGAGAACTGTTTGTTCCGCTCTTAGTTCATTGTGCTTGGCCTTAACTACCTCATTGGATAGAACATGTCTGGCTGCCTTAACGATTTTTACTGATCTAACATTCTGTTTACCCAGGAAAGAATTGATCAGGATGTCATTTATTGCGGGATGCCAGATATGAAAACTTTCAGTGAAAGTGAGGTTTGTGAATGTTGGTGATGCAAGCAAACTGTGATATGTTCACCCCAGATGTGGCTAAAAATGCCCCACATCAACCCTTCAGTCCCCCGCCAGCCTTGCGCTCTAGACCCACACTGGCCTGGTATGCCAAGACTCTGTCTGGCCCCTCCACTCGGCCCCAAAATTTCAGAGCCGGCTACAAACAACGAAAGTCGACATCAATTTCAGTCAGTCGGTTGGCAAGGAACAAGGAAAGGAAAAGTGACGAATTTGTGTCGTCTTATGCTTAGCGACTAATGTCCCTGCTCAATCTTGCCAAACAAGCCCTTCCAGGGACACATTACCCTCGTTGAAGCACCTTCGGAAGTCATTCATCATCACAGCCTTGCCTTGACGACGACAGAACAAGCCAAGCCTACTCCGCAAACAAACTACCCCTTTGGACACAAGCAAAAACTCTGTTGAAATATAACACAACATGTCGGCTGCATCATCACAACACGTCCTTCTCTCCCCCGCAGAGCTCGCCTACCTGCACGCGTCGCTCTCCTTGACGCCGCCAATACGCCCGGACGGCCGGTCGCCGACACAGTTTCGTCCGCTCATCGCCGAGACTGGCATCCTGCCTGGTGCGAACGGCAGCGCGCGCGTGTGTTTTGCTGACGGCACCGAGGCGATTGTGGGGGTCAAGGCTGAGGTTGAGAAGACGGTCTCGCGCAGCAAGGAGGATGAGGAGGTTGGGTTGCTGGTTGCGAGCGCGGGCGACATGGATGTCGATGATGAAGAAGGGTATGCCAAGGTTGGTGCGGATAACAGGACTGGCGAGGCATCTTGGGTTGAAATAACTGTTGAAATTCCCGGAGTTAGAGATGACGACTCGGGGATGGTGTTTTTGGCGCAATTATTAGGGGAGGCGTTGCTGGCAGATGGCGAATTTGTGAAGAAGTTATGGATTAATCGGCGGTACCATTGGAAGTTGTATATTGATGTAAGTCTGTTAATGATGTCTTGGAGTACGGAAGAAACGTTTAACTGACCTGCTCACAGATCCTGCTCATCTCACCACCGCTTTCGTACCCCCTACCCCTACTATCCCTTACAACTCACCTTGCGCTCCTCTCGACCCGTCTACCGCGTTTGAAGTCCGAAGGTGATGAAGACCCGTATTTTGACGACGACTGGGCTGTCGCTCCCTATCTCTTCCCTCGCTCATCATCAGCATCAAAATCTTCCAAATCCTCGCCGACACAACCCACTACTCGTCCTCCTATCACTCTCCTAGTCATGGCTGTCGGCAACAACATACTCTTTGATCCTTCCAAGGAAGAACTAGCCGTCGCCGATGTGGCGCTTGCTGTCTCAGTCACCGCGACCGATGTCGATCCGGACGAGAGCGACGCGCAAAAAGAAACAGCCACGGCCACGGCAGGGCCAGACAGCGCCGACGCCGCGAAGCGCGGCAGGAAACTGCGCCTTCTGTCTATCCGCACGATTGACCCGCCGTCAAGGCTGACCCCGCCGGGTGTGCCTAACTCAACAAATCCAGCAGCTATCTATGGGACGACGAGTAGTAGCGGCACGAATGGAAATGGACAACCGCAGCAAAAAGTTGAGAGCGGGAAGATCTCAGAGCCGATTGAGCCAATTGAGGGCGTTTGGAGGGCTCCGAGAGGAGGTGCGAAGAGACTGGTGCTTGGAGCCTTGGTGCAGAAAGTGCTGGAGAAAGGAGGCGTTGTAGACGAGGTACTAGACGCCCTGGAGGGTGTCGAGCTGACATAAAGCGGTGTATGGGGGTTTGGTTGTCGATATGGTGCTTGTGGAAAGAGATGGGAATTGGTCTCTTTGTGTTGTATTTGTCATGGCATGACTGGCTTTGTTCTATGGCCCCCTTTTCTTCCTAACCTGTCTGCGCCCTGACCCTTCCTTAACAAAACTTCCAAGCCCCTGTCCCATCACAGTGGTATTTTACACTGTTGTAGATGTACATATCCATCTGTCACTATAGAGGGAGACAGACGGGAAAGTAATCAAAAGATACCCAACCACTTCCCCTTGATCTGCTTGACGACTTCCTGCCGCTCCTCCTCGGTCAGCGGCCTTACCTCCGGGTCTTTTCTCCTCTTTGTTTCCTCCTCTTCTTGCAGCCGCTGCTGCTCCTTCTCCTCTGCTGCCTTCCTCTTCTCCTCTTCGATCTCCTCATCTGTCTTGATGCGCGCCATCGGCTGGTTGAACAGGCCAACCTCCTCAGGAAGGCCGTGCGCCTTGCGGTACGCGCGCCGCTTGGCCACATCCTCGACATAGCGTTTGCGCTTCTCAGCGATCTGTGCCGACTTATGTGCCTCGTGCAGCCGCAGTACCTCGACCACCATGTACAAGGAGGTGAGCGGGCGGGCAAGGAAGTCCGAAGTTGAGGGCAGCATGTCGGCGAAGGGTGAATTCTTTTGGAAGTCGAGGACGAGGGTCCAAATGGTGAGGACTGTGAGGGTTCCCTGCATAGCAGTTAGAATGTTATTCCAATACAAAATGAAGGCCACGTAAATTTTAGACATACAAGAGTGATGCTGACATGGATCCAGCGGCTATGGATGAACTTGTATGCTTTGGACCCCGGCGGTGGCGGCAGCCCCGGGTAGTGCTTCTCTTCCTGGGCCTTCTTCTCCTCAGCACTAAGGTCGCCGCCATAGACACGAGGGGCATTTTTCCTCGGTAACGCTGATGGATGTGAAGGAGGTGTGAAGCGCTCTGGCTTTGCGAGCAGGCGTTGACCTTGGGCATTGGTCGCAGGCTTGCTGTTGCTACTAGATAGCCGGATGATAACGGGAGTCAAGGGAGTTAACTGCGATGTCCAAGTGGTTGGCACCCTAACGAAAATCTGGCGCCGCCATATTGAGCCTGTTTGTGGGAGCAGGAACCGCGGGATTGTCGCCGTCGCGGAGGACATGGCTGAAGGGAAAGGGCTGTTTTATATCACTCGGGTCTGGCGGAACGGGCAATTGAGGGCTGGGAAGCTCTTGGATGTCCTCCTATTTCTGTTTTTTTTTCTTTTTCAGATTAAGACGATACAGCGTCAATTCGAGAGACGGGAGAGCTTATGGTCGCCGAGTGACATGACTAACGCCGAGCTTGATTGTCAACTTCCCTTGCCATACTTCTCAGCAAAATGGAGCATAGCGCGCTTGGCCAGTGCTGTCGCTGACTTGGTGGGGTCATCCGCCCAGCCCACCGCAGCCGCGCATGGAAGGCTGAAGTTTTGATCTGTCAGCTCCTCGCCTTATGTGGCTGGAGGATGAGGTGGTGCAGTGAGGCTTGACAGAGCCAGCCAGGCGGTCAAGAATACGGGAATCCTGGAACGGAGAGACCGGATCGCGGAGAGACCCTGCCGGACGATCCCGAGTTTGCCCGCCGTGAATGACTAACTGGCCGCCTGTTATTGGTCAATGCTTCTACATAGCGGGTCCAAACCCCAAGCCCACAGTGGCTCCTTTGGGGAAGACAAGGGCTTGGCGCGGCGTCATGCTGGAGTGAAATTGCTGGATGGAAGTGGATGCCAAAAATTTCCGGCCAATGCCTGCGGGCGCAAATCGCAGAGCGGGCTGAGCGGAGGGCAGCGGCCAACAAACATCTGCGCGACGTGGTCCCGAATTTTTTCTCGACTCTTCTTCCTTCTCCCTTCTCTTCCATAAACACTCGGCCACGATTTCCTAGCCGTTTTTGTTATCTCTCCGCCAATCCGCCTTCCTCAACACACCTTTCTCTTTCTTAATAACCTATAACCGTCAAGATGGGCTTCAGCCAGGGTGAGTACTGCCACCCTTAGCGAGTGTGCGCTCGACCTCCGTCCGGACTGCTGCGCGACCCTGCCGCAGCCGCCTAGCCAATTGGTCTTGCATGTGCCCTCAATATACATTGGCAGTCCTGGCAGGCGACAACCGTCGAGCTTGGAACGTTCAGACATAGTTCGGTGTCTGTTACCTGCCAAAGATCCCGCGCCCCTCGTCGTTGCACAAGCACGTGCGTCATTTTCACCCTTAGGACGCAGAGATGGATGGCGTACGGTAAGGCACATAGCATGGCTCGGCAGGCCGCAGAACGGATCGAGAGGTATCGAACGCTAGACGGGACGCATCAAGAACTTATCTGTTCCGGTGCAGAATAAATTGCTGACGGCGCAATAACACAGGCGACGCTAAGAAGGGTGCCAACCTCTTCAAGACCCGCTGCGCTCAGTGCCACACCGTTGAGGCTGGCGGCGGCAACAAGACTGGCCCTGCTCTTCATGGCCTCTTCGGCCGCAAGAGCGGTGCTGTTGAGGGCTACGCCTACACCGATGCCAACAAGCAAAAGGGTGTCGTTTGGGATGAGAACTCCTTGGTGCGTCTAACCCCCAAGTTATCCTGATATCCAGTCATACAAAGTGAGCTTTAGCTGATTCCCTGCAGTTCGAGTACCTTGAGAACCCCAAGAAGTACATTCCTGGCACCAAGATGGCCTTCGGTGGTCTGAAGAAGGAGAAGGACAGGAACGACCTTATCACGTACGTTGCCCCGATGGTCGGTCGATCTCTGACGATGCACGTGCTGACCTCTCCACAGCTACCTCAAGGAGGCTACTGCTTAAACTGCGGCGTAATTCGGAGTTTGGGTGTCTGTTGTATTATTACTAATAGAAAATGGCCCCGGGGTAGGGCGGAGTTCCTTGATGCGTCCTGTTCACCACCCTACCATTGTTTTGCATTAGACGGGGAAGCCGAATGTTGTAAAGGGCTTCAAGCACATCACGCATACCACGACAAACACCTGTACTACTGTACCATAGACGCGGATTTCACTAGACGAGATGAGAGGACGTGCCTGGCGACCTATGAAATGATTCCCGACTCCTTTTGAGATTAAAGCTACGCTTCCTAGTGCCTGGGGTATGTTGTCTTCCTAACCGGTCTATATGCGAGAGAAAAAGGCCCAAATATGACCGTCTCTAAAACCCGCTATGCATGTACTTTTCCGGATCCTTGACACTCGGCTTGACCTCGTTAAGCGCCTTCTCCCAGTCCTCCATTGTAATGACCGGCTCGATCTCTTCCTCCTCTGCAACGCTGCCGCCCTCCTTGCGCTTCTGCTGTCTCTGCGTATACACTCTCTCCAAGCAGGCCTGAGCCGCCGCCTGCATTAAGTTACCTAGATCAGCGCCGGAGAAGCCAGTGCAGCGCAGATCCAAGGCCACCTTCTCCAGGTCGGCATCCGTGGTCCCTTGGTGCTGTTGCTCAGCGGCAGCATCGGTCATATCCACATCCTCTCCGTTTGTGCCCTCCCTCTTTTTGGGTGCCTTGACCGTATTGCGGTACAAGGTCTTCAGAATCTTCACCCTGTCCTCGGCTGATGGGAGGCCAACATAGATCGACGTGCCCAACCGACCAGGGCGACGAATAGCCTCGTCGATCATGTCTGGCCTGTTTGTCGCGCCAATGACGTAGATACCGCTACGATCACCCACACCATCTAGCTCCGTAAGCAGCGTGTTAACCACGCGTGCGCTCGCATCCGAGAGCGAGTCATCACGCCGCGGCACCAGCGCATCCATCTCATCGAAGAAGAGGATACACGGGGCAGAAGACTTGGCGCGCGAGAAGAGTTGGCGCACAGCCCGCTCCGACTCGCCCACGTACTTGTTGAGAAGCTCGGGGCCTTTGATGGAAATAAAGTTGGCCTTAGACTCGTTGGCGACCGCCTTGGCTACGAGGGTTTTGCCGCAGCCGGGGGGGCCCCACAGGAGGATACCCGCTGCCGGCTTAATGCCGACGCGGGTGAAGAGTTCTGGATTTTTGATGGGGCCGATGATTGACATCTCGAGCTTCTTGCGCACATCCTCCAGCGCGCCGACGTGCGACCAGGTCGTGTCGGGGATTGTGCTGAAGCCCTCGCGCTTGGAGGCCGGCTGAACCAGGGAGACAGCCTTGCGGAACTGCTCCATGGTAATCTTGGTCGAGGGCCATGAGACCTCTTCGTCGCGGTGAGCCTCGAGCAGGAGCCAGTCGCGCTGGGGCTGAGAAACATTGGCCAAGTGGTCGGCTGGGTGCTTAGCACGCGCTTGGGCAAGAAGCGAGTCGATGTTGGCTTGGAAGGATTCCGAGACTGCAGCTTTGACTACATACTGCAGATCGCTGCCGACATAGCCCGGAGTCATCTTCGCCAGCTCCTTGAAGTTGATGTCGTCGGCGAGCGACAGATCGCGAGTAAGGGAACGCAAAATCTGCTCACGAGCACGTTCGCTCGGCATGCCCATGTCAATCTCGACGCTAAAGCGGCGACGGATAGCCGGGTCTAGGAATTCCGGACGGTTGGTGGCAGCGAGGACAACCACGTTCTTCCCCAGTGGCGTGTTCTGCCGGATGCGGTCCATGCCATTCATGATCTCGGCGACGATACGACTCTCCATGCCCTTGTTGGCGCTCTCGCGACGGCCGGCAATGGCGTCGATCTCGTCCAGGAAGATCAGGCAAGGGGCGAGTCTGATGGCTTCGTCGAACACATCGCGGATGTTCTTCTCCGACTCGCCTGACGTCCCACCGATAACGCTCGGGGCTGACACTGGAATGAAGGCCACGCCGATGCTGCCCGCAATCGCGTGTGCCAGAGTCGTCTTGCCGCAGCCCGAAGGACCATGCAGCAACACGCCATTGTCGTAGCGGTAGCCCATCTTCTCGCAAGCCTCTCCACCGCGTAACGGGAACCACACCTCCTTCAGCAGCCGTTGCAGCGTGTCATCCACACCAGCAATGTCCAAGATGGACACCTTAGTCGGTGGCGTCCGGTCGATCTCCTTCGGCGCCGCCTTGCGCTTCTTCGGCCGCGGCTCGCCGTTGGGCTGTCTGTCGGTGCTGCTGGCAGGAAGGACTGGCCCTGTAGAAGTGGTGGGGGTATCAGCAGCCATGTTTTCTGCCACAGCTGGAGTGGCAGGAGCAGGTGTCGCAATCGAGCCGGTGTCGGTGCCCTTCTCCCCGTCGGCCGCCTTGGCCCCCGGTGATGAAGCAAACCCCCACGATTTCGCAATCTGGCGGTTCAGCAGATTAGCGTCGCGCTGTGCCTGCGCAGCTTTCTGGCGCTCGCGCTCGCGCTCCTGAGCCTCGATCAGGTCGTCTGAGTCGGTTTCTTCTTCGGCTTTGGCCTGTTCCTTGCGGACGGCCAGCACCCGCTCGATGGAGTCCTCCAGCATGCGCTTCTTCTGGCGCGCGAGGCTTGAGTTCGAGCGCTTGATCGTGTCGTAGACATAGTCAACAGTCAGGCGCGGGCGTTTTCCGTTTTCGTCTGTCCCCTGTTGCTCGAGGTTGAGCACGATGTTGTACACATCGCGGTCGAGTCCCAGCCGGAGTGTGGGACGCCGCGACATGACTATGGGAGAGTGGGGGAAGCAAGGAAAAATAAAGAGGGAAAAATGAAACTGGGTATACGCCCTATTAGCTCCTCAGGGTATCATGGAGCTTACATCAAAACGGCATTGCATGGAGTGAAATTGTAGCTCACATTCCACGCTTAATGCATCTCTTCATTGTTGATTTGCTCCGGATGGGAAGAAAAAAACTGCTTGTGAAATCGACAGGGTGCCACAAAGGCAGACAGTGCGCGACCAGCAATATTCAACTCAACACTGTAATCGGCACTGTGTAGCTCCATTAACACTAGTACTGGGCCCTGATACAATTTTGAACAAAAATAAACAACTTCCAGGCGCATTATCTCATCATCTCGATTCCCGAACAACAGGAGTTTGTCGAAATGTCTTAGATCAATTGCCATATTGTTTATACGTATTCTGATACGTAGTAATACACTAGATACTCTAGCCAAATGCATGTCCACTTCCATCGTATATGCAGTCGTCCGCCCCAATGCCAAATGCCCGCCCAATGACATGTCTCCCATCGCCGCCGCCTCTAGCATTTTTATACATGTTATCCAAATGTCTCATACATGAAGAGTACATGCTAGACAGGGGATATATCAATACAATCCCTGAGGTATGTGTCTCTTTTTTTTTTTTTTGTTGAAAACAAGAGAGTTAAAATCGTAGGATAACATAGCGTGGGCCGTAAATAGAATGGTACAAAACAAGCCTGTCGGACTCATGGTTCCTCCATAGCTTTGATTCGTTTCTTGAGAAACTCGAATGAAGAGAAGAAAATGGCGTTGACAGCGCACGAGCGGCCCATAGACACGCCCAAACCGCGGTACATGTTTCTCTGGAAGAACCGGATCTTAACCGGTTCGACCTTTTGGCCCTTGGAGTACATGAGTGAGTTGCGCTGGTAGATGCTCTTGGCCGAGTCCACAGGGTCTGTTTGACGTTAGTCGAGCTGCTACTATACCGTACAAAAAGGACAGGGGAACAGCATACAGATCAAGGCCCAAGAGACGATACCACACAATCCACCAGCAACAAGAACTGCTAAGGGATTGGAGTGGGTGCCATCGCCGCCAAATGTGGTCAGCAGCTGTTTGCTGCTTTCGTACGTCATAAAGTATGTGGCTGTTCCGAGAGTGTCCCGCACTGAACAACAGTCAACATAAGAACCTGAAATTTGCTGCAGAAGAAAAGCCTTACTCAAATGCAAGCTAAACCCGGTATACAGGCCGCCAAATCCGCGGTGTTTGATAATGTTACCGAGAGTCTGGAAAGTGCCCTTGTTCTGATAGCTGGCCGCGATCGCATGGCTCTCAGGCCGGGGGCAATTCTTCTTGTCTGCCATCAACACTGAGACCTGGGCGCTCAGCTTGGTGAGTTCAAAAGGACCTGAAGAGGATCATGTTAGTCTAGTAAATGCCAAATCAACCGCAAATCAAGTAACTTACAAGCAATGACGGTAATACACGACCCGGCCGTCGCGCCAGCCGCACCAAACGTGGCGACAGACCAAAAGTTGGGATATGACCCTTGCGAGCTAACATGGCCTAACACATCAACGCCAAAGTTGCGCTCGACCCATTCGCAATAAGCAAGCTTCGCCCGTTGGTAAATCGAGAACGAAACAGTCCGCACAAGCGTGATGCTCGCCATTGGTGCCGTGACTCCTAGATCACGAACAGACAACTATGTCAGCCGATCCCTTCCCAGACTCTCGTAGAACAAAGACGATCAACACACGGTCTGCCAAGCTTGGACAAGTCATGTCAAGCCCATACCTCTAAAGAACCCCCTGAGATGCTCCCTCTGATAAGTATGCCGCACGCAGTCGAGGAATCCTGCGTATCGGTAGGTCTGCATACGCGTTTTAACACTGTCAAGGGGGAAGGTGGTCAGCGTTGAGAGCACGCTAGACGCCGACGCAGCGACCTCGATGCGGTACTGTTTTACCAGTCGCTGGAAGCTCGTTAGTCCATTGCCCGTAGAAGCAGTGCCAACTGCCGCGGAAGGGATGGCCGGTGTAGTGGTCGCGGTGCTACTGCTAGCCTTCAAGGCAGCTGCAGCCGCCGCAGCCGTTGCCAACCGCGGGTCGGGACATAGGTCTTCATCAGGCAGGCCGTTGCGCTGATTCAGGTTGCCGGGCCTCTGTTGCTGCTGAGCCGTTTGTGAAGAATACGGTGTGGGCATCGCGGAAAGTAAGTGTGTGTGCTGCAGGCAGTGGACTGGGGCATTTTGTAGCAACGGACCCCTGCTCCTGCTGTCGTTGCTGTCAGGAGTTGGGAGACTGGCGTAGGGGTGGCGGCGAGGGCTGTCGTTTGTGTTGTTCGTCGACGTGGTAGCAGTTGTGGCAGTTGAAGAAGTGGCAGTTGGAAACTCAGCAGCAGTCATTTCATATGCGACCGTCCCGACTCTTATAGACCCTCAAGACACGGTCCTTCACTGACGCGATCGTTTCAGTTGTGGCTTGGCTTTTCTGCTTTTCGTGTTTTCGTCTCAAGTGTTGTTGCATCTCAGGGCCGGCAAGTATACAACCTCCGACGTCCGCCTCCCACTCAAGCAGCCGTCAGCTCCCCCAGACGGTGACCCGGCAATCGGACAGGAGCCGAGACCCCAATCTTCAGCAACACCGCGGCAAGGGAGCCCTATTTAGCAGTGATGAGGATGCGTATGCTCCTTAAACTGCCAGTCACATGCACGGAGCCGAGCGCTTCTCTTATGATGATGACGTCCTTCGGCTCAGGCTGGCGCTCGTCTGCTGCGGGAAGCACAGGTTACTGAGGAGGGAGGGTCGGAGATCGAGGAAGAGCGCAGAGGCTGTCGAGTAAATTGCCCTTTCAGTCGAGACTTAGGCCCTAGCCGAAAGCTATTAGAGAGCTAAAGGAGGTCGAGTATCGACGTCAATTGGCTAGCTCACGGCGGGGAAGTCGCGTCGAGTGGTTCGTGCGACAGCGCAGCGCAGAGGAGGATACTCGGGGGATGCGCGACAAGTGGCAAATGGGTTGTGGTCGGCAAGGCAAAGGTCGTTGAAAGTAGATTTGGCAGTGCTTGGAGGGGTGCGAGTGCAGCTCAATTGCGGGGTTGCAGCTGCAGCACGAAGATGCTTGTCACGACGGGATGGAGTGCTTGGGCGGTGGTGGTTTTGGTCAAAAGCTCTTGCCGGGGCAGCGATCTGCTTGGACGCCGAACAGATGCCGCAGTGGGAGGATCTCCACCACAGTCACAGGACGCAGCGGTCCACGCTCGGCCCTGACGACTCAGCGCCCGAAATCGAGCTGCGGGGCCGACCTCGGCGTCGGGAGGGCAGTGCTGGGCCTGGACAGCGGCAAGAGTCGCGGCTCACAGGCTACAGGAGCACTAAGTTGGGCAGAGATTCAAATGTGAAAGATCGAACAATCGAGAACTCAGCGTCACTGCAAATCTTTTTTGCATCCCAGCTTCCCAATGATAACGGATCGTACCGTGGCAATGTACTGGGGAGCTGCCACCACCAACGTCATTGCTGCAGCATCGCCTGCCCAATCGAGGCACCCCTGCAGCTCCCGCTCGTTTACCGATCAAAAGCTGCGTCTCGTTTGTTGCATTTACCCTCCATGTCACAGCCGCCAAAAGCCCCGCCGTAGGTCGAGTTTCATTGATTAATCTGTATATGTGGCATATGTAGTACATGGTCAGATTTCTGTGTCGAATCTGGCTTATAAGTATCCAAACCGCTGCCTTTGCCCGACTTGCCCCCTAATATGTGCTGATGATATCAGGATGCAGTCTCCCGGGTGGGCACACTCATGACTTTTTCCTGCGCCAGACCAACGAAGATCATGAATGCTCCACTCGGAGGGCTGCATCGCTCTGTCGGTTCCAACGCCAGCTCCGACTCGACTCGTTCATTCAATACCCGTCGGCTTTCAACAACCGGTACTTGGGACCAAAGAGATCCATTGGATGGTGATCGGAAAAGTGAGGTAGGATGTTTTGAACCCCTCTGAGTTCCTTCAGTGCCATCTTCCATTCCAACTCCTCTTGCACCAATCAAAAACCATCATACCGGTAGCCATGTTCTCGTGAAGTAATTTGTTATCGCCCACATTTTGCTGACTGCGCACCCTCTCGGCACCGGCCGGCACGCTCCCGGGGGTGCGGAAGCAACCTTAAAAAGACACGATGCGGGAGGTGTGTGTGGGGCAAGCAATCGGCACCGGGGCTGGACATGAGCACACTACGCGCAGGAGGCTCTCACAGAGCCCAGAGAGACAAAACCTCACTGGCGCTGCTTGTCATCTCAGACACAGATGCATCGTGTCATTGAGCATGGCAATGGTTCGCTCATAGTGCTCGTACTCCGTCCCACTGATGACATCGTCCCTTTCCCCCCGAGTCACATCAGCTCTCAATTCAAGCTCCCTCGCCCCAGCAGAAATTTAGCCGAACTTACCTTCCCTTCGCTCCCTTCATCTTCTCCTCCTGTTTAGCTTTCATCTCCTGCTGCTTGAGCACCGACTTCCATGTGGGCGTCCGCGTGGGGCTAAACCGCTCCCAATGCACGCGACACAGGTTCTTGAGGATTCGGTGCTCAATCCCGCGCTGCTGCGCTGCGGCGTTGAAAAACCAAATAGTACGCCGAATGCGCTCTGGCTCAAACTTGCCGTTGGGATCACGAAATCCTGCGCGCAACTGCTGTGTCAACGACCATCGCGACGGTTGCGAAAACTGCACCGCCCGAAGCCCGGCGCGTAAGAGCTTTCGGTAGGCATGAATGAGCTCAAGCTTGTCTGGCATTGCTGTTGTGAGATTGGGGGATAGCGTCAAGGTGTGAACGATGGCGATGGCTGTGCGATCTGAGTTGGCCCTGCCGATGGGAGGGGCAGAAAAAGTGGGTGAGTGGGTGCACGGACCACATGGGTCCAACGGCATCAAGATCGCAAGTTTGTTTATTGTACTCCTCAGCCCCCGAACAAGTTGCATTGAAGCCATATGTGCTGGGCTTGATGAGCTTTAAAGAAAGCAGATGCTTGCCCCAGATCTCTGGCTGAAGATCCTAAAAAGCCCTCTTGTCCTATTATGGCCGCTTAGGCAGAGATTTACAGCACTCTTCAGGGGCAAGAGATCTCACTAAGTATATATAATTCCTAGGTATTCAGAACCTGTTTATCGTAGGATATCATTCATTTTTATTCATCTCATTCTTCTTCTTGCCCAAGTCTCGTATATCGCCTGCCGGTCCTCGAAGCGTTCGAGCTTCCACGGCTGATCACCCTGGCAACCAGACCTTTGAAGACGCTTCTCCTACCACCACCAGAATGACTAGCTGAATACTTGCTGTCGTCATTGCCATGACTAAGGCCGATGCCGTCTGAGGAGCCAGGACGCAAAAGAGCGTCGGATTCGCCAGAGCTTTGGGTGCGATTTTCGTCTCCAAAGAGGGCGTCCATCTCCTCGAGACGGACACCGCGGGTCTCGGGGTAAAGGAAATAGACAACAACCAGACTGACGATGCAAGAAAAGGCGTGGATCAAATACAGCCTCCATGTGATCCAGTCCTGCAAAATTGGCGTCATCTGGCCCACAAGCCAATTACATGCCCAGTTGGTTGCTGTCGATAGGCTAGCACCCTTGGAACGTATCTTCAGGGGCAGGATTTCAGGGGGGTAGAGCCAAGGGACCGGGCCCCATGAGTAACCGAATGCGGCATTATAGATTACGACAAGAAGGACAACGATTTTTGGTGTCGACGAGATGTTGAGGTGCATGAAGTACGAGATGAGTACTAAGGCTATGGCCATAGCGACGGCTCCGGATAGCAAAATCGGCCGCCGCCCCCATCGGTCTACTATGTACCATGGCGGGATTGTCGACAGGAAGTAAGTGATGCCGTTGATACCTGTCATGAGGATAGCGTCATGACCACGCCAACCAGCTTGCTCAAATACAAGCGGGGCGTAATAGGAGATAACATTGATCCCGTTGAACTGGGCGAGCGCCTGAGCTGACATGGCGATAAAAACACGCTTCCCATAGCGTCTGAACATGTCGCGATATGTTCGTTCGCCTTCCTGCCTTTGAAGGAGGACGTCGAGCTTGATCTCACGAAACTCATCTCGCGCACGAGGGTTGTGGATATCTCCTCCACCGTATAGGTTGGCAATCACCACCATACCCTCCTCGTCATGGTCGTTATCCAAAAGCCATCTGTCGCAATGTTAGACTCAACGTTAACTTCCTCGATCTGATACTCAACAGCGTACCTGGGGGATTCTACGATGATCAGGCTGCCTGCAGCGAGTAGGGCACCCATGATGCATTGCATGAACAAAGGTAACCGCCACGACAAGTTGCCCTTGATAAACCAGCAGAAGTAGTCCACCCAAACCGAAGTTGTGTACCCAATGATGTTCCCAGAAAACTCGATGCATGCGAGATGACCACGGTTATGAGGTGGCGAGATCTCCGACTGGTAAACTGGAACGATTGTTGACAGCATGCCAACACCAACACCAGCAAGGACTCGGCCAATCATCATCATACCCATGGAGTGGGCAAATGTCTGCAAAACACCTCCAACAAAAAATATGCATGACCCGTACAGAATGGTCTTTCGGCGTCCAATGATATCACCGATTCTCCCAACCAGGAGAGAGGATATGAGAGCACCAATTTCGAGGATGGCAACCATGGTTGCGATTTCGGCTGATGTGGGATCATGGAAGTACTCCTTGAAGTACTCCCCTCTGCGCACTGGTCAGTAACCATACCTGTAGGCACAACAGGAACAGACTAACGTAATAATTCCCGACATAACACCCTGGTCATATCCAAAGAGGAAGACCCCTAACGAAACAAAAATAGAGGTGAAATATCTGTGATCAACATCAGCATGTTGAAGGAAACAAGGATCAACGGGCTTGACCAACAGCAAAGGCTTGCCTGTCAAGCCATGAATTCCCTTAGAGCGCCCCATCATGAAAGCAGCGAGCAGACGCTCAGCCCAGGGCACCTCGCGATGCGCAACGGTAGGTATCCGGATCCTATCTTTGCGAAGACTGGCGCGGTCTTGCGACGAGGACCGACTACCTGAAGATGGCGATGATGACCTCGAACGGGCTCGATTATGCTGGCGCTTCAGCACACCAACCAGGATCTGGTCGCTGAGAGCTCCCTGTTCTTCTAGGTGTTTGCGCACTGGATCGTCGTCATCGGCGTGCTGGTCTCCAATGTCACCGGTGTCTGTCCAGCTTCCAAGAGAGCTAAGATCGTCGTCGTCAGGTTGTTGCTGGTGGTAGCTGTATTGGTACTGCTGTTGCTGGCTGTACTGCCGGGAGTATTCGCCCTGGAGGGGAATTGTCCGCAGCGGGATATTGGAGGGAAGACGACGGGGATCCTGTGAGGTGGAAATCTTGGGAAATATAGGGCTGATTTGCAGCAGCCCTCGACCGCGTGAGAAAGTGCAGGTTCAAAGTGTCCACGTGGGACCCGGGAAGGAGGGTGTTTGTGGCGGGGTTCCGGGGCTGTTGGATGGTTATGACCGGATCTGCGGCAGAGAGGGTCATCGGTCGGGAAGAGGCAAATGCCAGAAGAACTGTGAGAAAGGTCGGTGTCCGGGCCTGAGACTCCGTGGCAAAGAAAAGAGCGAAAGGATGGAGTTCTTCCAAGAATCAAAAGTTGGTTTGAACAGGTCCGGAAGGTCCGGCAGCCGTTGCTTCCGACAGACACGGCGGCGCCAAGCCCGCGAAAAAGCCCAAACGGTCAAGATCCCTGCGCCCCTCCACAATGTTGCCAAGATGAGCGCCGTTTCTCTCCACTTCCCCCCACTGCGATGATGCAAGTCTCTGCAACCGGCCAGACTAGGTTTCGACGAAGAAGGCACAAACCTTCTCGTTCGCAATCTGACATGCCAGATTGCAAACCAACTTGCCGGTTGTTCAGAAAAGTCCATATCTCTAACACATTGCACAAGGTGGAACGAACGATTTGGGCTTACATCAGGTGAAACATCCGGATGAGGGACAGGTTAATGAGGGGCCATCGGGCCAGGGGCGCCGACCTCGTCACGGTCAGACGCCCAATTAGCCTGGAGCTGAAACAATGAAACATTCGAGTCCTCAACCCTCAACAGCTTCACCTCAATTCGCCTCAGCTTTGACAGGTGGCGGCAACGATTTTATGGGAACATCCTGGAACTGTTCTAGTCGAGATCGCATAGATCACATATCCCAATGTAACCTCTACATGACGAGTGATGGTATCGGTCTTTCAAAGGGGCAATGTTTCGAAGCCAAGAAGCTTGAGCACTGTCAAGCAATGGGTAAGTTGTGCATTTTTATGAACTTGGCAGTATGGACCATCAATCACAACAGAGGGTCAATTCATTGGTCCTCGATTGGATCTAGGATCAGGACATTTGTGCTGTTCTCACCTCTGCGACCCAGCCCAACAACAGGTGGCCGTTGTGTCAAGAGCATGGTCGAAGGCTTGAAACGCTAATCACTCAACTGCCAATGATGGCATCTGGCCTACAAAACTGGGAACAACGGGTCAAATAACAGCGATTGCTGAAGTCAACCATACACCAATCCCCATGCTTGCTGAAAGACAATAAAATACCGCCCCCCCACATTTCAATGGCTAAACTTCCGAAGAGTACATATACCAGGACTTCTCAAGGTTTCACTGACGAGAGTTCGAACACTATAAAGTTCAACATTACTGCGGGTATCTCCATCAGTGGCTTTGTACCGCATGCAAGTGCTAACAGATATATCCCCCTGAAACAACATCCCTAAGATGAAGCGCCAGCTACGAGATGCTGACCTACCAGGTTAGCAGCAAAAAGTCTGTGCTTCCGCACCTATCCGGGGATTTGCTGCCATTTGGGAATTCCCAGTCAGCTATTCTTGAATCAACCGAGACTGTACGGGCACTGTTGCACCCAACTCACAGCAAAAGTCATTGCCTGAGAGTAAGGCCTGCTGCTCCTTCCAGAAAAATATGGCGCTTCCAGTCTCAAACACTTCGCAGAGAGTTCTTTGGGTGCTTGAACCGTGAAGTTGCTCATGGTCTAAATCGCAATCTCGGAGTCAGCCCTCGGGACATAGCAGGCATGATGCGGAAGAGAACCGCTTTCCCCCATTCTTGCCCGTATTGCCTGCATGAAGCACAGGCCAGCCCTGCCATGTTCCGGCCAACCAGTGCAATAATGTGATGGCTCTCAGATGAGTCTTGGCCTTGCGTGAACAGGTCTCACAGTCCGTAAGCATTTGCGATGAAGTAGGTACTTATGTGTCATTGTTGGGTGCACAGGCGGCGATTGTCCAGCTCATCATGCATTATTGGCAGCTAGCTCGCAGGTCCAATACTCTCTCTAGAATTTGGCCATTATCATGGCTATTGGCGTGACCCCACGCAGGAGAAACTGGTTAGGCTCCAGCACAACGCTGCCAACTGTACTTGTATAGTTGTGTGCGTTGTCCACGTTTTGACCTGTACTGTGTATGCCTTTTTTAAGGTAGTAAGTGCGTCATCGCGACCTGACGCAGCCCCCGCCGCATCCATCAGTTAGTACCGATCATGTCGTCAGCATCTTGAGTTGACACTGCCAACATCATGCGCCACATCAACAGATAGAGCACGCATTTCAAACAGCTTGTAGCTTATCACAGGGTCCTTCGCAGTCCACACGAACACATGTGATCTCAGATCTGCCGCGTCTGATGCCTCACAACGCACCTTCTGGCGCTCGAATTGATGGAGAAGAAGCTTCCATCTTTCAAGGCATATTTCCGTCGGCCCAGATACAATGGAAGAACCGGCCCGTCGAATGGTCTCACTCTCATTTCGCAGAGGGGCTGGGTCAGTACTGGTTCCTGGACAGGCAAGTCTATCCAGGAGCGAGCCAATCATAGCCTGCAGAGTGCTGGGTGGATCCCCTTCCATGTGCCATCGGGCCCCATCCACCAAACGGGGCGCGCCATCTTGTGTTCCTGTCGCAAGGAAACCTGGTGGCTCGATCGGTGGGCGCTCCCCAGCCTGCGGCGGGAGCAGGGGCATTAAGTTTTATATTGCGGGGACCAGCCATTGACAATCCCGGTTGGAGACTGTGCCCGCTTTTCCAACCCCCCAACACCACGAGATTCTGACCGCCGCGCATCGATTTTCCTTCCCGCTTCCCACAGTCCAATCCCAACTCTCTTCGACATCGATTTTGCCGCGCTCAACCTGAGCGACTGTGCACGAGTTGATCGAGAAGCAAAATTGGGCGCTCTCAAAAGAGAAGGTCAGCTGCGTGGTGCATGGGGTTCTGAGAAGAGTCTGGAAGCTTTGGAGACACGATTATTGTCCGGCGCGCAGTCGATCAATTTCTCCACCCTCACCGATCACCAGTGATCCCAGTTAACAGCACTTGCGCAGAGCGCAGAGCGCAGGGTGTTGGGACGTTGTGAAGGTCACCAACTGAGATATAGACACACAGCAACTGCATTGTTTTGAAGCGCGACAGTTGGCGACGCCAGTGAGGTCGACGGTGTTGACCTAAGTTACACGCGCTGAAAATTTCTTCGGTTGCAACCTGATTGCGTCCTCTAACTGAAGCGCCAACTGATCTCCAAGCTTCAAACTCCACAGTGGACAATGGGTTCAACAAAGTTTGGAAACTTTGATGTGAGCACACAGTTCACTAGCTTGAAGGAAAGCCAAACACGTCTTTGCTGACATATTCGACGATAGATCCTCTGCAGGGATACCACCCTCCCCATCTGCAATGTGAGTGAATGCAGCCAGTGAACTCGTGCATCCAAGATGGTCGGCTCTAACAAGTATGCTCGACAGCTCATCTCTCCCTTCCATAACCAGACAGGTCCCTGGGATGGCTGCTCACTGAAGGGTATCCCGCTCTCTGGCGGGAGGCATTTGGGCAACTTGGGTACCATCTTGCTTTGTGGCGCTGCAATTGCTACCACAATCAAGCTGCTGGTACGCTCAGAAAGGAAGAGGGCAGCTGTTGGGAGGAGGTGAGTGATCAACTAGCATTCATTAGGTGTTGTGGCCATGCGATTGACGTGACGGACAGAGAAATGCAACTGTTCCTCCTCGGGTACCTGCTGATCTCGATATGTGAGATTTTCTCAGTGGGCGACTTCCCACTGAACAGCAAAGTGCGGATGGTAAGTTGTCTTATGCAAGTTCATGATTGAGGTTGTAAACTCACACCATTGAAGGCCTTTAGTGCCATTCACATTGGTGCCATTGCAGCAACAACGTGGATCCTCTTCATTAATGCAGTCATTGGCTACCAATTAATGGATGATGGTACACCCCTGTCTGTCTTCCTGACTGGCGGTTCTGGTCTGGTGTTCCTGATCGGCGTCGGCTACATTGCACTTGATACCGGCTTCCAGTTCACCGACTTCTGGAATGACAGCTACAACTCACCCAACCGGCACATTGCGCTCTACGTGCTCTACCTGATTGTACCTCTCCTCTGGATCGTCCTCTATGTCGTGCTCGAGTCGTACCTCGTGCTCAAGATCCTGGGTGAGATCAGGCCGATGTTCTTCCTGCTCGGCTCAGCTTTCTTTTTTGCCGCTGGCCAGGTTTTCAACTTCGCAGTCAGCAGTCACATCTGTGAGGGCACATCGGGTAGAATCGACGGCTCGCTCTTTCAGACCTTCTTCACCCTTTTGTCGGTGGTTGCGGTATGGCTCTTCTGGTCAGAAATCACCGAGGACGACTGGCAAGACAACATCACACCTTATCCCTGAGTCACGATAATGACCAACCAAGATACCCGCGCTCGAGCGCATATATATCATCGGAGTTCATGGGTTGGATTGCTTCACACTGTTTTTTTCCTCGTTGGCTTTCATGACGCTCTCTTTTGTGATACCTTTTGGACGGCGGTTTTTTTCTCTCACGGTGGCTTGTCAATGTCTATTGCAAACTCAGTAAAACATAACAGATCTAAGTGATTTCTGCTATACAACTTGATGTCTAATATTATGATGCTATGGAACAATCGAACACAAAGCAGGTTGAGATGAGTGGTGAGCAAGTGAGTTTTGTGATTCGGGATGGGGTGAAAGCACTGTGAACAAGGGCATCTGCGCTGATTTGGGAAAGATATGCGTTGGAATCTGATAAGTACGAGCGCATGCCTACGTGGGCTTATCCTTGCTTTTAGGCAGAACAGTTGCTAGTCTGCTTCTTCAAGGCTAGCTTGGTCTGAGGGTGAATGGTGGCACATATATATATATATATATATATATATATATATTTAGACATATATACCCTGAGATCATGAGCCATGACGTACCTAATGTGGACGTCTTGTATTGGGGAGTTGGTTTTAATGATACTGTCATGGCAATGCTAGGTAATGGACCGTGAGATTTTAAGATAGGTTAGCAGGAGGTGCTTCCACACATAGGCTCAAGTAGCCAAGGTCCTGTGATCTAACTGACATTTGTTACAAAAGGATACTACATGAATCAAATATTAAAGGCTCTTCTAATTTAACGCTCAGGTGCCTTGTCTTGTTGACACTTTGCCGCTAAGATTTTGACAAGAACATATGCCTATAAACTGCTCATTATTCCACACACTCAAGTTAAACCGAAAGTGGCCAACGCTCACCAACTCTTTGCCCAGTGTCTTACAGAGCGTAAACACTGTTCACCAATCCCACAACCACACCAAACCCTAATCTACCCATCTACTTGCCTCCTCTCTTCTCCGTTTCCATTCGCTGGAACCGTTGACTGCGCCACATACCCCCTAAACTTACTCGCATGCACCCTGGGCACAGTCCCAATCACAATTAATGCCTCCGCCAGCAAGACACTCCACATCTTCACCTTCAGCACTCCTTTATTATAATCTGTCCGCGCTGCGGCTGCCACGCTTAGAAGCAACAGCAGCAGCGCTGCATATCCCACCATCCGGTGGTACTTCCACAGGCTTTTAGCGTTCTCCAGCCCGCCCCAGACTTGCGGGACCACCCAGATGGACAGGCCAAAGAGGTACTGGGCGAGGAGGAGAAGAGTCGTCAGAACGCCCAGGTAACCATGGAGCGAGTGGAAGTGGGCCAGGTGGTTGACGTGCTTGTTGACTTGGATGATGATGGTGCCGGTGAGGAAGAAGAGAAAGGAGAGGATGTGGAGGCAGGCGTGCGCGCGAGCGCCGGAGAGTTTTGTTTCGGGGGTTGTGGTTGGTTGGAGGATGAGGATGGATTGAAGAAGCGCGTAGACGCCGAGAGATTCTTGGGAGGTCTGTTAGTTCACTAAATTCGACGGGGGTCAAGGGAAGCATGGCTTACGGAGAAGAGGATGGGGGGAAACCAGCGGGAAGGTTGGATGAATGAAGGTGTTGATCCAGACTGTCAAGACGAGGATAAGGGCGCCGATTTGCGCAATCCAGCCCGTTCCTGGATCCGTGTTAGTCGATGGAATGACGATGTGGCAATGAGTCCTGAGTGTCCGTACCTAGCCAGAGGTTCTTGACCAGCGGCGCGCCAGGTTTTTGGGTTGCTGCGCCAGGCCTGCCGAGGAGCGGTTCACTCTCAGCAGGAGCAGGCACATCACCTTGATGAACAGAGAGTAGAGATTGTCTTGAAGACATGTTAACTGGTTCGTGATAAATGGATTACTAATTCTCTTAGCGCTGGGCGCTGGGAGTCTGATGAGATTGGTTCAAAAACGGGATTCAATGACTTCTACTAAGTTGATATGGAATCTAGCTAACGGCTGGGAGAATAATTGAGAAAGGGATTTTAGATTGCGAATTGCGGGGAAGATGTTGGATTGTGTTGCCTGGGAGGTGATCCATGGGGAGCTCCCGCCCCGCCTAGACCCTGCAGGCCGGTTTCCCTCTGTTTACGTCAGAATCTTTGCAGATTTCATCTATCGCTGGGCGTTCTTGGCTGCGGCACGGATACACTTCCCCATGAATCCTCAACCGTAATCCACTTGTTGTAGTTCTGCCTTTCTGGGCAACCAGACTGTCACATTGCGATGCCAAAAGTTTTCCCAATGGATTTAGAAATATTCAGCATAACGATGACGACATCCCAGTTCTCTAAGCCCAGAAAAAAAAGGAGATTAAATGCGGGTTGTGGCTCTCAGCCCAGCTGTTTATCAATATGCAGGCCTATTGCCCCTTCTCAGCTCTGGAACCCTACCCCGCCTTGACCGGAACGCAATTCACCTTCACTACTTTCCGTGCTCCCCAAATCGTGATCCTGAACCCGTTTGCGACGGAGCACGCCGATTCCGTGAAGATCGTCAAGGAACCCTCCGAGCTCTGGCCTTGTCTCCAGTTCTCCACACCCATCACCGAAGTCTCCGCCTTCATGGGCCCGATATCCGATCGCCGATTCATAGCTATACGGAGTCCAGTCGGGACTAACCACGGTGAGGGTTTAGGGAAACAAGATGGATCATGTAGATATTGCCCCCGACGGCAATGTCGTATTCGTCGTGGGTCTGAAGATGAAAATATGCCGATGCCACTCTCTGTTCATAAAAACTGTATCGGCCGTGTTGAGGACTATGCTCAGGCCCAATTTCTCCGAGGGCCACCCACTGACCGAACCGGCTCCGCGCATATCGATCTGCCCGAGGACGACGCCAACGTGCTCCAGCTCATCTTCAACGTTGTCCACAATCGCGTCCACAGTGTGCTAGACACACTGTCTGCTGATCAGTTGATGCATTTGGCTATCACAGGCGACAAGCACGACTGTTGGGGCTCGCTTATGTTCTTCCCTATTCATTTGGCTCGACATGTGAGAGATGTTACAATTTTTGACGGTATCATGGCTTATGCTCTGGTTGCATACCTTGCTTGGGCCCAAAAGTCGTGTTCGCTGAGGCCACAGCTGCGCTTGTGCTCGACTATGCCGGGTCGCACAGAGATCTCCTGCAGAAGCATGAAAAGCATATTGATGTAGCAGAGTTGATGAACCTTGCACGTATGTCTTTGTCTGGCTGAGTCTCCCTTAGAGAGCTCCGTGATACAAACAACAGGCTTATGAAACCAGTTAAATTGGAAGAGATTAGATCCGAATTGAAGCTAGAGCTGGCTCTTCAAGGAGGCTTGGCCGCAATAAGGGATCTACGTAACAATGGGACATGACTTTCTTAGCTACCTAGAGGTTTATTGCACAGTTCACTCGCAGCGGACTTTGACCAGATCATGCATAAGTCTCTCACAGAAACTCTTCTATCACGCAAGGATTTGACGTAACCCAGGATTTAAGCTATATTTACAAAGCGGTGGGCTCGAATTGAAAAAAAAAAAAAAGAACTGGAACAAGGCTGGGTTATGCGTGACTTTGTGCTAAGGAAGGGGATCCACACGCAAAGCGTGCTTGCTGAACCTGCCTAAGTCTGGATTACGTTACTGAAGCTGTCTTTCGGACATCTAGTGGGTGAGTGGAAGCTTAGCTGAACTTCGGCACACTAGATAGTATACACCTTGATCATGAACATCTTGGAAGAAGAGTTTGAAGAATTTGGGTTTTAAAAGGAATTTGTTTACTTGCCCCATGTCCAGTTTATACGACAGTCAACATACGTTAGGTAATATCTGGCCGAATCCCCGTCTTACGGGAGAGACCAGGTTCCATAGGAACCGGCTGTGTGATACGGTACCTTACGGAAGGAACTACCACGGAAGGTCGAGGCCCCGGGTTTCTCGCTGATGTCACTGACCGGCTCCTTATCTCTTATCTCGGCACGGAACGGTTTCCGGCAGCCAACGGAGCCCGATCCCGGCTCCACTACATCCTTGACCCCACTTCCGTCATTGCAGCAGAATGTTAGGTAACCGAATCATCAGGACTCGATTGACAGGAAGATAGGCTAGATCCATGCGAGCCTTCCATTCACTCCACTTATCGGGGCAATGTAAGTGGTGGCTGTGTCGGAGATGGCCGATGCTATCGTGATTGTTCAGGCTTTTCTTGTTGCCGTTGGTCCCTTGGGAAGATTATCTGGTGAAATCGAGGGGCGTATCGAGAATTGATAAGATAGGAGCCATCCCGCTTTTTGGACCCTGCAGGACGTCACTTCTGTTCCTTTCCCCCCTTCTCCGTGATTCTTTCAAGTGACTCGGCTGTATTGAGTCCTGCCGAAGTCTCCTTGACCTTGACTTTTCACACCTTGACTTTTCACATCAGGCACATCACGCACTTCTCGGCTGCAAAGCTTGCGCACACTCACAAAGATGGAAGATATCGAGTACAAACTGGACTCAGTCAAAGCCACCCGGATCCCGGCTGAGGAAATTGACAAGACCTTCCGTTCAACATGCATTGGTTCGTAGGCCTCGGGAACACACCCTCTTGGTAAGTTAGGTGCAGGACACAGGCTGACAACTTGCGAAATGCTACAGACCTCGTCTCGGCCGCGCTAGGAGGCAAGGTTCTTGGCTTCTCAGATCAATGGTTTGCCGAAGCGGTTAACCTTATCAACCCGGCGGCTCCAATTCGGCAGCCAGGCAAGATGGTATACACGGGGGCTTGGTATGATGGGTGGGAGACACGGCGGCACAACCCGGAGCCATTTGACTGGGTAGTAATCCGGCTAGGTGTGGCATCAGGAACGGTCGAGGGTGTTGAGATTGACACGGCTTTCTTCAATGGCAACCACGCGCCAGCGATCTCGGTCGAGGGTTGCTTCAACCAGGATGATGAAGAAGTGCTCTCATGGGGTGGTAATCGTGGCCGCTGGGAGACCATTCTCGGCATCCAAGAGTGCGGTCCGTCACAGCGCCACGCCTGGAAGCTCGACAACCCGACCAACAAGCAGTACACGCATGTCAGACTCAACATGTACCCGGACGGCGGCATCGCTCGGTTCCGGTTATTCGGCCACGCTGTGCCAGTATTCCCAGACGACAAGGAGGTTGTTTTCGACCTCGCGGCGGCCCAGAACGGTGGTGTGGCCGTTTCATGCAGTGACCAACACTTTGGCACCAAGGACAACCTGATTCTGCCCGGCCGCGGCAAGGACATGGGAGACGGTTGGGAGACAGCACGGTCACGCACCAAGGGCCATATCGACTGGGCCATCATCCGGCTGGGAGCGCCAGGCTACATCCAGAACTTCCTTGTCGACACGGCACATTTCCGCGGGAACTACCCCAAGGAGGTACGGCTCGAGGCGATCGAGTGGAAGGATGGCGACCCTGCGGCCGATGCCCCGGGTTGGATCCGGGTTGCCGAGCCGCTCAAGTGTGGGCCAGATAAGGAACACCTGGTGGATAGCTTGGTGAAGGACAAGGCATTTACACACGTCAAGCTCATCATTGTGCCGGATGGGGGCGTCAAGCGGCTGCGCGTTTTCGCGAGACAGGCAGTGTAACCGTGGAGGACGGGTGAGTACTGGGCGGCGAAACAGTAGCGGGAAGCACAAGGGTGAAACTGGTCCTACACTGGGGCTATGGAAGGAGATAGGCCGATGTAGATAATTGTTTCTGGGAATCATAAAAAGGGTGTTCGAAACGTGGGTTTCAGAGAGGTAGCTGTCGCACATCGTAAGAAAGGTCGGACTTGTGGTTTGCGGCGATCCAGACTTTGATTCGAGCTAAGCGTTCGGATCGGGTATCCGGATAAGACCTTGTGTACAATACGCTTCTGGTCTTGCATTTAACGAAGCTTCAGGAATTTTCGACTCCATCTAACTCAATGGGCATGGAGTTATAATGGGTGTTTGACTTGACAATGGCGTTGTCGAACCGGGATGAGAGCACAAGACGCAACTCTGTTAAAAGGGTGTCTTATCGATAATAGATGACGCTTGGACCAGGAAAGTGGGGTGCTTGTCTTAAGATCCAGCCAGCGTGATGCGCCAAGCCTGCCATTCGACATGCCCGACCTGGGATTGAACACCCTGAACGTGGAGGGGAAGTCGCCTCGAATGGTCTCATCGTCTGGTTTTAGATCGCCGAACATCGAGCGTTCTACATCGCAGGTTGGCTTCAAACCGACCGCATATAGACGATTTCTGACAGCAAACTTTTCGCGACTCCCCGAATGCTCCCCGCTGTCGCAAGCACGCCCTCCCGATGAACCGATGAGATAAACTGTAGCGTCATTCCCATCGGCATCACTCCTGACCATCGCCCACGCATGCCACCAGTCCCTCTCCTGACTTGTCACCATGGATCTTGGGGGCTCTGAGGGCGGCATTGGCACCATCGGCGGCGCCCTGGCCGAACTCAAGAAAAAAGAACTTCCCGATGACCTTCCGCGCTCCCTCGACGACCGCCGACGCCCCGTCGAGTTAGTTTCCGAAACCGAAATATACGACGGATGGCAGGGTCAGTTTCACCGCGTCATATCACGCACACATGAGCTTCGCTGAGCCAACATTTGTGTCTTCAGGCCAGTTGCAGTTCTTAACATCGCCCATCACGAAGCCCTTGTCCTTCAGCGAGCTCACGCTTGAAGACAACTATGGCCCCGACCTGATCAAGGGCGGCCCTGAGAGCGAAACCCGCCTAATGGAGATGCTTGCCGCCCAAGCTTCACATGCCGCCGTCGCTGCCTTCGATGATGAGGATACCATCGCCGCAGATGAACATCGCTCCAACGAGGAGAAGAAGGATATCTTGCAGCGCACCTTCTTCATGGCCTGCAGCAACGGCAACCTCGAGTCGGTGAACAGGATTTTAAACGGCAAGGCCCGCGAATATGTCGATATCAATGCCACCGATGATGAAGGCACGCCTGCCATTATATATGCGAGCTGTTTTGTGAGTTAATTATGGGGGCTATCGTGAGCCAACTGTCCCGTCCGCTAATACCGACCCTTAGGGCCACGAGTCGGTTGTGCAGGCGCTCATCGAAGCGGGCGTCGATGTCAATAAGCAAGACCGCAACCAATGGAGCGCCCTCATGTGGGCTATGACAAATCGGCATAAGGGCATCGCCAAGCTATTGCTGGATAATGGCGCTTCTCCTGAGGCGAAGACTTCTACGGGAAGGACTGCCTGGGACTTTGCTGGCTCTGACAGCGACATGGCTTTCTATTTGAGCGGCTATGGCATTGGAAGCGCTGGCACCAGCGACGACTTCTACAACCCGGGTTTTAACCCACAAGACAGATTTGAGGAGGAGCTGGCCGAGACCGAAATGCGCCGGCGCATGATGATGGATAGCGCTCGCGACCTCGAAGTGGACCTGGGGAATGTGGGCATAGACGATCAACCCGAGGTCTGTGCTGCTGCAACTATCCTGTTTGATGTTCGTAAAGCTGACCCTCACGCAGTCGTTTGATGACCTCGATGACGACCAAGAGTTCGATTGGACGAGATGCCGTCATGACCAGATGTTTGTGATCCAGGAGAGTGAGCTGGACCGCATCCTGGATATCGTCATCACCAACATGACACCACAGCGATCCCCATCGCAAAAGCCTGTACCTGCGAATATGATATTTTTGGCCGCTCGATATGCGCACTACCACGCCAACCCTGAGCTACTAGCGAAGTTGCTCATCACTTCCATGCAAAAAATTAATGCCGTAGTCGAGAAGCATCAGTGGGATATGACCGTTCTGGCTTTTTGGATGTCAAACGCCACATTATTGCTGCATTACCTCAAAAAGGATGCCGGCCTTGTTGAGGCCACCACCGAGTTTCAAGCCCAGCTTGCCGAGCTTATTAACGAAATTTTTATTTTCATCGTTCGGGATGCGGAGCGGCGCCTAGACAAGGTCCTGGACGCCGCCATGCTGGATCATGAAACCATTCCCGGGTTCGAAGATATCGCGTTCCAAAACGAGTGGAAGATCTTTAAAAGGAAGAAGGAGGTCAAAGAAGAGCCACTGGAGAAGCGGCTACGGCCGCCGTCTCCCAAGCAGAGAGCCAAGCCGTCTCCACGTAATGTGACTTCGCTGCTGTCATCGACACTCTTCGTTTTGGATCTCTACGACGTCCATTCGGTGATAACGGCCCAGATTATTTCACAACTTATTTACTGGCTGGGGGCCGAACTCTTCAACAGAATCATATCTAATCGTAAGTACCTGGCGCGCACCAAAGCAATGCAGATCCGCATGAACGTGTCAGCCCTTGAGGATTGGGCGCGCCAAAACAACCGTCAGCCGGAGCACTACGAGGGCGGCGAGATCAGGGCCAGCGGCGAGACGACTGTCGAGGCAGCCCGTCGTCATCTAGCCCCGGTCATCCAGCTGTTACAATGGTTGCAATGCTTCTCATCTCTACCTCCAGACGACCTCGAAGCTCTTGTTGGCACTCTTCAGCAGCTCCGTACTCTCTCTCCTCAACAACTCATCCACTCAGCAACCCATTACCGCCCCGAAGTTGGCGAGAAGGGCCTTCCAAAGAACGCCTTAAAGTACCTGGTGACCATCCAAAAGGAGGCGCTCGCCCGTCGCGAACGCAAACGCCAATCTCTCGCATCAGCCGTCTCGACACCAACTACCCCATCTACCAAGAAATCCTTTTTTGGCCGATCCAACGGCACCAGTTCGGTCCCAGCAACCCCCAGTAACAACACAACCACCACACCCGACCCCACAACCCCAACCTCACCCTCAGCACAGCAACAAGATCACAACAACGGGGATAACGACGACGACAAAGACGCTACGCTTGCCAACACGCAACTGCTTCTCGACCCGGCGCTGATGCTGCCCTTCACGCTGCCCAGCAGCACCGACATGTTGATCAGCTATGGGGCCGGGTTCGGCGGCGTCAATCGCGAGCGGGCGCGCAAGTACATACCGACTATCCCGCCCGAGTTTTTGGACAAGATTGAGGCAGCTACGGGTGGACCGGGGAGTAGGAAGAAGGTTTGGGAGGAAGTTGCAGGGTGGGAAGATGAGGAGTGATTGGGGCTTGGAAATCAGAGATTAGCAGGAGAGAGAAATTGAAGGGAGGAAGAAGGAGTATGGTGATGAGGGGACAGTGAAAATTGGAGTTGGAAGAGGGCTTGGAATAGGATACATACGGAGTAGTAGGAAGGGGATCGTATAAAGTTATCTTTTTTGGGCTTCTCCTTGCTGTGGTGCAAGATTCAAATAGCATGGAGGGTCAGTGACGGACCGAAGTCGGAATGTAGTGCCGCATACTCGGAATGGGCGCGCTTTAACTGACATTTCATCATTCAATAACTTGTAAACCAAACGCTCAGGGGCTTGTTGTATGGAATGATTGAATTGCTGTCGAATGAGATGACTTGACATCCTAGGACTCTAGGAGATTGCAAGATAGGAATGTATTTTATCTTTCTCTTTCCTTCAAACAGCTTTTGGACCTACTTCTATGTATCTACTTTAATGGCGGGTTTCGAAATGCATTTTCTTCAACAATAGGAGACTAGAGAGTATGGTTGTGAGGCAGCAAGGACCTTACCTAGGTCAGTTGCTGCTAGGGTCACAGAAGTAGAGCTTGTGAGACATTCTGCCAATTATTTATACCGAAGCTCATCACGATATTGGTGAGATCTTGAAGTTGACGTCGATATTGGCTTGTGACGCGTTCCAATCGGTTCGAATGTAAGCGGGAAGCCTTCTTCCTCAATTATCGCCAAGTCGAACAGGGGCTTAGATTTTTTTTTTAAAAAAAAAATCCAGGGTTCCATTCTCACATGTCTGGATGTTATTCCCGGTTCCCTAACCCGTCTGTGGTATCCAACTATTCCCAATTATGTCCGGAGTTGTAGACCTCTAAGCAGATAGTAACCTTTCTAAACTTCTAGTGCGATTTTTCTCAGGAATACATGGAAAGTGAAAATTTCTGATAGGTTTGTTGAGAGCCCACATCCATCAGCCTTGATTCTGATATCTATCCCGACTGGCTATCCCTTAAATAGGCATCATCGCCTACCGGTTTGGTTTTGCCTGTGAGCGGGACGGCCCGGGATATCACATTGTTATCTCTCATCCTCGATAATAGATCTCTGGTGTTACAGAGCCATACTTTCAAAAAAAGAAAAGAGTGGTCCTCTTCATGTTGACCAACGTGCCTGCATTTTGCATCACTAAAAACCTGGGTTCACGGAATTTGGTCTCGAATCGAATCCAACAATGGGTATGGTCTTCAGTCAAGCATAGCAACTTCAACCGACCTACCTCAACTAATGACAGAATTTTTTGTCATCTCTGCCCCTCTCACTCAGCGATGCACGCGAACCCGTCCGCCCAGCCTCCTGTCCTAGCCCCGCCTCCAAGTTACACGTTTCGATTGAGAAGTACCTGGGTAGCGACGTACTTAGCGCCCTACTCTTCCCGAACACATGCACCCAACCGCTCCGTTGGTGCCAGCTCGGCAGCTTGCTACACTACCTGCTACGCCCGTAACCCATCTTGGGTAGGGTTACAACGTTACAGTTCTTGCCTGTTGTCAAAAGCGGCGGGAAGGGAGGGGCAGAGGGGAAGACAAGGGGACAAGACAGGTTTGTGGATAGGATAATCCGCTTACACTATTCCTGTTCCTGACAAAAAAAAGGCTGCCACTCCCACACCCATACACGCTTGTTGGGGGTCCGGTCGGGTCGGGCAACTGCGGCATGGCTGCTTGCATGCTGCAAGGGACGAGAGCACCCGAGCGAGCACTTGGCAACCTGGTAGGGTTTGGTAGGGCTTGGTGTCAGTGAGCGCGGGGGGGGGGACAACGAGCTCCGGTTGGCTGGGTTCGCGTGGCCTCTTTTCCCTGGGAAAAATTTAAGAAGGAGGGGAAGGGCTTGGGCTTCGGGAATGTCGGGAGAAATGAACGGCGGGGTGCATGGCGCTAACAAGGTGTTATTGAAATACCGTGTAGCTTACAGGTTGTTCTTTTGGCTGTGAATGGTTGGATATAAGTTTCTGGTGCTGTTGAGCTCGTTTAGGTCGTGGAACTTTCGATATGTTGGTACAATGGGTTGGAAGAAAATCCGTTTGGTGCCTGGAGAGAGAGAGAAAGTCTCCGTGGGCGTTGGCTGGAAAGCTCAATCGGATGCCGTGGTTTGTTGGATGGCTGCTCTGAGAGAAAATTTTCTCGCTAAGACCTTGAAACACACAGGTGCCTACCCGTGCTGCAGAGGGTTATCATGATGATGCCCAATGGACGATTTGGCGGTGTGGAGGGTTGATGGCTCATCACTGGCTCGATCTCAACGGTGAGAGCGGAAGCGATTGGGCTCGGAGCCAAGCTCGCTCAAATAGCGGCTGATATCCTCGACGTTGTCACATTCGTGCATTGGTGCTGGCCTACCTGCTTGGTGTTGACTACGAATTGACGTCCTTTTCATCAACCTCACGAGATTCAGAAAAGTCCTCAGAGCACTCCTGAATGACTGCTCTCCATGACCACTCCCACGCGGGGGCAGCTAGCCTGGCTGCGGAGGTATTCATCCCCCACAATCCCACGGCCGGGCGTTTGTTGGAGAGAAAGACGGAGATAAAGGCCGGTTGAACCTGCGTGGGGAGGCTGGCTTTGGAAGCTGCCACGTCAAACTCCCCCCAGTCACAACAGTCCAATGGGTCATTGGGACCAATCGCAGGGCGACTGTCCGCGGTGACGATTGCTCTCTCCCCAGTCCTTCGTTACCGAATCGGAGCTTTGGATTCCGTTTGACAACGACTGACTAACAAACACCACCGCGGATGGTGTTTCGCGGACTGCCGGTCATCCCATGCCGGTCATCGTTACTGTCAGACAATTGCTAGCGCACTGCGTCTTGGGATCAGTCCGGGGACCTGAAAGCCTGCGGCCTGGGTTTTAGAGCCCGAGGATGCCGGCGAATAGTATGGACTTTCTAGGGGTTTAAGCGCCCTAGGGATAGGGTTGGCTGTGCTAAAATGAAGGTTCGCGTCGGTTGCACGGCGGCCTGGTGGATCGCCGGTTCGGGGCAAAGGAGCCGGCCCCACAGTCCTCCGGCCGAGAGTTCGCTCGGACTTGATATGAATGATCAGGCAAATTGAAGTGTGTGTCGTGCTCTTTGTGCTCTTTTTCGTCCCATCGCTGTTTTCGAGGGAAAAAGAAGCAATTGAGCTGTTTCACGGCGATCGAAGCGGTCATTCGTGCAAGGTTTGCAGGGTTTGCAGGATTTCTCGCGGGAAGGAGCTCCAGACGGGATTCAATTAGATGGCTCCACTAACACGTGCAGCTAGGCAAGCGAGAGCAGGGTTCCATGGCCCTAGAAATTTCGAAAATTGGAAAGGGCAAAATTTTCGCTGGTGTAAGTGTTAGTGTATGGCTTTTGTAGGAGACGCAGCAACGCGGGAGACTGCGGCAGGAAAGAAACAGCGACGGCCATCTCGCGAGCCCGACTTCGCTGAGCGACTGCTGACTCAGAGACGGCGCCAATTTGCCGAGGAAGAGAGGAATGGAAGTATTGCCGTGGTAGACCTATGGCTTTTGACTGACAGGTTCGCTGAGGCTGGCGTCGCGGGTCCGGGGATGGGGTGAGGCTAATTATTCAGCTGATTGGCAGCGCAAGACATGGAGAGACGTGGTCAGATCAGCACAAGATGGCGCATCAGCAGCGTCTCGGCCGAGGTCGAAAGGTCGATGGACGCTGTCATGGGCATCATCACGAATCTCGATGCCATTCTGGCTTCATGCTGAAATTGCATGTGCCCAAGGAGCAATCAGGCCGACCAGCCACGCCACCATTCATGACAGCTTGCGCAGCCGTCGGTAGCATCTGGGGAAGCGTGGGAGCATCACCATATTTCGACGCCGCTAGCTTCTAGCGGTCTGCAGAAGTTCTAACGGTCCAATGTAGCCTTGTAATGTAGCCTTTTATCCCTCATTCGCGTGGATCGCGTCGGCACGTCCGTAGACGCCGAGATGCTCGCAACCTCGCCTGCAACGAGGCTAGTCGTCACGCTTCTGGACGCTTGACAGCTCATGACAGGCTAGGGAGCAGCCCGGAATGGCTAGACGGCGTTCCGGGCGGTCGGGCTAGGAATTACCGCATAGGGTAGTAGGAGAAGCAGAGTTTGGGCTTCCATGCGCGAGCGGACAGAAGCAAAGTCCACAGGCCCATGATTCCCCATCATGGGGTATAGCCGCGCATAGGGCCAAGGGCCCATGGCTTATGATGCATCACAAGATTGGGATGAGCGCTTTTGAAATAAAAGACGTCGTCCTCCCTCTGCATGCTCTTCATCTCCACTGCTGTTCCTCGCCATGCATTCCATCCTACACTAGTGTCCTTGTCTCTGCGCCTTAGAGCCTGATCGCGACATACGAAGTGACGAGTTGCCGTCAGGACATAGACATATCCACCACATACCTACCTGCATATACATCCTACTGCCACGTCGACACGGCAATACCTTGCGCTGTCATCCCATCCGTCCAACCACTGGAACGGTACTACTACCACGACGGTCTGCCTATCCAAGGCCGATAAAAGCTTCATCCAGAAGAAAAGTCTCAGTCTACAGCAACAACGGCCCCGCAGTGAAACAACCTGCCGGTGCCGCATTTTTGCCTACCCGGAACTGTGAGACGCTGCGACACGGCTGGCGCTCGTTGCAGCTCCTGGACGAGCCGTCGGCATCCGTTTGGCTTGATTTGACAGGCATATTGACTTGGCTATTTTGCCGTATTAGATGCCCTTCCCTTCCTGGTCTTGTTCCTCGTCCCTGGGTTCTCTCCTTGGAATCCTCGGGGGAAAGCCCTCTAGGTCGTCTTCATCTTCAGACTCCTCCTCATCATCAGCCCGCACACACACCCGCTCACAGTCACAACCGCTGCCACAAACACGGCCGCAGTCGCAGACACAAGCACGGGCGCACAAGAGGGGGTCATCCGTACTGAAACTGCAAGGGAGACTGGACCAGATTGGTCTTGGTCTCTGGTCACAGGGAGCCAGTGCATCCGCCGCGAAAGCCACCGCCAGAGCAGCAGCTGTGCCGTTGCTCCTGCCACCCAACTCGAGCGCCAGCATGGAATCTGCACAGGAAAAGCCTAAGTCGAAGCAAAAGCCAACCACGCCGCAGAAACATGTCACTGTGCGCCACAAGGGACGGCCAGTTGCCCGCCTTGCCCTAAGTCCCTTCCGCGACGACTCCGGCCTGGTTGCACTGCGGTACGAGCATACAAAACAGGGAGAGCCCCCCATTCCGCTGCCGCCACCTCAGCCCAGGGAGAAGAAGAGAGAAATTCGCCGGCCGATCATTGTGAATCCGCCGCCAGTCCCACCACCGCAAGAAGAACATCCACTCTTTCGCAACCAGCAGACGCAGACGCAAACATTGCAAACATCACAAACAATCACGATTCGCCGGTCGCAAGCTGAGCCGTGGAAGCGCGACTCGGGAGCGCCCACATCGTCGTCCATCACGCTGCGCGGCGACGAGGACGAAGAGGACTACATCTACCGCAAGCTGCTCGAGGACATTGCTGACGCGCCATCTCCCACGCTGCCGCCCATGCAATCGCCCAAGATGGACGACTCTTCATTCGAGGCTCCCCAGGAACTGCCGGCTCGGAAGATCCCGCCGCCAGCGCTGAAGCTCCCGGTGCCTCTGAGCGCGGGAAGGGCGGAGATTCAGCCGCCCGCATCCGCGCCGGTTTCAGTGCCAGGAGCAAAGCAGACACCGACGCAACAGCAGCAGCCTGCTACTACGCCGTCGTCCCCATCTCCATCAAGACTGGGGCTGCGGCGAGCTGTGTCGGTTTCTTGTTCGTCGCCGAGATCATCCGAGTCGCCGTCGTCGCCCGTTTTGCCTGCATCGCCGTCCCGGCACCTGTCACTGACTAAGAAACTAGGTAAGAAGAGCTTCGGCCTTGGTTCTGGGTCGTCGGGTAACGAGAAGGGAAAAACGGATACGGCAACGGCAGCGGCAACGGTCGGGACCGGGATCAGCAGCAGGGTCTCGGTCGTTTCTTCGGGGGGCTCCAAACGGCTGCGGAAAAAGAGGGTTGGCGTTGACAGGGCTGCTTCCGGCGCTGGGACTGTTGGGCCCGCCTCGCCAGGGGCTATTTCCGGGCCCGAGCGGGGCTCTGCCCACTGTGCTCAGCAGGAGAAACCGCCAAAATGGCCCAAAACAGCCAAGCGCACGCCAGAGACCCCACCGCAGCCGAACGCGCCAGGGGCTGCGCACGGGGAACAAGCATCCTCGCACAGCAACAAGAACAAGTCGACTGTCGCTGACACTGTGACCTCTGCGACAACGCTCTCGCTCTCGTCTGCACCAACCATCACCACGCCCATTCCCTCACACAGCCTATGGGACGATCTGGACTCCATTGCCTTCTCCAAGCGGGGGAGTCTCATGCTGCTGGGCAGAAAGAGTGATCCCTCGAAGTCACTTCCACTGTCGCTATCGCAGGTCATGTCGTCGTCGTCTGCGGAGAGCGGCCCCAGTGATTGCAGGGCCGGCGAAACCCCTAACGTTATCGAAGAATCCAAGCCCAATGTGAGCGAGGAGAGCGAGAACACTGAGAGCCCCGAACACAAAGAAACCGACAAGAACACCAGCCAGGTGCCAGCGTCGTCATCTCCATCATCGTCATCCTCCTCATCAACATCTTCCAAGTCCCAGCGCGACTCTGCTAATGTCGCGGCATCCCCCTCTGCGCGAGACGCCGCCAAGGGCCCCGAGCCTGCCGTGCCCAGCATCCGCGTCTCGTCGATTGATTTAGAGAGGGAATCACAAAAGGTGAGATCGCTCTATGAATCCGGCGACGACCTGTTCTGGGAAGACGGCGGCCGCGTCTCGTTCGTCGAACGTCTCGCTCCTACCGCCGAAGTCCCGTCCGAAGAGGATGAGCACGCCGAGTATGGTTTTCCTGTAGGCTTCATTTGGCCGCGAGTCATCCCACAGTCAGCTGACCGCGCTTGCGCCTGATATGCAGTTCATGGCGTCCGTCCGATCATCCCTCCAGTTCGCAAGGAGACCACCTCGGTCCGTTCCCACAGGCCACGGCCATTCCGCGGTCTCGCCTGTCGGCCTCTCCTAATCGCAACAGCGTTGTGCGCAAGGGATATGCTGGTGGCCTCGAGGACTGGGACGACCTCGACGGCGCCGAAGTCGACCGCTATGGCTTTATCACCCCCAAACGTCCGGTCTCACGCGCCGAACCTGCCGAGCTCAAGGTCCTGCCGAGACGGCGAAACGTCCTGACCAAGCGACCCTCAACTTCTTACTCGACCGTCTCCCTCCCCGGAGGCTTCATCCGCCCGCCCAGCCGCAAGGTCTCGGCGCGCTCGCTCAACACGTACACGTCGGAGCGATCGAACGTCTCGCGCTTGTCGACCCGTTCGTCTATCCGCTCGGCGGCAAACCATCTGCCATACAACCGTGAGCACAGGTGGCTTGCCGAGGCCAGCGAAATGCTGTCTCTTCAACCGACCGGTTTCGCCAGCCTGGAAGACGAAAAGGACCCCAAGTTGATCGAGGCCCAGAAGCGCAAAGAAGCCCTGCGCTCGGAGAAGTGGCGCAAGATGGCCACAGCTGTAACGCCAGTATCCTCGAACCCCAAGGTCACATCATCATCATCATCATCATCATCATCATCATCATCATCATCATCAACCAACCCTCCCCCAGCCCCCGGTCACGGCCAGGGCATCTCATATACCTTCGACGTCACCTCACCCAAGCTCATCTCCCGCACCTGGAAGGGTATCCCAGACTGCTGGCGCTCGGCAGCCTGGTACTCCTTCCTGCACACGTCGGCCATCACTTACCCTCACGACCCCCCGGAGTCAGACGCCTACCTCATCGAGACCTTCCATGCTTTGCAATCCCGTCCATCGCCGGATGATGTGCAAATCGACCTGGACGTGCCGCGCACCGTGAGCGGTCACGTCATGTTCCGGCGGCGGTATCGCGGTGGACAGAGGCTACTGTTCCGGGTTTTGCATGCGATCTCGCTCTATTTCCCGGAAGTTGGCTACGTGCAGGGGATGGCTTCGCTAGCGGCGACGTTGTTGTGTTATTTTGATGAGGAGAGGGCGTTTGTCATGATGGTCCGGCTGTGGAGGTACAGAGGATTGGGCTGGTTGTATAGCGATGGATTGGCCGGGCTGATGGCCGCGTTGAGGGAATTTGAAGGGGATTGGTTGGGGAAGCTGGATGGCGGAGTTGTGAAGGAGAAGTTGGTAAGTTTTCCCCACTTCCGGCTTGTCCCTACAAGGGATATGAGCTGACGTCGTATGGGGTAGAATGAGTTGTCGATCGATGCTACGGCGTATGGTACTCGCTGGTACCTGACGCTGTTCAACCTGTCTCTTCCATTCCAGGCCCAGCTGCGGGTCTGGGATGTTTTCATGCTTTTGGGGGAGTGTCCTCCAGAAGAGCAAAAGCAACTTCAACAGTTACAACGGCAACAACAACAGTCTTCGGGCGACCCACAACCGTCTACGAGCAACGACTCTTCACCGAAAGACTTGGACCCGCCGCCTCAGTCTCCTGCAACTCTCCTCCCCCCGAAGGGTTTGGATATCCTTCACGCCACATCGGCCGCCCTGATTCATGCCCTTCGCGATGTGCTGCTCGACTCTGACTTCGAGAACGCAATGAAGACATTGACCGCCTGGATCCCCGTCAAAGATGAGGATCTGCTCATGAAGGTGGCCCAGGCGGAATGGCGCCGGCACCAAGGCAGGAGGGAGAAGATAGAGAAGGAGCTGCGAGAAAAAACAAAGAAGGAAGAGAAGCAGAGGGAGAAGGAGGAGAAGCAAAGAGAGAAGGAAAAGGGTAAAGGGAAGGAGAAAGAAAACGTTAAAGAGGGGGTCGAGGTTACTACCACTACTACTAATACTAAAGGGAAGGTTAAAGAACGGGAACAACAACACGATAAAGAAAGAGATGAAGCTCGGGGGAAGGAAAAGGAAAAGGAAAAGGATAAAAAGGATAAGGGAAAGGGCAGGTCCTTGTTCTGAGTTTTGTCTGCTTGCCTTTTCTCGCATCATGTCTTTTTTTTTGTCTTGACTTTTATCGCACCTCATTACACCCTTTTCTTCTTTCCCCCGACAGAGAGAAACGAGTTTCCTTTGTCGTTATTTTAGGTCTTCATTTTAGCTTCTGTTCAGTGATACCCCTTCACTTACCTACATTGCGGCATGGGTGTCACCTGGTTTGTTATAAGGATTTGGATTTCCCTTCCTCCCCTTTGGCAGCATGCAAAGATCAGGAAAGGATGCGTTTTTGATACCCCTTCCTTGGATTTTTTGGCAGATTTTTTTTCCTTCTTTTTCCCTTTTCTATTTATATGTCCGTCCCACGGATGGATTGGGCACTCAATACACCATCCAGAGCCTTCAATGATTTAAGTCAAACCGAAGGCTTCACAAACGGACAGCTCTTCACCGACCGGAGAGCTGCTCTGAGACTTACTTTGTCGCTCGTTTTAACCTTTTCCTTGCGTCTTCTTTTCTTCATTGTAATTTGGCATGATTTACGGAGCCAATCCTCATTTATGACCAGGTTAGTTTTTAATGATTGGGATAGGATAGAATATAGAATAAAAGATAAAATTGTGAACTATCGATAAAAAAAAACTCATGTCGATCTAAGCTCTGGTTTCGTGTCTTTGTCTTTTAAGCTTGTGCTAACAGTGGAAATGATGTTCTATTCTTATTGTTGTGACTTCGGCGCCCATTACATCCCGCTTGTTTAGTTTCCATAACCCATCGGGAGGAGCCGTTGTTATGAAGCGCAGACTACAGAGTAGGATCTTGATTTAATAGATAAACAGAAGGTTACTGAGTAACATAAACCAGTGGCAGCTTTTGCCATTTATAACAAATGTATCGGGTCCTTACTGGTAGAGATATCAGCTTTATCTGCCTATCTTCCCCAAGACATAATCTGAAATCGTACATCCGCCTATCCTTTATTCCTGATTACACCTAAAACCATACAGATACAACCCCAAACCCTACCTGACTAGTTAAGCAACCAAATCAATATCTCACATCCTAATCATGTTCACGTCTCAGCAACACAAACGCTTAAACCAACCCCATATCTCCTTCTCAGTTCCCCTAAGTATCGGCGTCCACGCTTGGGTACATTTCCCATCCCGTGCAGGATAGTGGCGCTTAAACGGCGTTTCCCCTCCCCCCCCCCCAAAAAAAACACTCTCTCCTTGGATGCTGGCCGGCAAGGACTTGGGATCATTCCCCCATCTTCCCCTTCTGTCTATCCAGCCGGAATCTTCCAGTTTCTAGGGGGACGGGGGCTGTGTGAGTATTTAGATGCAAGTACGGAGATTGGGGAAGAGCATTCATTAACCCAGTAGCCGACAGATAAGGAAGCATGTGGGCGTGATGGTGATAGGGGATCAGAGGCTTGTTTGAAGTGGAAGAAGGCATGTAGGGGATGGAGCGGGCATGATGGAGGTTATGAGCTAGCTTTAGCGTCTGACTTTTGCCTTTTATTTTCGGTGACAGATTCAGCTATGTGCACTCACACCTAATAAGGCTTGATTTTGGATGATCTGTGATGGGAAATGTTTAGTGAAACGGTGAAGGTAGCCATTAATGAGTGCTTTATGGGCGCTGGAGAAACAAGATACCGATTGAAGTAAGCAAAGTAGGTCCTCTTACTTGAGTAGTGGCAATCCATAACCTCATTTTGCCGGTGAAGACATATCAACATGAACTTGTTGGTCTACCTATGCACAACCGAAGGATATCCGCAAGTTCTCAGGGCTTCCAGAAGCTCCCATCCACTCAGTGTTCGGCTTTGGTCAAGGAGACCAAGCGACGATCCTAAATCAGTTAAATACAAGACTCGCGTCGATGCTCTTAGGCACTCATTCCCGTTCCAGACCCTACAGTCGGATCGGGTTCATGCAGCGTCGAGGCTAGGCAGGCCAGCCTTCTCCGATTTCGCTCAGGGCCAAGCGCTTGGCCTTAACCCATATTATCTCCTTGGTCTCCTCACGTTGTAAGATCAAGCAAGAACTTGGCTTGAGGCAGTATAACTTAAATGAACCCTGTGACTAGTCTGGCAGTATCCAAGAAAGAAATCATGTCGTTTTTTTTGTCGGACGATAGCCAGGGGCTTTCGATTAGCTCCTGCTTCTGCGCCTCGCCGAGACAGAAGCTCGAAATACGGATCGCTTCAATGCCAACTTGTTGAGAGGTTGGAAGTTGGTGTGTATCCGAGACCTGTTTTGCAGTGAGGGCAAAAGGAGAAAGCGCTTGGTTTCTCGGAACCGAAATGACAAAGGTTGTCAACATACGTCAGCTGATGTACGTATAGACAGATGGGCAGATGGGCATGCGAAGATCAGCAAGGACACGTATAAACAGGAGTTGGCAAGGGTTTGTCAGACACCTGTCCTGTGCCGTTCCGCTATGGTCAAAGCAAAAGGCAGAAGACGGTCGGCGCACGTGCCGACGGAAGAGATCTATCTCAAAAACTATACCGGCTACCTTCTTAGGCAGAACATCATGGAACATTGCATAGAAACATTATGCTCTGGCCATGACTTGAGATCCTCTGCTAAAAGAAACATGACAAACAAGGGAACAGATCGTCATATCCACGTGAAGGGACCATCTCCCGTGTCTATTATCATGCACCAACCTCGACAGCCAACCGGCATGTAGCTTTGAGAACTCAAGATCGCATCATACTTTCAAGATTTGATTTCATCATCGGCTTGTGACAGTGGACTCGGTCTTATCATCCAAGATATATCCTGTTCCTGGCTAAAGATCAATCTTTCTATCCAGAATTCTAGGAGAGGCTGATGATGAGCGACAGCGAGCCGCTAGTGACCGGATATCACGGGACATTGATGGCGAATGGCGTGGGCGGCGGAGAGCGAGAGCGCCTGTAATCCGCGACTGCTGATGATGCGGCTCTCCTTGCTTTTTACCCGCGGCTCGGCGATCCACCACAGATTGTCTTTAACCGCAAGCGCGACACACCGAGGTCACCAACCCGGGAAGGTGTGTAAGAATGCAGACACTAGGCAAACTGGAGAAGAGGATTTTCTTTTTTCGGTCGTGGAATTGGCAGATCAGACCAAGTATGCTGTTATTTGTCTTTCAGCTTCCGGTTGGCCCAGAGTAAACTGTAGAAGCCGGGTTCTCCCCCTTGTTGGCCAGGGCTGACGACGGATATTTGCAGCGCCATGCAACAGTGTAACACTGGGGATTTTGCCGCAGGTGGGAGATGAGTGGGATCGACTTTTCCAGTGTTATATTTGTCATGTCTGTCACTATATCTGTATTTTCTCATTCCAGAACCTCGTAGAGGGCTGCATCGCCTGTTGGTGTTTTTGTTGTTGGGAGCTTGCCGGGTCCAACAGAGCACAAGGGGTTCCAGAACAAGTCAGGTCAGCAAAGAAGCCACCGATGACGTTGGCACGGTGGTCAATGATGTTATGAAATGTTGCACTTCATTAGTTCGTTCACTTCCGTGGAATTTCTTGCGGGATGAACCTCTCTCTACCCTTCTGTGCAGCAGATGAACAGCTCCAGCCTGTCTGGATGAACTCTGAAGAGGAACACCCAACAGGCCTGGAAGACAACTCGCAAATTACACCCATTCGTGGGTCGGAGGAGCAATTCCGAATGCCAGCAAGGCCTGGAAAGGGGAGTTCATGATGCGTTGATCAGTGACCACAATGGCCTAAGAGCTTAGATGTGGACCTGGAGCTTTTCCGATGCCTAGATAAGTGTGACTGAATAGAAATCCGCTACGGCTCGAAGCCCAGGGAGTGTCTGGACATTGACGCAAGGTCCCCAAGCAATGGCTCGCTAGGCTAGTAAAGGCTGCCGTGACATCAAGCAGTACGACGGTCTCCATCAGCAGCTCACAGCCCGAGTGCTATCCCGGTAGCTATTGCCAATGTGCAGTGGGCAGGCCGCAGACGAGCATCTCCGCAAAATTGAGACTTCTTAGGTAGGTAGGTGGGCAGTTGACCAGGTGCTGTGACAAACTTCAAGTTCTTGCCAGGTAGCCCTTCTTCCCTTCCCGCACGGGGTGCTTGTGCGCCCAAGGATGCTCATCTCCCTTTCTCAAACGCGGCTAGTTCCTGGGGAAACTGGAACAGAAACAGTTGCAAGCGCGAGAGGCGCAGGCCTCAGACGCAGAGAGCGACTATGAGCGAATCATGAGGGTGGGAGCGCATCACGGGAGGTTTATCCACAGGTTGTAGTGTTGTGTGGCTGATGGTGATGTTTCTGTGTGGGAGGTGAAGCAGGATGATTCATGGCTGCCATGGGGAAAGCTGGGACGGAATAGACAGGGGGTGTTGCGGCTTGGGACAATGGGAGAGACCCATGCAAGCCAAAAAAAAAAAAAAACAGAAATAAAAAAAACACTACGATGGGGCCAAACTGTTTTTGGACGAACCCCAGCTGTTTCAGAACACCTTGGCGATGGTCAGGGGATCCATGATAGAGCGGGGATAAGCCGCCGAGCCCTATGTAAGTAATGTCACCCTGACACTGGTCGCCGAAGAACGTCATCGTGGTCCAGTTCCATGGTGCTGAAAGCTGTGCATGGGAAGACCAAATGGAAAGTCTTGTATGACTTGCTCGTGTAGCTTTAATAACTCTGCCCTTTTCTCTTGCCAGATTTCTGACCAACAGTTTTGAAGACCCTGGCTTCAATGTGCCTTGCTCACCCTCGCTCATCCATCGTCGCTTCATCTAGCCTTGGATTAACAGCCATCAAACATCCATATGCATCATCTCAGCACATATGTCCAGGTATCCGGAAAGTCTTCGCGGTCATATTCTTGACATCAACACAGTATGAGACTGCGGAGGGAAAGTGTTAGCCTAACCTGCATTGTGGTCCGATATCTGCATGTGACTGTCAATTTAGAGCCCTTATCAGACAGGTGTGGGATAGCAGGCAGGCATATCTGCATATCCCCCTCGCAAACTTTGAACATTTGAGGGTGTTATCAAAG